TAGATATGGAATCGAAATCGATGGCTCTAACCTTACACAGCAGGTTCATAGTCCCCGTCAATGACCGTCTGCAGGCATGTGCTCTACATGCTGTGACCCCTCTTCTGCCGGCGGCGACAGTGACCCACCCACCCACGGACGACGGACGTATCCGGCCCATGGCCGCAGTCAGCGATTCATAGGCGACGACCACATGCTGACACAAGAGCTCTCCCACGAATGACCCTTCCACTTTGCTAACCCCGAACACATGACCTCCTCTGACACTACCAGATCCGTACGCTCAGCGGCTAGGGTGTGCTTTAAGACCGCATTCCAAGTTCTCCAATCGATCACCATATGCAGCAGGTAGGCAGACTTCCCACGGTGGAGACTACCATTTACAACAGCCAGCAGGTCACGAGTGATCCGGACTTGGTGGGCATCTCCGCCCAGCCAGTGACGAGAATGACGGCATCACCCCTCGTCTCAGAAATGTCTGTGCAGTCCAGTATCGCCTTCCAGTGTTCAAAACTCACTGCCTCCTCTGCATAGATGCTCTCAATAGAGACTGTCAGGACCGTTCAATGTAGACGGCACTCAAGGACCACGATATATGCGATGCATGGGATCTGCCAACTTTGAGCTTGCTTCAGTTATTTGCGTGGAGATGCCGACCAGGCACGCCACGTAGCTTCTCAGTCTTCATGACTGCGAGGACTCTCGGCATCGACTTCGGGTCCACTTCCTCGTCAACAACATCCCGTCCACATCTGCAACGACACTTCCACCAACCGTCCACTAAGCCACATGGGGAAGAAAGGTGGCCGCAAGCAGAAAAAGGGCAAGACTGTCCCTGCTCAGGATGCACCGCTAACCGACAACGCTGCCGAGTCCACCGTAGAGGTTCACGATGAAATCGAGGTAGGACATGACAACAACAATTGTCGGCTGACTTTTTCGCAGACACCCAACCAGCCCGGATCCCCTTCCCTTTCCACCTCAGCGCCCCTCACCGATGAGCCTTCGCGGCCAAGCTCGCCGCCAGCTGCCGACGTTTCAGAATCGATCGTGAATCCCGACGCACCGGCCGAGGCCGAGGAACGTGCAGACGACGCTGCGTCACCTACAGAGGGTGCAGACATCGCGACGGGTCTGAGCGCAGTTAACCTCGAATCACAAGATGGCGATATTGGCATGCCCCAGGAGGAGGTCGTGCCAGTAGAAGCGTCCGTGCACAGCGTCGAACCTGAGGACCTGGAACCTGAAGGCGGCGAGAGCGTGCCGGCGTCGTCGCACCAGAATGAGCCCCAGTCGGGCGATGTGGGCGAGGCCGCCGAACAGGCCAACGAGCCAACAACATCGGGATCCAAACACGAAACTTCACTTGACAGTTTCAAGTCTGTTGACATCGACACTTCCGAGCACGCCGAAGCAGCTATCCCGGCCCCATTAGTCGAGTCGACGTCGACGTCGACGCACACGAACCTGGACGAGTTTGAGGAAGTCGATATCGGTGCCGACCAGGAGCATTCACCACCAGTAGCGGCACCATCTGAGACTGCGCAACCAGAGGAGCCGGAATCTACGGAGACGCCCTCTTCTGCCCGTGCCGACAGCCCTGCCGACGAGACGACCGATACTGCCGGCGACATACGCAACGAGGACCTTCCCGTGGAGCGGGCGGCGACGTCGACAGAATCTGAGTACCACGACACTGCTACCGCGGCTGAGCGACCGACCGACTTGCACCCCATCTCTACCTCTGACGAGACCGAGATCTCCGACTCGACGCATCACGCAGCTGTTCCCGACGTCCACGTTGACCTAGGCACGCCCGTCAGCGCGGATAGCAAGACACCGACCGCCCTTGGCCCGCCGTTCGAAGAGAGCACTTCCAACGCCTCTCGCCGTCAACTTCCCCCACTATCTGTCGCGCCAGGCTCCAACCCATCCACGCCAGGCGAGGCGCCGCAGATCTCGCCCATGATCCGTTCCACATCCATGTCGTCCTCGCGGGTCGGTATCATCTCACCGCGATCGGCAAAGGGCTCACCGAGAGTGCTCATGTCGCCCAAGTTCCGTTCCATCGACGCCACGCATACGGATGACGAGTACGACGACGACGACGGCATGGAGGACATGCCGATGGAGAGCGTGCCGTTTGAGTCTATCCCGCTCGATGGCGAGACTGAGGTCAAGAAGGGCCTGTCACGGCAAACGAGCCTCGGTTCGTCTCACTCACGCAATGTGTCGAGGGACTCGAACCTTCCTCCGCCGGCGGCGCGCACCTCGCTCGCGTCTAACGGCCACGCGCGTGTAGACAGCCGCGGCGTGCCGATTGTGTCCGAACGGCCACGAACGCCCGTGAGCCGAGCCGCGTCCGCCGCGGCCTCAGCAGCAGCGACACCGCGCGAGTCGCCCGGCGCTTCCTCCGCCCCCGCCGCTCCCTCACCGACAGGTTCGCCGCAAGTGAACCCAATCCCAGCCAACGCAAACCAGCAACCCACACAAGCGCTAGGCGTCAAGGGCGTGAATGCGTTTGAGAAGTTTGTCTCGCGGACGCGGCCAGCGCACCTTCCGCCAAAGGACAAGTCGGAGGACCAGGCGCACCTGCACGAGTGGGAGAACATGATGGCGCAGGCGCGGCAGCACGACGCCGAGGAGCGCAAGAAGCAGGCGGCGCGGCAGGCGGCGCGTGAGAAGCGCTTGCTCGAGGTCACACCGCGGTGGGAGAACATGCTGAACGCAAAGGACTTTAGTCCCGCCAAGATCCGCCATGATCCCGCAAAGAGGAAACTATGGTTTGAGGGATGCCCGCCCCGCTTGAGGGGGAAGGCGTGGCAGCTTGCGATCGGGAACCCGCTCACGATGCACAAGGGTGAGTTGCGGTGGTAATGGGCCGAACTAGCTGATTGAAGGAGTGCTGTAGCTGACACTCAGACGCATACAAGATGTACCTGAAGCGCTCGCAGCGAGCGCTGGAACACGGCCGATTCCCCGCCGACATTCTCGCGCAGCTCGAGGAAGACCTGGACCACACGCTGAACACTTTGCACATCTTCCAGCGCGGATCTCCGATGCGGGACGAGCTGAAGGAGCTCATCTGCGCCTGGGTCGTGTACCGCAGTGACGAAGCGCTGGGCTACGCGCCGTACATCAACCTGCTAGCGGCCATGTTCCTGCTCGTGTTACCAGCCGACCAGGCCTTCTTCAGTCTGTGCAACTTTCTCAGCCGGCCGATGCTGCGCGCGTTCTACTCCGAGACAACGGACGAGATCGCAGCCTTCTACCGCGTGTTCGAGAACCTGCAGGCGGACACGTTTCCGCGCATCTTTGCCAACTGCAAGAACCTGGGCCTGAAGTTGCCCGAGGCGTACTTCCGCTCCGTGCTCGTGGAGCAGGTACCGTTCGACTGCGCGCTGAGGCTGTGGGACCAGATCGTCCTCGACGGAGACGGGTATGTGTTCCGTGCGGCTTTGGCCATCTTTGGATTCTTAGAGCCGCGCCTGTACTATCCCGACCGGGAGGAGATCAAGTCTGTCCTCGACGGGCATAACAAGGCCAGCATGCTGATCCAGGAGCGCGAAAGGGAGAGAGCCAAGCTCCGAGGAGAGGTCTATGACGATCACGTCGATGGCACACTGAGTGTGTTCGGGCTCGGCGAGGAACCGCTCTTTGAGTGGCTCGCTAATGATACCTGGCAAGAAAGCAGGTTTGAGCGGCTTGTCGTGCGTGAGCTCCCCGACTAGGCCCGCTGAGCAAAGCGAGTTGCGAGCGGTGCGAGCGGCGCAAGCTGCTCCTCGTCACCTCTCCTCCACCGCCCTCTTCAACCTTCCAGCCCTCACCTCGGCTAGAGCAGCAATAGATAGACCACCCATAGGCAACTACTTAGAGTCAATACGCATTTCTCCAGGGATTTATACTTTTCTGTGTGTTATTACAAAACATGCATCGAGACTGATTGATATAACGAAAACGAGAAAGAGGAGAGATGATCCGAAGGGTAGTGCGCCGAGAAGTGAGCGCCCTACTCCTGCACGATGAGCTCCTCGACCTTCCAGTCCTCGAACGAGTTGTCGGGAAGGTACCGCCTGATGACGAGGGGGATCTTCTTGGCCGCGAGCTCCTTGAGGGCGATCTCGAGCGGGTCCGTCTCACCCTCGACGGGGACAAGGACGGGGGCATTCATCCTGCCGGTTAGCTGTGCTCAAAAACGGGGGATCTCGAAGATACACTGTCCTATGACCGCCGCCAGACTCATCATACCAAAGTCCCAGTGCAAGTTCGCGCCGTTTCAAACTCCGCAGGACGAGGGGATTCAAGGGGCTGAGGACCTGTGAGGGATGGGAGAAGGGGCAATGTGCACACCCCATTATTGCCACACCATGTGGATCTAGAGTACTCACGAAATCTGAAGCGCTCGTGTTCCGAGCACACGCGCCCGCTCGTACTTGGTCATGTACGGCGTCGTGATGCGGACCTCGTTGGCGACGGCAGCCTTGCCCGTGCGCTGCTTGCCCTCGGGGACGTCGCCCGAGACAATGATGTTGTCCTCGCCGTCACCGGCGCCGGGAGAGAGAGCGGCGTCGTACCTGTTGTCAGCTTGGATTTCAATCAGGTATCGACAGCTCTGTAATTCTACCTCATCGTGCGCCCTTCCAAAAGGCAGAGCGACGCATGATGAAGAGGAAGGAGGTGCTGCTGTGGCTGAGGCTGATCGACACAGCGCGGCCGATCGAGCGCAGCAGCCACTTTCCAGCAAGAAGATAATCCAGCAGCATTCACAGCCAACGCATACTCACTCGATGTGCTCCGGCTCCTCGTAGTCGTACGTGTCCCCGACCTCCATTCCGTCGTCCGACATGGTGTCTAGTCTTCCTTCCGTTTAGGTGCCCGCCAGGTGTCTATCGGCTCAGTTGTCGCTGAGCCCTAGTTGTTCGTACTACGCGCTGTCTGTTCCGCGCGTCCTAGTCGATTGTCGAGTAAAGGTGCCGAGGGAAGGGCTGATGCAGTGGCGAGATTGGAGATTAGAAACTTAGGATCCTTCGACGACCTTGAAGCCAGATGGTAGCAGCCAAAGTTATTGTGACGAAGGAACTGAAGATTGGTGTCACGTGCAAATTCGGATTTTGCCTCCGCTCTTCGTCGATCGCCGCTGAGCTGGGCCAGGCGCCAGAATGCGCCATCCACCCACACTTGCCGCGGCAACCGACACGCCGTTGGACTAGCGTCCCGCTAACGCTTATACGTTCGAACCATCTTCTACCACTCGAAGCAGCCGTCAACAATAACGCTCGCACTGATAGACAAAACAATCAAGCTCTGGAAGAGCCAAAAGAGAAGCTTCCTGTCGGAGAATCGAACTCCGATCTCCCGCGATAGTCACGTGACAAGCGAGCATACTAGCCGTTATACGAACAGGAATGTTATATTAACCGTTGCGACAAAGCTGCCGACGGTTGTTCTTGACGTTTGTGTTTGTGAGCGGCTATACGCAGTGATGCGCTCTCGCGCTCGAAGTCGTCGGATGTCGGATGAGTCTGTGAGCTACGGATGATGCCAAAGGGTTTCTCCTTGCCACTAAGCGCATGAATCAGATCTTTTTATGAAGACGTTCATGTAGTAGGAAGCTTAAGGTAGGTTTAGGCCCAGAAGTTGTTGCCTGAACAGCGCCTCTCGGGCCACGGCCCATAGCCCAGCCGATCTCTGAGTGACATGGGGTGCCCCACAGGGCCTGCCTTATCTCTGCAAGCGAAAGCGGATGCATGTGACTCTCCGAGTGAGTTCTGCAGAGCTTCTCGCTTACAGACTTCGTCACGCTTGGTGTAGGAGACGGAGCGCGCCATCAATTTGCCACCCACCGTCACCCACGGGACCAAAGATAGCGCATCACCATCATGGACGACCTCCACCTGCGTGCTTCGCCGTCGCTTCCACCACCTGGGTACACATCGCTCTCTTGCACCATCTGTCACATTCACATCACACCACCGCGTAGCGCCGGGAACCATGCAGCTCGGACGCTACCAGGTGTCGACGCTGCGGCCACCGCCCATCCTCGACGTGTCGTTCTCGGCGGATGGCCGCATCTTCGCCGTCGCCACCGAGACTGGGTATGAGGTCTGGCGTGCTTGGCCACTTGGCCTGCTCCGGCGGAGAGGTAAGCTGCGCAACACGTGCTAATAGCTGACAGCAGCGCTTCCGGGAACACTCGCACGCGCTGTACCGCTTCCCCAGTCGCCACTGCTCGTGCTCCAGGGTGGCGGGTCTAACCCGCTCTTCCCGCCAAACAAGGCGGTCATCTATCACGACGGCCTGGGTCAACCGGTGGCTGAGCTCGAGTTTGGGTAAGCTGGCCTTCCCTTCTTGGATCAAGTAGCTGACAATCAGCGAGCAAATACGAGGAATCGCTTCGCGCTATCGTCTCGTCGTCATTGTGCTTCTGCGCCGCGTCATTGCCTATGAGTATGGCTACGGCGATGATGAGCCCACGGGCAAGGGCAAGGCGCGAGAAGTCGCTCCTGGCGGCGGGTTCTGGCTGACCAAGCTCGGCGAGTGGGAGACAGCGGAGAACGAACGCGGCCTGACGGCGGTATCGACTGCGCCGGGCTCGACGCTACTCGCTCTCCCCGGCCGGCAGCCAGGACACGTTCAGCTCGTGCATCTTCCTCCGTGCGGGACGCCGGCGGGCAAGGCAAAGACGGTAACGGCGAGCTTCCGGTCGCCGATCTTGCTCGCACACACGCACCCATTATCCTCCCTAACGTGCTCGGCAACGGGATCGCACATCTTAACGGCCAGTGAGCGCGGTACGCTCCTCCGTGTGTGGGACACGGCGCGTGGGTCGCTGGAGAAGGAGCTCCGCCGTGGCGTGGACCCCGCCGAGATCTGGGGTCTCTGTTTCGAGGACACCGTGTTCGTGGATCCCGCAGTACTAGCGGACGCCGAGCGCGCGCGCGAGCTCGTTCGGCGCAAGGGCGGCCGTGTCGTGGGCTGGTCTGACAAGGGCACCGTGCACGTATGGGGCGACAATGGCGCCTCGCCGACTCCCAAGCCGCAAGCGTCTCTAGCTAAAGTGCTCGGCAAGGCGCTTGCGCTTCCCAACTATTTCTCCAGCACGGCAAGCACGGCGCAGTACTACCTCCCGCGGAAGAACCCTCATGCGTTTAGCGGTGCGATCGGCGCGGCTGCTGATGCTGCCGGCTTGCCCTCAATGAAGATCGGGGAGGACGACCGCGAGCCGCAGGAGCGCGAATGGGCGGAGCGCTACGTCGTGGGATGGATAGAGGTCGACCCTGAGCCCGAGGCGGAGAAGGAGAAACCCGACCGACTCGCGCTCGCCCGCAAACCAGCAGGCATCAGCATGGGCACTCGGGAGGAGAGGCACTCGTTTGGCTCCGACGCAACGAGCACGAGAACGGCAACGCCGAGCGGAAGACGGGCAGACACGCCCACGCAGTCGGCATACACTGCCGCACGCCGCGATTCAGGATCGGCACGAGGGTCCAACCGGTCCAGCTCGCAGTCGCGAGCTCCTCGAGTCACCGTCCAGCGCAAGGAGAGCGGGTCTGGCAAGCCGACACCAGCCGAGTCGAAGCCCGAGCCGCCGAAGAAGGAGCACCAGCTTGTCGTCGTCACCTACGCCGGTGACTGGTACCGTCTCCGCCTGCCGCGGGTCATGCAACCAGACGACGATGAGGAATCGAAGTCCAAGTGCGAGCTGGTCGAGTACCGCCGCCTGGGAGTCGGTGGTGGCGGATGGTAAGAGATTAGAGTTGTTTAAGTTTACAGCGTCCCGGAAACAGTGTTGTATTATGACTAAACCCTAGTAATGCATCTATCATCTTGTGTACAAATACAGTTTCCGAATCGTCTACTCGAGATACTCCTTGAGGGAGCCAGTGACGCCCTCGATGCGCGCAAGGACCTTGCGGGCGAGTCCCTCGACCTCCGAGTTCTCGTCCTCGAGGAGCTCGGCGAGGAACTCGGCCACAGTCTCGGGGACGAGGGGGATCATCTCGTCCGCATGACGCTCCCACATGGCGTCGAGGGCGCGGAGGGCGGCCATGCGCGTGCGCGGCTCCTCAGCACGGGTCGTCATGCACACAGCCATATTGACCTTCTTGAGGGTGGTCTCTCCGTTGGTGGCAGCAGCAAGAGCAGCAATAGCGCGCGCCGGGGGCGAGACGTCACTGCTAGCCAGCTCGGGAAGGGTGGACAGCTGCGCGACAAGACCGGGCAGGAGCTTGAGGAGCGACGCATCGGTCCAGAAGGCGCCCTCGTCGACGTCGAAGCTCTTGGCCAGCGTGTCGAGCATGAGCGCCCAGAGGCCGGCGTCGGCAATCTCGCCGTTGCTGTACGCCGCGAGCAGCTCGTCGACGAGCGGCAGAAGCGTGCCCATGTATCCCGTGAGAAGGTGGCGGAACTTGTCGAGCAGGCCGGACATGACGCGGAAGAGGACAGTGCGGCGAGCCACGACGTGCGCGTCGTTGACGGGCGCGGACAGGTCGACCACGGCCCAGTCGTAGAGGCGCACGAAGAGGGGCTTGAAGCTCGCCTCGGAGAGCTTGGTCACGAGCTCGATGAAGGAGGCGATCGCCGAGGTCTCGACGGCATCGATGGCGGCCGCGGGCAGCTTGCTGCCGTGGCGCAGGTCGAAGACGTCGAGGAAGAATGCGAACAGCGGCTTCGTCAGTGCCGGCAGGGCGGCGCGGTCGGCGTGGCGCAGGGCGTGCTTCAGCAGAGCGAAGAATGCCTCGATCGGCGCCTGGCCGGCACCCTTCAGCTCCTTCCACAGGTCCATGACGACGGGCACAAGCGTCTTGGTCGGGATACGCTTGGCGACGGCTGAGATCAGGACAGCAGAGGCACCCTCGTCCTCGGCGCGGTGCTCGGCCGTGGCGCGCAGGAGCGACACGAGCTGCTTGCCGCTGATGAACGTGGGGACCGTGTCGACAAGCGCCGAGATGGTGAGGAACGCGGCATCGATCGCGGCACCAGTCTGCGACGCCATCGAGAGGCACGCATCGAGCACGGGCTGAATGAAGGGAATCGAGCGAGGACCGAGGCGACGCACGAGGGAGGCGACAAGCGACATGGCAGACACGGAGGTCTCGGCGTCGGCACCCTTGACGGCATCGATGGCCGTGGGCACGATGGAGGCAAGCGCGCCATCCTCGTTGGGGAGAGCCGAGGCAGTGACAGCCTCGAGCGCGATGAGGGCATGCTCGGCAATAACCTGGCCAGCCTTGAGCAGCGAGGCGGCGCTCTTGATAATCTTGCCCATAGCGGCGGAGGACTTGGAGCGAACCTCGGGCTTGACGAGGGGCAGGCGCTCGGTGAACATGTCGAGGGAGCGGGTGATGTCCTCTTCGCGGCCGGACTCGAGGATCTTCTCGATGATGCTGAGGAAGCTCGGTACAGAGAGGAGCTGCATGGCGTTGCTGAGCGCAGCCTCGAGGGACTCAGCGAGCTGGTCGTCGCTGTCGAGCTGCTCGGCCGAAAGCGAGACGAGGTCGCGAACAACCTCCTCGACGGCAGGCTGGGGACAGGCCTTGCCGCGGAGCTGCTTGCCGAGACCAGCGCAGAGCTCGAGGAGCGTGGCGGCGTTGCGCGCACCGTGCTTCTCGTCGGCGAGGAAGCCGACATCGTTACCGCTGACAAGACGGGTAGCCTCGCGCTCGATCTCGAGGAGAGTATGCGTGCGCACGCCAGCGGGGAACGCCTGCGCGACGCTGAGCGGCAGGTCGAGGCCGGGCATCTTCTTGCCGGTGGCGAGGAGCATGCACACGGGAGCGAGGAAGGATTCGGCCCCAAGCGACTTGACGAGGTGCACGAAGAAGGGCAGGATGCGGTGTTTCGGCAGACGGCCAGGGCCGGCCATGTCCGTGAAGATATTCAGGAAGGTGCGCGCCTCGGTGTACAGCTCGAGCGTCGAAGTGGCCTTCTCCTTGAGCGACTCGGCCATGACGGGCACGATGCGCGAGACGGTCTGCTCGACGACACCGAAGCTGTAGGCGTCGTCGCGCTGCAGGTCGGACGAGCCCATGAAGGTGAAGATGGGCATGACGTTGTGCAGCACGCTCTCGGGAACGAGACGGGCGAGCTCGGAGGCAACGAGGAGCGCACGCTGGGAAGTGCGAGGGTTCGACGAGGCGCGAATGACCTTGACGATCGCCTCGATACCGACGCGGGCGCGGAGGATCTCGGAGGCGTCGTTGATCTTCTCCAGCTGAGCGAGGATGGCACCAAGAACCTCCTGCTCGAGGTAGTCGACGCCCTCCTTGATGGACTGGCGCTTGGTGAGGACGGCGGAGAGGATGCTCATGAGGGCAGCAACGAGCGAGGCATCGCCGCGCAGCGACTTCCAGTCGCGCGACTCGATGAACGTCGTGATGCTGTACACGGCCTGCTCAATCTTGTCCTCGGCGTCATCGCTCTTCGCCTTCTTGCGCTGAATGGTCGACTCGAGGGGCTCGACGAGGGTCTCGACAACGCCCATGATCTCGAGGGTGGAAAGACGGAGCTTGGCGAGGACAGCCTTGGCCGCAATCTTGTCCTCGGCCGACAGGCCATGGAGCGACTGAACGAGGTCGACAATATACTCGGCACGCTGGGTAGGCTTGAGGGCCAGGAAGAGGCCGTCAGCCATGCGCTGCAGCGAGAGCGCACGCATCAGGTTGACAATGGGTGTCGGCTTGGCAGAGAACAGGTCCAGGAGGAAGCGCCAAGCCTCACTGTCGTTCTCAGTGACGACCGAGGCGTGGCGGGGGTTGAAGCTCTCGAAAAGCAGGTCGAGGTACTCGTTCTTGTGGGCAGCGGGGAGCGACGCGAGCCAGTCGGCCTCGTCCTTGGTAACGTCGGTGAGGGGCTCGAGAAGAGGGAGAGCACCCTGGAGACGCGAAGCGTTGGTGACGCGGACAAGCGACGAAAGCAGCGAGCGACGGGCGTCGTCGGCGCGCCAGCCGAGGACATGCGACATGAGGCTGTCCATGACGGCGCGGCGCTGAGAGACGTGCTTCTTGCCGTCCTTGGTAGATGCGTCGAGGGCAGCGCCGTGGACAAGAGCCAGGCGGGAAGCATCAAGGACCATGTCGTCGAGCGCCTCGGTGAGTGCCTCCAAGTACTTGGTGAGGTCGGAGGGCTTGAGGAGCTGGACGAGATCGGAGCGCTGGCCGTAAATGGTCTCGAGGCCGTAGATGTCCGAAGAGCCCGAAGCCGGCGACTCAGAGATGGACTTCAGGATGGCGGCAGCGGCTGCGCGGACCTCCTTCGAGGTGTCCTGGAGAGCAATGAGCAGGGCGGGGACGATGAGTTGGAAGTCTGTCTTCTTCTTGTCGGCACCCTGGTACGCCTTGATGAAGGCAGCAGCGTGGCGGAGGGCCGCAACGCGGAGACCAGAATCGGTGGCATCGGTCCAGACCGAGGCAAAGAAGATAAGCGCGTCCTCGCCAAGCTGGCTGAGAACTGACTGCAGAAGATTCCTCGCCACGGACGCCGAGAGACTGGCGCTGTTGGCCCATCTGTAGAGAGAGTGAGCGACACGGCGAGTCTGGGCCTCAGTGGACTCGGTGCTGGAATCGTCACCAAGCCATGTGACGTTCTCGTTCGGCGACGAGCGGACGCTGGCGGCAGCGCTCAGGAGAGCAAGGCTGGCACGCTGCATCGTGCGAACCTGGTTAGGCTTGGTAACAATAGCCTTGACGAGGGGCTCCGACAGAGAAGACTCGACAGTGTCAACGTCAACGAGAGCCTTGCCGCCGAGGGAAGCCTGAAGGGCGTCCAGGGAGCGGGCAGCGACACCGTGCTGGTAGCCGCCGGCGCAGGTGACTAGCTGGCCGAGCGTGACGGCAGCGAAAAGGCGCGCCGAGGCGCCAGAAGCGGACAGAGCGGAAACCAGGAGGTCGACGCGTGAGCCAATGTTGCCAGAGGACGCAATGGCGTTGGCGATAGCCTTGACGAGGTCCTGGTTGAACTTGACAAGCTGATCGACGGAAGCGTCAAGGGCAGGGATCTTGGTGTGAGCGGCCAGACGACAAGCCTTGACGACCGAAGGCCACTGCTCCGGGCCAAAAGCGCGGCGATCCTCGGTGGCGAGAAGGTTGGGGATCAGCAGCTTCTCGAACACACGCGACTCGACATCGGGGTGAGCGGGAATGTAGGTATTGGCGAGGAAGGCGACATGCTGGCCGACAACCTTGGGCTGAGGCTTGATAGCGTTGAACGTCGACAGAACGGCGTCAATGTAGTCGACACCAGTCAGGAGGGAGAGAAGGAGCTCAGGCTCGGCGTACACGGCCGACAGGACTTCGACGTCGATGTCACGCAGACGAGCAACGATCGCGTTCTGGGCAGAGCGCAGCTTGTCATCCGAGGCGATGAGAGCAGCAGCGTTGCCGCGGTTCAGGCCAGCAGCCTCCGCAACGGCGTACATCTCGCGGACACCGCTGACACGCGAGGCGACGTCGGCAGAGTGAACATCCAGGAACGCAGTCTCGGCCGACGACCATTGGATGAGGGCTGGGTCGACGTCGGAGGTAGCCGAGGCCTCGAGCACAGCTCCGTCAATGAGCGACGGGTAGCGCTGACGCAGCGTGCTGAGAAGGTCACGGGCGTCCTTGTGAGCTCCGGAGGGAGTGTTGAGCAATTTCTCGGCGGCTACCTTGACGACGGACTCGGGCAGGCTGGGGTAGTCGACCAACTTGGTGAGCGTGTCAAGCGACTCCGGTACGTCGTCGATAAGAACGGACATAATGACCTGCATGGCGTTCTCGAAGCTGTACTTCTCCATGGCGGCGACGAGGAGGTCGCCCAGCTGCGGAATCGTGGCAAGACGAGCGGGAGCGTCGGCTCCAAGACCTTGGTCCCATCCCTTGCGGGCGTCGAGCAGGACGAGAAGGGTGAGCACACGCTGGCTGGGAGCAGCACCAGTGCTGGGAGTCAGAAGCGCCTCGAGAATAGCGGCGAAGGGGGCATCGGCGAGTCTAACAGAACGGGCCAGCAGGACTAGCGGGGGATACACGGCGGCGTTGACCTCGGCGCTGACGCCCGGCGTCGAAAGGAGGGTGACGAACGCCTCAACCAAAATCTTCACAACGCCCTCCGGAACACGGCCGGTACTCCTGCTCCTCTCGAGGAGGTCGACGAGCGTAGCGCTCCAGAAGGCGAGCAGGGCGCGGTGCGTGCAGCCCTCGGTGTGAGCCGTCTTGAGCGACTCGGCGAGGTCCGTCAGGAGTCGGAGGGAGGGGTCGCGGGCCGAGCTGATGGCACTGGTGATGTACTCTCGCGCAACGGGCTGAGCCTTCTTGGCGAGAGGAGCAAAGGGGACGTGGTAAGGGGAGTCGGTGGGGAGGTTAAGGATGGCGAGAATGCGGGCGAAGTTCGGAGAGTCGTGGTACGGGAGGAACACCTGCAGCGTCGTCTCGGCGTTCATCTCGTGCACCCTGCTGTTAGCTTACAATCCTCCCCGCAAAGCTCACCTAAATCTCCGGACCAGCCACTCGATGCACTTGCCGCCGGCCATGGTGCCGATCCACTTGCCTAGCCGTCCGAGGCAGCGAGCGAGGGTCTCATCGAGCTTCTTGTTCTCCTCCTCGGAGAGCATCATGCGGTCGGTACGCTTGGCGGCTTCAGAGAAGAGTTCCTCCTCAAACTCCTCCATCTGGGGGTCAAGCTGGACGAGCTCGTCGAAGCCCGACTGGCCGAGAGCGTGGACGGCATCGAGGTCCTGAGTCGCGGCGACCTTGGCGGGGAAGAGGTAGGATTTTGATGACGGCGCACCTGTCCTGGAGGTCAGGCGGTCCGCATCGAGCGATGCGATGTTCTTGAGCTGGCTCGCAAGCGACGACATCGCGAGCTGGGTATAGGTGTGTGCGACAGAGCGAGCTCAAGGATCAGGTTTACAACCATGGACCGCAGAATTGCAGGTTACCTCACGGAATCTCAACTTTTGCGGACCACGTGGGCGGAGATCATGATCAGTCCGCCCTACTGTGTATTTCGGATGACGGTCACCACTGACGTGTTGCTGCTCTCTGCATCACCACATTGTCAACGGCAGAAGCATGGTCACTACGCGCTCAACGGAATCCTCGACATCCTCGTCAACGACCCCGGAGCCTGTTGGCGTCCCACCCGTCCGGCGGCTGAGCGAGCCCCAGGTAGCCGAAAAGGAGCAGACATCGGTTGTTGCCGATGAGCAGGCCGATATGCCGGCTGGTGTGGTCGGCGACATCATCAAGTCGATCTGGGAGCCTGGAGCGAACGCTACCGTCGTCATTGGTGAGTGCGAGTCATTCTCCAGGATTATCAGCTAATGGAGCAGCCATGAACGTCTCGTTCTTCTTCCTCATCATGGTTCTGGTGGGTCTCGGCGCCATGACAAATTGGATGAAGGAGGTTGTCTTCCTCCTGGCTACTAGCGTTCTCCTCTGGGGAGCTATGGTCATGTAAGTTCTCAGAAGGGAGGTTCGCTGACTTCAGGTTCGTCGCTCAGATGCACAAGATCCAGAGCAATCCAGAGAATATGCCGATCAAGGATCCCTTGCTCGATACGTCAGACGCTCCTCAGTCGGAAACCAAGAAGGATAAGTAGTGCGGGAGGCTGCAGTTGCGCGGGTCATTTATGTCCAATGTATCTATTGCTACAATTTGTCTACGACGTCTGCCCAAGATCCCCACGGCTCTGTTCCCATCACCCTCAGCTCGACGTTCTCGCAGTTCGGGCCGAAGAATCCGGTCATCTTCCACTGCTTCAACTGCGAGGCACTGAAGGGTCCGAAGACTTCGCGCTCGAGCGGCCGCTGGCCTTCCGGAAGCGACTTCATGTACGTCATGGAGAAACGGTATTGGAACGCTCGGGTGTCGACGGGTGCCGCTGGAGCAGGAGCAGCTGTCGGGGTGTCGGGCCTGCGGATCATGCGCGAGATGGCCTCACGCGAGAGGGCGTACACGTCGAGCTTGCTCATGGCGGTCAGGTCGGAGACAGCAGAGGAGAGCTGAGTGAAAGAGTCCTTGGGTCCATCACTGCGTGTCAGCTGTCTAGCTTGATTGCAAAACTCACCCCTCCAGGGCGGCTTTCCGTTCCCGCTGTCGCTCGACCCAAGACTTCTTCTTGCTGCCCGCCGCCTTCTTCTCAGCTTCCTTGCCCAGCCGCTGGAGAGCCTCCATGACCGTCTCTCCACGCTCCATGAGCTCCATGGCCTGCTGCAGCAGCCTCTGCTCTTTCTCCTCACTGCCCGCTCCACTCTCGTACTCAGCCTCGCGCTGCTCGCGTTCCCGCTCCAGCCGCTCACGCTCTCGGTGCGCACGTCGCGCCTTCTTGATCTCGTCCTTATCCATCGAATCAAGCCAGACGTCATGCTTCTCGTGCGGGTCTTTCTCATTCTCCATGTACACCTCTCCGCCTTCCGTAAAGCGTCCGTCCTGCATCTCCTTCTTCATGTTGAACGGGGTGAGGTCAACACCCATGTCGCCGTCGAGGCCCGTCTTCTTCTCGGTCTGCTCTGCCTCGCTGTCGCTGTCGTCATCTTGCGGCCGGGCTGATGGCTCGTCGAACTCCTGGCCCTCAATGTCATTCAGGTCCATGAATTCCTTCTTTGGTTTCTCCTTCTCCTTGCCCTTGTCCTTCGCCGGCGCAGGCTCATCGGCGAACATGTCCATCTCGTCGTCCTCGCCTTCCTCCTCGGCTCCGGGTCTTCGGCTCAGGACCTTGCTCTCCTCGTCGTTATCTGAATCGGAGTCATAACCATCTGTGTCTCGGAGCGAGCGCTTCTCCCGGAGCTTGGCGCCGCGGCTTGTCTCAGTGATGTCTTCCTCCAAGTATCGATCGTCATTGTCATCAGATGATCGAGAGCGGGAAGGACCAGCACCGCCAGCTGGAGGTGGAGGAGAAGCGAAGCGCGTGCGCTTCGGAGCGCCAGACGGATCGCCTCCCGATCGCTTGACGGGCATGGTGGAGTGGGGTGACAGGTGTGAGGGTTTGTTGTGAGTGCGAGGTGACTGTTGTTGACCAGAGCTGACTTTGGCCACTGACGACAGAATTCGCGGAAGTATTTCCACCACCGATCGTCATCGCCGACCGATACAATCATAGTCGCCGAAACATGCAACGAGCTGGGCGACCCATGCAGCGGACAGTACTAGCGACCTATACAATACATTAATAGTTGAACCTGTCTATATTCTACAGCTGAACTCCTCGGGGGTAGCGTTGATGAACGGTGAGCTGACGTTAGCACGGGTCGAACCAGACGGACATGATGACGAGATCTTCGAGCGGCGAACGGTAACAGCAAGCGGTGCGGCACAGATGAGCATGCCGTTAAAGCTGGGGCCTTCTGCCAAAACAATAAACCATTCGGAGGCTACTTCTGTGGGAGACGGAAGACTCACTTGCAAGCCGCAGAACGCAAAGAAGCAGGCGTAGATGAATGCCGCCGTGTAACACATCTTGGCGACGAAGTCTGGGTCATGGGGACCGGCTGGAGGGGCGGCAGCCGTCAAAGCGTAGGCCCGACGAGAGAAGAACCCGCCGAAGGCTGCATCGTCAGCCACACCTCAACGAGACCGAGAGGGATTCAAGAATGCCTCTACGTACCAGCCAGGATGATGACTCCGAAGACGGAGAGGACGGTGCAACAGCCGGCTGTACATTAGCTTTTACAACCATACCGTGTGCTTACCCAAGGGCGCCGACACGAGCGGTCGGATAGCGAGGACCATGCTGAGATGAGTTGGTGAGCGATGTCTGGGTCGGTCGGTCGCTCGCTCAATTCCGTGGTGGTGACGCGCCGAGGCTGGAGGTCGCCGTTGATACGGTGCGGAATCAAAATCACACGTCACGAACCCGGCTAGGGGCCATTAATTTCTGAAGATTGCGTACCAGTGAGATGCTCAACAACAACCCAGTGGCCTTGCACCCATCCTCACACCCAAAATGGCCAAGGGAAAGTCAAGGGCGACTTCCAAGGCTGACAAGCCCCAAAAGCCGGTCAAGGCTGGCAAGCCTGCCAGCAAAACCAGCGACAACGAGGCTCTCCGACAAGCCGTCAAGGAGCTCGGAGGCGACGATGACGACCTGGACCTGATCGCCGGAGTGGACAGCGACGATGAGGCTGCTCCTGCCAACAAGTCTGGAAACATTGACGAGGTGAGTCGCATCTCATGGAATATGCGCTGATTGTCACAGAAGGCGCTCAAGGCTGAGCTCGGTGCTTTCATGAAGGGTCTCGACTTTAGCAGCCTCGCGCCCCAGGCTGCTAACGACGACGATGACGAGGACGAGGACGAGGACGATGAGGAAGAGGAGGAGGACGAAGAGGATGACGAGGATGACGACGAGGATGGCGAGGATGACGGGGAAAACGACGAAGACGATGAAGATGAGGAGGACGATGACGATGAAGAGGACGAGAGTGAGAGCGAGGAGAGCAGTGAAGAGGAGGCCCCGAAGAAGGTCGAGCCTAAGAAGGGGGTCAAGAAGGAGCAGCCCAAGAAGGAGGAGGCTCCCGCTAAGCGGGTGGACCCCGATGCCACGAGCGGACGAGTGAGTTCAAGCAGCATGATCCTAACTGACCGCAGAACGTTCCCCTTGTCGCTGACTGGTCCTCCCTCGTTCCCGAGCTCGCGATGCCGTCGAAGCCTCTCGGCAAGGCCCCGCACTCCAAGATCAACTCTCTTCGTATGCGTGCCGATCAGCTTCTCCGCGACCTTCCGAAACCCCAGCGCGCCGGCTCTTCCTCCGACACCGCATTCATCTCGCAGATTCTCTCGAGCGGTACGCACCAGGACAAGCTCTCGGCGCTTGTCCTCCTCGTCCGCGAGAGCCCGATCCACGCTATCTCCGAGCTTGAGCGTATGCGTGCCATGGCCGGTTGGCGTGATGGAGCTCCCCACGCTGGTGGTGGTCGTGATGAGCGTCTCGCCACAGTTCGCGCTCTTGCGGACTGGTGGGTCACTGGTGGAGGCAAGGAGAACGGCAAGCTCAAGTACTTTGCCGACCAGCCGCTACTCGCTCACCCCGACATTACCGACCGCCACCTTGTTGTCTACGCGTTCGAGGACTTCCTCAAGAAGTGGTACTTCAACCTTCTCCAGATCCTCGAGACGCTGTCGCATGACACCCTCCCCTATGTTCGCTCCAAGGCTCTCGACGTCACCTTCCAGCTCCTGCAGGGTAACGCTGAGCAGGAACAGAACCTGCTTCGTCTCGGAGTCAACAAGCTCGGAGACACGGACCGCGCCGTTGCCTCGAAGGCGTCTCACCACATCCTGCAGCTCCTCCAGGTTCACCCCGCCATGAAGGCTGTCGTGGCGCGCGAGGTCGCCGCGATCGTTCTCAAGACGACGCTGACCGGTGCCGCCGGCTCATCATCAAGCGGCACGCACATGCGCTTCGACGACGACGAGCCGAAGAAGAAGGCCGAGGACGGAGCCAAGGCGCCGCCCAACCACGGACGATACTACGGTCTGATTACGCTCAACCAGATGACCCTGACGCAGAAGGACCGCGAGGTTGCCGGTCGCCTGGTCGAGGTTTACTTTGAGGTGTTCCGCGAGATCCTCGGCGAGGAGCAGAAGAAGGGCGACGAGGAGAAGGCCGAGGCGGACGAGCTCGATGCCGAGCAGATGCAGAAGGTCACCGGCAAGGTCGAGAAGTGGCGCGGACGACGCAAGGGTGCCAAGCCCAAGGGCGGACGGAAGCAGCCCGAGGAGGAGCTCGTCGACAGCGCTGAGGCCAAGCTCGTCGCCGCCGTGCTTACCGGTGTGAACCGTGCGCTGCCTTTCGCCAAGCTTGACGACGCGCTGTTCGAGGGCTACATGGAGACGCTGTTCAAGATCTGCCACGCGGGAACGTTCAACACGTCGATCCAGGCGCTCCAGCTCATCTTCCAGGTGTCGCAGAGCCGCCCCTCGGTCGTGGACCGCTTCTACCGCACCCTGTACGAGTCGCTCTTTGACGCCCGTCTCATCACCTCGTCCAAGCAGGCCATGTACCTGAACCTGCTGTTCAAGGCGATGAAGGCAGACCAGAGCCTGCCTCGCGTCATGGCGTTCGTCAAGCGTCTTCTGCAGATGCTCAACCTGCACCAGCCGCCGTTCATCTGCGGTGCGCTTTACCTCCTCGGCGACCTCTTCAACGCGACCCCGGGACTGCGCCGTATGCTGATCGAGCCCGAGGACGACGGCGAGGAGCACTTTGTCGACGCGGACGCAAAGGGCAAGAAGCCCGTCGCGGAGAAGGCGGGCGAGTCGTCCAAGGCGGCGGAGAAGCAGTACGACGGCAAGAAGCGCGAGCCGCTGTACGCTCACGCGGACCAGAGCTGCCTCTGGGAGCTGCTCCCGTTCACTGAGCACTTCCACCCGAGTGTGGCGCTGCAGGCGAACCAGCTCCTGATGGGCCAGACGCTGACAGGCTCGGCCGATATTAGTCTGAACACGCTCATCTCCTTCCTCGACAAGTTTGTGTACCGCAACCCGAAGAAGACGCTGCAGCCCAAGGGTGCGTCGATCATGCAGCCCGCCGCCGTGAACGACACGACGGGCAACGTCATCCGCAACCGCGGCCCGCGCACCGCGCCTGAGTCCAACGTCAACACCGAGGCGTTCTGGCGCAAAAAGGTCGAGGACGTTCCCGTCGACCAGCTCTTCTTCCACCGCTTCTTCAGCACCAAGCTCGCCAAGAAGGAGGCGCTCAAGAAGGATGCGAAGAAGCGCAAGGGCGAGGACTCGGACGAGGACGCCATGGACGTCTCGGACGACGAGATGCCCAGCGACGCCGACGAGGCCGCCGCCGGCTCAGACGCTGAGGAGGACGAGATCTGGAAGGCTATGCAGGCCTCCATGCCCGATGCTGGCGACGACATGGGTATCTCGGACGACAGCAGCGACGAGGACGTCGACTACTCCTCTGACGAGGAGGGTGACGACGCCGCTGAGGTTGACGAGGACGACGATGATGAGGACGAGGAGGACGAGGAGAATGAGGACGAGGACGACTCGGACGGTGACGACTTCCCCGACCTCGATGAGGACGAGGACGACCTCATCCCGCTCGACGAGATGCCGAACATTGAGCTCGGCGGCTCCGAGTCCGAGGAGGAAGAGGAGGAGGAGGACCCCGTCGCGGGCGCAAAGCGCAAGCGCAGGGAGGAGCGCAAGGAGCGCCGCAAAAAGCGCCGCGAGATGCCCGCCTTCGCCAGCGCCGAGGACTATGCCGCCCTCATCGACGGCGAGCCCGACGAGAACATCTAAGCACTATCCATTGCACGCACGCACAGACACATTTGGGACCAGACAGCACCATTGTCATATTCTCGGTCGCGCACGCGATCTTTCTCATAGATGCATTTACAAATTGTACAAACACACAGAAACGCTACACGTAGCATTTACAACCTTCCCCTATATCTCTGTACCGGCCTCAAAGCCCCAGCCGGAACGGCGTCCGTCGTGGTCGTCGTGCCCCGGCGACTTTAGCTTGACCCACGGCAGCAGCACTTCGAGGTCTTCCCAACCCAAACTCGCATACTGCCCCCGTGGCCCGAGGTCGACCAAAGCACCCTCGACGGCGGCGTCGCGGGGCACACCTGGCGGTGCCGCTTCGTTTCGAGTCCCCGGGAAGAGTTGGGCGACCAGTCTGTCCGTCAGCTTCCTGTGCAATGGCCTGCCAGCTCACATCATGGATCCAGCCCAGCGCCGGCGTTCCTCACTCTCCGGCTCCCACTCAGTCACCTTCATTCCCTCCGTTCCCCACATCGCCTTGCCCGACGATGTCTCGCCGATCTCTGACGTCTCTTCGTGGTCGGCTCTGAAGTCCCGGACTCGCAGCACCGGGTCGTCATCCGGCGTCACACCTAAGCCAGGGTTGAGCCGGTCAACCGAGTATGACGTGGTCCGCAGCCACTCGGACTCGTACGGCGTGAAGTTGGGATAGAGGCGATGCGAATACGCTGGTGTTGGGTGGGTCAAAGGCGTGTACGGACGCTGAACGCGGAGCTGGGGTGGCGGGGAAGGCGTGGGAGGAGTCGGCGGCGTGTGGTCTTCCGGCAGAGCCGGCATCAGCTGGAGAGTTGGTACGCGCGGTGATGCACCGTGAATCGCAAACAAAGGCGAGGAGGCGTGAGGGTCTGGAGGCTGATATGCTTGATCCGCGGCGGATGACGATGCCTCATGCGGCTCTCCAGTGGGTTCATTCGGATGGCTCCGTGAGCGTGTGAGGCTCGGCAGCGACCACCGTCGTTCTCGATCTCCTGCTCGAGGCTGACTGGGTCCGTTCTCAGGCTCAGCGTGCAATGACAGCCGCCTGGCTCTCCCCATCCAATCGCCAAATGAGCCAAACAGGGAAGGGCTGCTGCTCAGTGCAGGGGGACGCGAGGGTGGCGAGGAAGTAGCTATGCTTGGCGGATTCGGAGCCGACGATCCAGTAGTAGATCGTACTAAAGGTATGAAGTTGTGCTGTTCGTCTGGGGCCGATGTTGTTCGGGGAAGCCTGGGAGGTGCTCTGGGCGACCTGGGCGTCGTGTGCAGTCGGCGAAGCATGGGAGGGTGAAGAACAAGATGAGCGCTATCGTTGGCACACCATGAGGGACGCTCGACGAGCACACCGAGAGCAAGGATGCGAACGTCCTGCAGGTGTAGCACAACTCTCACATCGGTCGGATAGTGAGCGTGGTTGCTCTGGTGCCTGCTGTTAGCTCCACGACACCGGTCCTAACTAACTTCAGCTCATCGTAAATGTCGTACGGATCGAACGTGCGGGTGTATATTCGGTTCAACATTGCAGACCCGTTATGTCTGAGAGTGATGAAACGCTACCGTCAGATTGAGCAGCCTTATGTAACTCACTGTCCATGATTCGTGGTGGGCGCATCCAACCGAGCGGTGCTCCAGGCGACCCAGTACACGTAGATATGCTGCTCGCCAGCTGTCGTCTGCGTTCTTGTATCGCACCCAGCTAGGAAGAAAGCGGCGTCTGAAGGCCTCCTCCCAGACGTGATCTCGCCACCTGCCTATCTCAAATCGCTCCAATATCCATCGGGGCGACGCCCGGACCAGCACATCCATGAACAGGCTGCCGTCATCGTGGCCTGTCAGGAAGGACAACGAGGGCAGAACTGCGAGCGCTTGAGGGTATGGCGGTCCGTTGTGGAGTATCTGACGGATAGACTCCCTCAACGGCGTAAGGTTTGATTGGGTGAGGTTGAGGAGAACAGGATGCAGCGAAAGGAAGGTGATGATGTCGTTGAGGGACAGGTGGCTGTGCGTCAGTCCAATGCTTGGCAGCGCAACTTACCCAGCTATCTGGCTTAGCAGCTCTCCGGGAAGGTCGAGGAGCTCGATCTTGCGCTCCTCGTGGTCGCTCATCGCGGTGGACATATGGGCATGGTGGCGCAATGAGCGTCGAGAGGAACAGGATGGCTGATTCCAGTCGCGGTCCTAGATAGCGAACCTTGAAACGGATCAACGTCAGGAGACCTGGAGACCCCGCAGACGTTGCCGCCCGACGTCACCGCCACTTGCCATTTCACCTAACGCCGTTCGCGACCTCCACCGCACGGCGCTGGCCGTCAGCGATCTCTTGAACGTGAACAGCGACGACGAGTCTCTCGACGACACCCAGCATCATGTCTCTCGCTCGCGCTTCCCTCGGCCTCCGGGTGCGCACCCTCGCCCCTTCCGCCGCTGTTGCCCGCCGCTTCAACTCTACCTCCGCCTCTACCTCGACCGCCACCGATGAGGTCCCCCCCAACTACACCTCGCCCCGGGATCTGCCTATGACCTGGTCCGACTACCTTGCCATGCGCAAGAGGCGCAGGCAGTGGTCGTCCATCACGTCGATCCCCACCTCGCTTGGTGGCCTGATCGGTGGAGCCATGTACTTCGCGAGCAAGGACGTCGATCCCACCCAGCTCATCTTCGGCTTTGACCCCTAGTGCGTGTGACCAGCTAAACCGCATGCGATGGAGCTGACTGTCTACAGCATGGTTTACGGAGGAGCCACGTAAGTGGAACCTACCAGCTCACTTATCAATGTACTGACTGACGTATCAAGGTTTGCGTGCATGGGTGAGTTCACAGCGGTTCGCGCTCGATGGCCGCCATCACCGTGCTTCCTTGGTGGTGTAACCTGATGTCCCAACTAGAATCAGGAGCTTCGAGCGCTCTGAACCCCTTTATGGATTCCAGCTGACATCAGCGTTCGGCTGGCTTCTTGGTCCCACTGTCGGAAACGCTCTCTTTGGCGTCACCCACCCCAAGCTCTCGAAGGGCAACCCCTCCCCTCTTGAGGTCATGGACCGCGAGTTCTTCAACAGGATAAAGTCGAGGCGTGTTGACCCTTCGCGCCAGAGCATGAACAACCCCTCGCCCGACTTCTACGGAGAGAAGGTGCGTCAGACGAGCTCGTTGCGGACCAGTTACTGACGCTTCGCCCTAATGCTTGAACTCGCACATCTCTCACCCCGCATTGTGTGGTACCCGTTATCTCGGCTGCGAAACTGGCACTGGTGTTTGTTGCGGTGGCATTTCGGTCAACAGATCACCTCGATCCCGGCTTACCGCCAGTGGCTCAAGGACCAGAAGGCGTATGCTGCCAAGGTGTCCCACGGCGTCCCCGACGAGCTCTAAGGAAGAGAAGATCTTTTGTAACACATGTCTGGAGAGGCCCCAACTCGCATATGGGCCCGTGTATGCATTGAGCATGGAAATTGATGGTGCTCGTGTGATAGCGGAGCCACTTTGCTGCGCACACTGGTGATGGTAGCAATGGCGGCGTGCACGGGGGCGGCGCCGGGGCGCGAGTTGATTGCCTTATGATGGGTCTGAATGCAGCGCAAGAAGTACTCAGCAACACAATGCAACGCTGTTCAGCATCGATGAGGTAGTGCACAAATGCGCCGTCATGTTACGCGGATGCAGACGCGTTGTACATGTGGACTGGGTAGGTTCGGTTCTCCCGCTGCGTCAGAGCCGGAGGCACCGGTCTGATGCATGAAGCGGTGACGGCGGCTTTCAAAACACCGTCAGTCCGCGCGTCCTGACCCGGACCCGCCCAGTGTCCTACGAACGACACGTGACTGAAACGTATTAGGCAGACTGTGATTGGCATGGACAAAGTCCGAAGAGTTCCGACCCCAGCTTCCGTCAGTCAAGGTGGCGTCGACCAACCACAGGCCTCGTGTTGCACACAGGATAGCTCCCGTTCACCGAAGCGACACCCACACACCCCCGTCCGCCAACCAGTCAAGTCACCACTTCGCCTTTCGCCTCGTTCTCCATCTCACCACTCATCCCCTACCTCTCGCCCATCATGATGCGCACCACCGCCCTCCGTGCCCTCCCCCGCGGCACCGTCGCCCGCCAGCTCTCGACCTCGGCCGCTTCCCAGTTCGCCCAGCCCTCCGAGTCGACCGCCACCCCTGCTGCCGGCACCAAGCCTCCTCAGATCAAGGAGTTCAAGATCTACCGCTGGGTATGTATACGCGTCACGACTACTCGGCAACACATGCGCGCCTCGACACTTGAGAAAGGACTTCAAGACTAGACGTCTACCAAGCTCAAGCGGTCGCCGTGTGGAGCCGAAGTAGCCGGCTTACTGCACGGATCATTTTACTGACTTTCGATTAGAACCCCGACACCCCCTCGGAGAAGCCCAAGCTCCAGTCCTACAAGGTTGACCTCAACCAGTGTGGCCCTATGATGCTTGACGCTCTCGTGAGTTGCGCACAGCCCCTCTCAACTAACCTTTCAGCTCAAGATCAAGAACGAGATGGACCCCACCCTTACCTTCCGTCGCTCGTGCCGTGAGGGTATCTGTGGCTCGTGTGCCATGAACATTGACGGTGTCAACACCCTCGCCTGTCTCTGCCGCATTGACAAGGACACCTCCAAGCCCGGCAAGGTCTACCCCCTCCCTCACAGTGCGTTTTTCTGGTCTTGTCCGACAGGACTCGGCTGACGTTTTGCAGTGTACGTTGTCAAGGACCTCGTCCCTGACCTCACCCTCTTCTACAAGCAGTACAAGTCCATCCAGCCTTGGCTCAAGCACGACAACCCCCCCAAGACTGAGATCCTCCAGTCCCAGCACGACCGCAAGAAGCTCGACGGCATGTACGAGTGCATTCTCTGCGCGTGCTGCTCCACCTCGTGCCCTTCGGTTAGTACCCGGCAATTTCCGAGCCCAAAAGTGTTGTGAAGCTGACATTCAACAGTACTGGTGGAACCAGGACCAGTACCTTGGCCCTGCCGTCCTCATGCAGGCTTACCGCTGGATTGCCGACTCTCGTGACCAGGCCACCGAGGAGCGCAAGGAGAAGCTCCAGAACAACATGTCTCTCTACCGATGGTGAGTTCTTCCTGGGTGGTGTCTCCTGGGTCGTGTTTCACTAGCCGCCTATTTCGGCGGAATCAAATCCGCAGGCCACGCTTGACCCGTGCCTGGTGCCTGAAAGTCACTACGCATCTGCCACACTCCACCACCACCACCGTACCATCACCTCATCCACCCGTCCACCTCTTCACGAGTCCTCAACTGACATCTTCACAGCCACACCATCTTGAATTGTACCCGCACTTGCCCGAAGGGGCTCCGTCCAGGCAGTGCGATCGCTTTCATGAAGTTGGAGATGGCGACGGGCAAGAAGGCCTCGCACGGCATCACCGAGGTCGCCTAAGCGACTGTGCGACGGAGCGGTGTCGGAGTGGACTTTTCTGCTCTTAAACAAAAATGAGAACAGCGCCCTGTCTCTCTCTTACGGGAACAGGGCGCTCTAGTGAGGACAACGACAGGAGGACGACTGTGGTCGACGCCCAAACAGCGCACAGTTCGGCCAGCAGTTTCCGCCCCAAAGGCGGTTTGTATGCATTAATCTAAGACTCAAGGGGCACTGGGGCAGCGCGGGAGTGTCGCAACTAGGCAGCAGTTTGTGCGCAAGGAGAAGTGAGAATCATGAGCGCCGTGCGTGTGGCAGAATGGACATCTCCGCCACACGAGACGATTTCTCCATGTGCCAGAGCACACAAACAGCGGAGCAGTCAGAAACCCAGTCGGGCAGCGGGCGGAGTTGGTTGTAGAGCTCCGCGAGTGTTCGTGTCGCCCGTCCCGCCCTCGGCTCGAGTGAATAGGCAGATGACGTGGTTGACAGCATGTCGGCCTCGCGCTGATAGGCCGAGCATGTTCGCTGGTCCGCTACTTCGGACCGACTCTTGTCGAGGCAGTCGACCGTACATCAGTCCACAAGTTACAGAGCGCAACAGAGTGCAGCAGAGTGCAGAAGACGGTCATGTGGTCATGATACCTGTCTCGAGGCTGATAGGTCGAGTTCCTTGTCGCTCTGTGCCCCTCTACTTGGACCGACAGTCAGAACCGAGTCGAGAGCCAGAGACACAGAGACGCAGTCAGTATCTGCCTGTAGATAATCATGTCCTTGAGTATAATCCATAAAGTTCATGTTTATGTCTTGGGTCATGAGATCTACGGGTGGCACAGACGTGCTTTCGTTTCATCTTTCAATTCGTCCACTCTCACTCACACTCCCACTCTCACTCCCACTATCCCCTCTCCGCTATCCCCTCTCCACTCTCCCCTCTCCACTCCCACACCCCACGACCAAGAGGCATACTTAGATAGCAGAGCCCTTGACCTCGGCGCCCTCCGCGTCCTCGACCTTGGGCACGACGGGGACGATGGGCTCGGCCGCGACCGCCTTGACCTCGTCGGGCACAACCGCGGCCGCAAAGTCCGTCTCGGCGCGGGCCTTGGGCGCGAACGCGTTCTGGGCCGAGATCGGGGTCGGGTCGAACGTGTCGTCGAGCTTGGACTCGTACGCGGCATCAGAGGCCGCGAAGGCGTTCTGGGCGGGCTTGGGGGCAGCAGCGGCAGACGAGAGACCGCCAAGAGCGGCGGTTGAGGCGGCCGAGAGGGTGGGCTCGGCCGAGGCCGCGGCGGGCTTGGAGGCGGCCGGAGCGGGGACCGAAGCAGCGACAGGCTTAGCGGCACCACCGTACATCTCGGGCCAGAACTCGCGGTGCGACTCGACGGGCTTGATCTCGCGGCGGACGGGGGCCTGGGTCGCGGCGTGGGTGGGGATCTGGCCACAGCGGTCGAAGGCGTTGAGGTTCTTGTGCAGGGTGATCTGGAAGACGGACGAGGAGCCCTGACGAGCGACAATGACAGAGTAGGCAAGGAAGTAGGCCCAGATGCGGAACCAGCGCTCGCCGTACTTGGCGACGACCTTGTCGCGGTTCGAGAGCCAGTTCTTGTACCACTGCCAGATGGTCGCCGAGTAGTGCACGCCGAGGACGTCGATGCTCTTGACCTCGAAGCCGGCGCCCTCGAGCTGCTCAATGACCCAGCCGAGGTTCTTGCTCGCGTCGGCTCCGGGGAAGACGTACTTGTTCATGAAGATGCCCCAGATCAGGTCCTCGAACTGCCACTGCTTGCGCAGACCGGCCACCTGGAACACGAGCACTCCGTCGTCGTCCAGCAGGTCGTAGAGCTCCTTCAGGAAGGTCGAGTAGCGGCGCAGGCCGACGTGCTCGGCCATCTCGAGGCAGGAAATCTTGTTGTAGTAGCCCTTCTTGTTCGGGATCTCGCGGTAGTCCATGCACAGCACGCGGCCCTGCGACTCGGGAACACCGTTCTCGCGCAGGCGGCGCTCGGCGAACGCGGCACCAGTCTGGGCAACAGTAACACCAGTGACGTCGGCACCATAGTTCTTGGCAGCGTGGGCAATGAGGGTTCCCCAGCCACAGCCAATGTCGAGCATGCGGTCGCCGGGCTGCAGGTCGAGCTTCTCGCAGACCATGTTCAGCTTGTTGTCCTGGAGCTCCTCGAGCGTCTCCTCGCGGTTAATGTCGCGGATAACACCAGAGGTGTAGATCATACGGGGGCCAAGGAACCACGAGTAAAAGTCGTCTCCTCGGTCATAGTTGTCGCGGATCTGGTCCTCGTCCTGCTTCTGCGTGTGGAAGATGACGTCGGGGATCAGGTTGAACAGGACGTAGCGGAAGTTCTCGGGCGTGAGCTCAAACAGCGACCAGTCGTGGCGCTGCTCCATGACGTCGAGCACGTCGCCGTTGAAGTCAATCTTGCCCTCAAAGTAGGCGTCGTGGAACACCTGCATCGGCATCTTCTTGCCCTCGTACTTGGCAGCGAGGTCGCGGTCCTTGATCGTGTAGTACTCGGACAGGGGGCGGTTGGGCAGCTTGGTGCGCTCATTCTTGCGCGGGCCGAAGCGAGACGTGATAATCCAGTAGCCGATCGTGAGGGGCACGAAGAAGAGCGCAAACAGGAACCAGTATGTCTTCCATCCAGTCTTGAACGGGATCATGCGCTGCACAAACCAAGGGACAGCGAGGTCGAGGATCGCGAGGTGCACATTGTTGAACGCACCCGAGCCCTCGGCGGGGAGAGTGGCATTGTGGATAGCCTTCCACTTGGTACTGTGGAACGTCAGTTGAGAACAGCGGTCAACGCAACTCACAGCTTGACAGGCTTCTGCACGGGCTGCTGCAGCTCTTGGAGAGTAGGAGACTCCTTTTTGACTTCGGCCATGGTGGAATGGGGAAGTTGGCAAAGTCGAAGTCTTGAGGTGTCTTCGAGGTCGTGCCAAGTTAAAGTAGGGGAGCAAGAAAAGCGGGATACACTGTGAACTTTGGGCGCGTCACCAAAGTGTCCCTCAAAGTTCAGACGTGGCACCCAATGACCCAATGATTCATGTGCCAGATACCACGGCTCAGGGGCCGATCACCGTACCGCCCGTCCAAAGCGAGTCCGGAGCCTGACTACTGGGCCATCCGCTCAGACGTCGCGCCGCCGTCGCGTCATTTACTTCGCTTAGGCCGGGCTCTTTGCGAGCTTCTTTTTCCAGCCTAACGGATACTTTAGTGACTTTTGGACCGGACAACCTTGTCCATCTCCGCAGTGCACGTGTCCCTGTCACACGTCACTCATCTCGCGGCCTCAATCTTATCACCCAATGGACCTCCACTTTCCAGGTCCTCTGCTGATCGACCTTGCATCGAGATTTCTGATCGACGAGACCTGTCAACAACCCTCGAGGCACCACGGTTGACGGCATGGACGGCGTCACAAATGGTCTAGCGAGCACCAGACTCGACAGTGGCTCTCCGTCTGTCCCATCTCTGCAGCCCAAGGCTCCCGTCAAGCCCGTCAAGGCTACGGTTCAGACCCCTCCCCGCCCAAAGTTCCAGCCGACCCACCTTCCCCGCGAGCACACAAGTCCACTGGACACCGAGACCGAGAAATGGGTGACGCCTCTGTCGGCTCCGGCATACTTTCCCCTCGACATCTTCCATTCCATCCTGAACGAGCTCTCACGGCATCCGGAGCAGAACTCGAGCTTGATCATCCGTGCCGACTGTCTTCCCTCTCAACCGGGCGACAATGACGACGGAGGACTCGGCGAGCGGTTAGGGCTGGAGATGGACGAGTTCAACCGTTTCAGGTTTGTTCCTCGGCAGCCCAACCGTGACTCGAGGCTCGAGCAGGTGATCCACACCTACAGCGCTCCGGACGGCTCTGCTGGTCTGCATGTCAAGATGCCGCAAGCGGACTCAGCAGCCGAGGTGCCTTACTACCACCCGCCGGTCCGCAAGCTAGCGTTCCAGTGGCAGGCTGCGGAAGAGACTGAGGCGGCTATGCCGGAGGAAGGTGTGCCCCGGGTGTATGGCACCCTCACCGTGTCATACCTTCCTTTCGACGACACGCCCTCCACCGGCAACCCCGAATTGATGGCGCCTCCGCCGAAGGTTCCCCGACGACGATCACCGCTGGCTCCGCCGCTACCCGAGGCTGCGCCGGTACAAACACCTGCTACTGTTCTCGAGGACGACACTCCCGAAGCACGAATCGAGGCGCAGGCGGTCGTCGAGCGGCGACTAAACCGAACATGCCTCGCCCTACTCGAGAAGCTGCACAAGCACGGATATGGGACATTGATCGGCTACCAGAAGCGGGTGCACCATGACGTGAGCTGAAAGTCCTCCTTAGCTAACTCCCAGGTCGTTGTGCCTCGCGAGCCGTTCCAGGACCTGTATCAGACGCTGAAGGAGCGCCACAAGAAACTCGACTCGCGTGTGCCTCTGGCGTGGAGCACCAAGGTGGAAGATGTCAAGCGACATGTGTGGAAGGTAAGTGGTTGCGATGGTGTGACGACTTCGTACCGAATACAAACCCGCAGAACCCAGGCTCACCAGATGACCGGGCGTTGCCTGACGACCTTTCACTTTGGGGCTCACAGGATATCGCAATCTGCACCTTCTTGATGCTGCTGTGGAAGGACATGTATCCGCCACGAGAGGGACCGGCAATTACTGGGCAGGAGTGGGACACGTGGGGCCGCCCGCCAGCTGGTTTCATCGATTTAGGATGCGTAAGTTGCACTTGGTGAGGACGCAATTGACCATCTCAGGGCAATGGTCTTATCGTCCACATCCTGACGTCTGAGGTGAGTGCATTTGGAGGGGTCTCGTCCGCCCTTGGCGCTGACTTTGCAGGGATACGATGGAAAGGGATACGAGTTGCGTGCACGTCGGACGTGGCCCGAGTACCCAGACAAGACGCAGGCAGCCCTGATCGAGCTGCCCATCGACATGCCGAGTTGGTTCCCAGAAACGCTCGAGCAGTGGGAGGCTGGGGAATGGCCTGGGCGCGAGGATTGCGTTATCAAACAAGGGTCGTTCATGCTGGGTAACCACGCCGACGAGCTCACTGTGAGTCCCGCATTCCGGTGCTTGCCACAGACTGACGCGCTATCATAGCCGTGGATCCCACTGCTATCTCTCATCCCCGCCAAGCCAGTGCCCTACCTGTCGCTGCCGTGTTGCTTGCACACGCTTGACGAGAAGTTTACGACCCTCGAGTACAAGGCACCGCCGCATACGCACACGCCGGAAGGTGGTTTCGAAGCGGGTCTGGAAGCTGGATCGTCGCGCTACAAGTCGTACGTGATGTGGCTCGGATGGGTCGGCCTTCAGTGCGGGTGGAAATGGGAGAAGGAATCGCTCCGAATTCCATCCACGCGTGGGTGGGGCATTGTCGCGCGATCACGATGGACGACGACGACAGAGGAGGACCAGGCGTGTCGCAAGTGGGCGCTGGACGAGGTCAATGCGGTCCGAGAGCGCGGGGCCTTCAAGGTTCGCGTCAAGGAAGGCAAGGACCACTAGGTGCCGAGGCACGTGCCCCTCTGAGCCATCCGAAGGAGACGTATGCATGATGGTCAACCACAGACCGGTGTCTGGGATTCTATTTGATGGACAGACTGATGGAGACATGTCACAAGGGGGGAATCTAGGTGTGTAAAGGGATTACATGCTTAGCGTGAGCAAGGGTGCATCCGGCGTATCCTGGGTCTCTGATATGATACAATTGATGATAGCGACGGGGGCCGGGTCGAGGGGTAGGGAGCACACCGCCGCATACGCCGCGCCGGCCCTATGCGTGTCCACCCTCGCTGTCTCGAACCTCCCTGCCAGTCCTGGGTCAGTTTGTCTGCATGCTGCGCCCTGCTCGGGTAGGGCTTGCGCTGGGTCGTATGGATGGCGTTTGAGGCGCCGAAGAACAGACCGTCAGCCAGTCAGTGGTGGCAGATGGAGTGGACGTCGGACGGTCCGTGCTCGAGGTGATCCTGCATGACCCTTTGACACTTCAGCACTTTGGTCGCTGGACCATCCGTAACAGCCGTAGCTGTCAGGCTGTTGCGCCCTACGGCCCGGTCGTCTGCGCATGCCGAGCAATGAGCTGCGCGTCCCAACGCGCCGCTCGCCGATGAACCAGAGCCAAACACAGCAAACACTGCGCGACGGTGCTTAGCGTGCGCCTCCTGGCTGCAGTGGGCAAAGGCCCTTGCGAGGACCCACAAGGGCCCTGTGCATGTGCACTGTCTGTTTCCCTTCCCTACTCCTCCTCTGCTACTGCTGCATCTGCTGACGTTCAGCGTCCCGGACCGTTCAGCGCACTGCGCACCGCGCGCCGAATCGAGACATACGTCCATGCTCCCTTCCACACTTCTGGCTCTGGGCCGGCCACTCTTTCACTTTGCGTCTTCTCTTCCCTCTTTCGCCTCTTCTTCCCTCATCGCTCTGACCTTCTCCTTCCCCGCCGTCGTCGGTGTTCGTGTTCGTTGATCCCTCTACCCGACTTTACATACACGCCTTCAAAGTCGGTGCCCCCTCAACGTCACTGCACGACTCGTTGACGACAGCTCTACCTCCCTTTTTGTCTCACTTCCACTCATAGTCCAAGTCCGATATCGCCACCCCAGCGCATCCCCGATCCGAATCACAACATCTTGGTGACTTGGTGACTTGGTGCTGGCACCGATACCTCGCGACGAACGACAACAATACATTCGCATACAACCTTTCACCCACCTCCGCACTACTTCGGCACGTCGCTACTCTACACCCCTTCTCCCCTCACGCTCTTTGAACCGACCCTCATTTCCTCCACCTTAATCCTCATCGGCACGGGCACGGGCAGCCCGAGTAAGCTACACCTCTTACTTTCAACTCTCTCTCAACCATTTCGCAACCAACGCCCTGCTTTAACAAAACTTGACATTTCCAGTTGATTCAAGCATCCTCTGAGAGTCGTCCGTTGTCGCAGGTCATCTGTGGTACCAAGGACGAACACTGTATACGTACACGCACAACCGCACACTGCTTTCCGCTTTGGCTCGCAATCGTGGCGGCCCTCAGACCTCAAAGATGAAGAACGACCGTCCCATGTTTAGGGGTCAGCACAGGCAGGCCCTAGCCCGGAGGTGGCAGGGCTCACCTCGCGCTGAAACCCCAACAATAATAACTATCCCCGCAGAGACCCCCTCGTCTCTTCCCTCTCCTCTTGCTCAGTCTTCTGAATCTTGGCAGTCCCAAAAAGACAATCACCCTGCATCGGAGTCGGCAACTGACACTTCACCAACATCGGAGCCGCAGGTTCCCAACACATCATCTGCCACCTCTCCCGCAGTCGAATCCTCAATGTCTGAGCAGAGCGCTGCGCCGTCTTTTACCCCGACTCCCGCAGAGAGCAACTCCGCCATGTCTGAACCGATCCAGGAGAGCGCCATTCCGACTCCCAGCCCTACCCCGGACGCCTCCCAGGCCCCTTCTCCCACGCCCCTACCGACGGAATCGTCTGCTGACGCTCAACCTCAACCAACAGTAGAGCAGAGCCTTTCCCAGGCATCGCCGACGGAGGCACCGACGACGAGCTCTGGCTTTTCCGAATTCTTCTCCGATCCTAACGAGGAGTCCTCAGCACCACCGTCGCAAGTCGAGGAGAGCTCTACGCCTCCATCGGCGTCGCCGTCGTCAGCCGGTGAGACCGAGCCGACGCATTCCAGCGAAGCGCCTCAGCCCACGTCTGAACCGTACGTTGCGCAGCCTGCATGGTCGCTTACGTACCAGCTCTTCCGATAAGCCGATTGACCAACCCACTGACATTACTGTCTCGGCGTCATTGCCGTCTCCGACACCTTCAAAGGGAGAGGACAACTGGACGCCACAACCCTCCCCGACGAGGGAGGAGGAGAAGCCGTCACCGACGCCAACACAACAACCGATAGCAGCGTCTTCTAGTTCTTCCACTTTGGGAAGCTGGGATGACAACAGCACGGACCAGGAGCAGCAGCAGCAGCCCTCGCAAACATACCAGTCAACGTCCGAGTACTGGGTCGCCAATGCCGTAGAAAGCGAGGTGGTCAGCACCTCTGCAGTACCCCTGACGACCTCTAGCGTCTACAAGGCGGCAGGTGGCGAAACACGTACATCAACTTGGGTGTATTCGACAACGTATTCCACGGTCCGATCCCCGGACCGCACCATTACCGCAAGTGGCAAAGTTGGTACCAAGGTCACCGTTGTGGCGGGTTCATCGACCGCCACAACCCTCACGGCTACGAATGAGGCCAACCCGACGTCCGAGGCTTCCAACTCGTCTGACGGGTCTCTCTCGAAGGGAGGTATTGCTGGTATGTGTCGTTGGCCACTCCACATTGCTGACATGCAAAGGTGTTGTCGTTGGTTGTCTCGCTGCTGTTGCGGCGATCCTTCTGCTATTGTTCCTCTTCTGCGTAAGTGACAATGCTGCCGGTATAGATCGCAGACAGCTGATCTTCCCCAGAAACGCCGACGTTCCGGAGCTCTAAAACTCCGCGACGAGGACCAATACGGTATCAGTCCGCGGTCCGGCCTCAAGCGCAACGGAACGCAACATTCTGCCCTCGACTTTTCCGACGGACCGCTGCACGGATCGCGGCAGCCGACCTGCCTGGAGCCCGTCCCGGAGATGCCGGAAGCGTCGTTCCAGCGTGTGTCAAAGGATGGCGAGTGGGAATACGCCTCGGACGACGCACAGCGGTCCCCAATGCAGAACGCAGACAGCGAGCGCTTCACGCACTACGACGACTGGTTAGCGTACGAGTACGCCAACAGCCCCTTCAGCGAGAAGCACGCCATCCCCGAGCCCCCCTCGGCATCCATAACACACGGAAGTGGGGGTGACGACAATGTCTCCGTCACGATCAAGTCACCCAAGAACACGACCAACTCGATGTACGGCATCCCGTTCGACGCATACGGCAATGCGTACGCGAATCCGGCCAAGTTTGTGCCGAAACTCCACGCCGGGCCCAGTATACAGAGCCTCCACTCCGTGAGCACGGTCGAGCAGTCGCACATGGGCTTTTCGGGCGAGATTTGCTCCACGGACGACTCGTCCTCGATGGGGCACGGGTCCATGAGCCACGCCACGAGTACGAGCATCAGTCAGGGACATACCTCGCTCCGAGGACAGGCGGGACATTTGCACAGCGCGAGTGGAACGTTTGGCATAGCCCGGTGAGCTCGAGCTTGGCTCGCGTCAGCGAGTCAAGCGAGTTGAAGTCGGAGCTGTGGATCACCCCTTCTTCTTCCTTCTGGGCAATCTCCGTCACGGCGGTCTTTCAGCGCGGTCTCTCTGGTCTCTTTTAGTTACTCTGGTCTTCAAGATCCGGGTGCGCCGCAGTTGTACCGGTCCCCTATCGAGGCAATATACCCCCGGCTCTAAGGTAGAGCACCCAAGCCTAGTGAGGTACCCGGCTCGATTTTATTGTTGTTTAGCACCGTGCCGCGTACGGCGTACGTCAAGCACAATACTGCACCCGTTTCACTACAAACGGATAGGTTTATGTCATTTGGGATTTTTTTGTTCTTTCTTCACGAGCGTTGAGCCGAGTCGCATGAGACGCACTGCGCCCCTCCATCCCTCACTCATGAGCGTCAGTATAAGACAGTCAGTGGAGGTAGTCCGCATTAGTCGGGGCAGAGGTTGAAGCTCATCCAGGACCAGCAATGATACAACATAAAAAAAGCTAAAGCCACGGATCGAGCCAAGAGCCCACGCCCAGTGCCGCACCCCAACCCGCCAGCACCACAGCCGTGGTCACCAAAGGCGGCGTGGGGAGCAACACCCTCAGTCCAAACCCAGCACTCATGCCGCCGAGCAATCTGGTCCCGAGCCAGAGCTTGTTCGAGCTGGCCCAGGCGCGGTCCACCTCCCGAGCCATCTGGGGCGGGACGCGGCTCACGAGCCAGGGCGCGACGGCTGCGAAGGACTCGGAAAGTGGCGTACTGGTCTGGGGACCGGGGAGGCCAGGGAGGCCAGTGAGGGGCGAAGCAGCGACCGACCAGACACTGAGCCCGAGCTGGAGGAGGAGGGGCAGCAGCGTCGTGTACAGGAGCACGAGGGGGATGAGGGCGGGGAGGAAGCCGCGCTGGCGGCCGTCTTTCTGTCCCTTCTGGCCCGCCTGTTTTGCCTCGTCATACCCTCCGTCGTTTGAGGGGACAGAAGGCTCGTACACTCCCCAAGTTGAGGGGGTGTACCACCCCCTCCACCTCAGCAGAACCAGAGCCAGAGCAGTGCTCGTCGCGAGCTGGGCGCCGAGTTCGAGCCCCACGCGCAAGGCAGTGGCAATGAGGAGGGGGAAGGAGACGAGTGGCGCCGATGCAAGGCGGACGGCGACCTCGGCGAGGAGCGTGATCGTAAACAGTCGCACGAGGTAGGCGTGCACTGTCTCCTGCCTTGGCTCGACAAAGTGCCGACGGGGCGCCGGCTCGGCTGGTCCCGCAACGACCCTCTCTGCTCCTTCTCCATCTCCTTGCCTTCCTTCGGCTGGTCCGTCTTCCTCTGGTCGATCTTCTGCTTGTTCCGCCACGGCAGCCGCCTCAGCCGCCTCAACCTCGACCTCCTGCTCGCCCGTGCGTCCTGTGTCACCCTCGACAGCTGGCGTAGGCTCCACTGGCTTGGGTCGCAGCTCCTCCAACTTTGCTGGCTCTCCCGCCTTGCGCGGCGGCGAGCCCCGGTTGAATAGCAAGTGCAGAAACACGCGCGGCTTCAGCAGCACCAGGTCGAGGAAGAGAAGCAGCGGGGGCGCCTCGATGAGCGGGTCGATGAAGCCTCCACAGTTGTCCTGCTTGGTCAGCTCGCTACAGACTCAGCACAGCTACCGGACAGGGGGGAGGAGGAAGATCACCACTCACACATACACCCAGCCTGATGTTCGAGCGCGAGGTGTAGGTCGTATATACATGGCTGGCGGGATAGGCGCAGTTCGTGCAGAGCGGTCTCCACCCTGACAGTGCGTCTTCCTCCATCGTCGAGTTCCAGTCGAGTTCCGCCCGTAGTTGTTCCGTCGCTGTTGTTCCGTCGGACACTTGCGTTTTTTGTTGTCGTCGCGTCAACCGGCGTCGACCGCAACATTCCTTGGCCCTTGGCCCTTGGGCCGGCAGGAAATGACGCGGACTGGCCGGGTGGAGGTAGACTTCAGCACGTGGACGCCACCGTAGGATCGCGTAGGAGGTCGCCGGAACTGGGCGGATCCGCACGGGAGCAAATGGGCGGTTCATTGGCTGGAGGCCCCGCTATGACGAAGGTGTGTGGTCCAGATCGTCCTGCGCCTGCGGATGGCGGCTAGGCTGGTACGGGCGACGCCTGCCATGGCGTCCGAGTTGCTTCTCGCCCATCATCCCGACTCGTTCAAGCTGTGCAAACGCACGAGCATCAAGCTTCGTCAACAACAACACTCCCTCCTACCTCTTTCATCACGAATTTTTTTGCACTCCCCGATCGAGATCGAGCATTCATCTACCCAAGCTATTGATTCTTCTTTCGCCACCACCACACACCACACACCCCGACGTCAAGACTATACCCCTCTGATTGATATCGCTCCACACGATCTCGACCACCCGACGACATTGCAGCATCCACCATGAGTACAGGAACACCACCCCTCCGCCCCGCGATCAAGATGACGGTGAACCCGCCGAACGACGGGAGCGGGACGCCGCAGACCCTCTCGCCCGTCTCCGGCACCAACACGCCGAGCACGGCAGCCTCCTTTGCGCACCAGCAGGGCCACGGACACAGCCCGCGCGGCAGCATCAGCGGGCTCGGCGTGACGGGTGCAGGCTTCCCGCGCACGATGACGGCGGGGACGACCTCCTCAGTCGGCGACGGAAAGTACAGGCGCAAGGTCGGGTTCGAGACGTTCGATGCCCAGCCTGAGAGTTTGTTCACATATACATGTCAGGTGAGTCAACTCGCGCTCTGGGGGTGGTCTATTCGTGGAGGTCGCTGGAAGTCACCGGATCCCGAAGGGCTGTTTCCAGGCAGCACGCAGAATTGCAAGCAATGCGAAGATGGCGGCCAGTCCGCTCATATCTGCACCGCCTTTCGCGCCTTAATGCAGTCGTGATCGGCACGGGCCATCGATAAGGGCTGGGTTGGGATGATAAGCGCGCGAAAAGCGCTTGACTGCAGGCATATGCACTGCGAGCGTGCGTTATGCGTCCCTTGCCCTGGGCCAGAACTCAGAAGCTGTTCTCAGGCCCTGGATCGCACTCTTCCAGCTGACCGGCTCGCGACCCACGCGTTGTCTCGCACCAGCGGTACCTTCCTCGGCCCACAGACCCTCCCACGCTTCTGGATCCAACGCGGGACTTGTCATAGCTGACAACACCAGGCCAAATCCGAGGGCTACAAACGGTCGCGGAACACGCGCGTGTTCCTCGTCGCCGTGTCCCCGGACGAATCGGGCGAGGACGCCCTCGACTGGCTCATGAGCGAACTGGTGGAAGATGGAGACGAGGTCATCGCTATGCGTGTTAAGGACATGGGCGAGAGCGAACGTCACACCGAGGTCGCGCACGAGCACCTCCGCGAGGAGGCCAACGAGATGCTCCAAACGGTGCTCCAGAAGAACAACGAGGAGGACGGGCGTAAGGTGAGTATTCCGTGCGAGCTGGGCGGAGCGAAGCGACGCACAGCTGTCCCCGCCTCGCTGCAACGCGGCAGCTTGGCTCTGAGCTGTCGTACTATGACACTATCAGCTGACGCCAGATCTCGGTCATTGTCGAAGTCGTCGTCGGGCACATCCCCGAGATGATTCTTAAAATGATTGCGCTGTACCGCCCCGACTCGCTAGTCGTCGGAACGAAGGGGCAGCGCTCCAAGGTCTCGCGCTGGGGCAAGGCTTTCGGCGCGCCCGGAATGGGCTCGATCAGTCGATTCGCCGTGTCCCACTCCCCCGTCCCCGTTATTGTCGTCCGGCCCGAGCGCAAGGTGAAGAAGACGCAGGAGAAGCGCGAGGCGGCGGGCAAACGCGGCCAATACGCGGCGCTCGTGGGCGACAATGACATTGTCCTGAGCCGGAGCAGGAGTCGCGAGCGCAGTCGCTCCAGGGGACGGAGCATCGATACCGATCGCGAGTGAGCATATCGTGACGGCGGGGATGCTGCAGGTAGAGGGTAGAGGATGGAGGAGTGGAGGGAGGCGGAGTAGGTGTAGAGGGCGTAGAGCGAGCGAATCCTCCGCCGACAGCGGCTAGCTGGTGGATCCGCGACAGTGGGTCAGCAGCTCAGCTTGGACGCCACTGGACGCGTCGAGGAGTTGGGGAGATCTTTGTACAACCGATTAACAACCCTGTACGTATTTGGTACTGGTACTCTGATATCGTTATGGAACCGTTCTGGACATACCATTGTAGCACTGCTCATTGTTTGCTTTGGTTACAAGGGGATGTCGCATCGAGTCTAGTGTCTACAGCTCTCACTCGGCCTCGCCGAGGTCGCCCTCATCGTCCTGCTCCTCCGCCTCAGCCATCTCGACGTCGCCCTGCTGCTGCTGCTCGGCGGTCTGCTCGGCGGACCGCTCGACAGGCTGTTCAGCCGGGAGAGTCTCCTCTTGCTGTGCCTGCGCCTGCTCCTGAGTGTCCATCGGGGTATCCGTCTCCGCAGTTGACTCCTGCACGACCACTTGCGGGGCAGGCTCGGTCTCCTCCTTCTCAGCCGCCGCCTCGTCCGCAGCAGGCTCCTCAGCAGCAGCCTCAGCCTCTGGCACATCGGCGTCGCCCTCGGCTGCCTCAGTCACGTCCGCGTCAGCGTCGCCGCCTTCTGCATCCGCGGCGACCTCGGCCTCAGCGTCGGCCTCGCTCTGTCCCTTTGCGCGAGCAGCAGCTTGCTTAGAGTCAAAGTCGCGCATCAGGTTGACGAGCTTGGTGAGGTCGTACGCGCCCATGGCGGCGAGGACGCGGGGGTGCGTGTCGCGCGCCTGGCGGAGGGCGAGCCATCGGATCGTCTCCTTGCGCTGAATGTTAGCTTAAGATCAGCTGTCCTTCAGCTCCACGCTTACCCTCTTGATGTTCTCTGGGGGCTCGCGGCCCATGGCCTTGTCGTCCTCCTCCTCAGCCTCGAGGCGGCGATACTCCTCCTCGAGCTCGAAGACTGTCTGTCTCGTCTTCTTCTTGAAGTCGCCGAGACCCTTGAAGCTCGTCTCGGAGAGGCGGGTCAGCGTCGGCGTACCTTGCTTGTAAGGCCAGGGGCGGGGTGGCTTGGACTGCCGCTCCCACTTGCGCGCCGTCGCCTTGCCCTCAGTCGGCGGGACGGGGGCGATCGCCCAGTCTGCCTCGGGACATCCGTCATTCTTCCATTGCGCGTAGCGCCGCTCGCGGTTCATCAACTCGACGACGGTTTCCTCGAAGCGCAGCCCGTCTGTGCTGTCGATGCGCTTCAGCTCGTCGCGGATGCGGGATACTGTGCTCTTGATCCACCTCGCCGCGTCGTCATCGATAATGAACGACTTCGGCATACCGCCCGTCGCCTGCTGTTTGCTCGCAACGCCTGGGGTCAGGTTCAGCAGGAACTGGAACAGGATGAAGTACTGCAGCAGAACCTGCCGCCGGAAACCGATGTCGGCCAGCTCGTGCCGCAGCAGAGCGCGTGCCGTCAGATATCGCGGAAACACGACCTCGGTCTCGGCATCGGGTCCCCGGTCGACCTTGGGTGTCGGGTTTGCGCGCTCCCGCGCCGTCTCCGCGAAGAGACGCTCGAGCACTTCGTCGCTCGCACTTCGGAAGCGCTCGAACGGCGTCTGCGCTGGCTCCCCGGTCGCCGGACCATCCAGACTCGGCGGGTGCGCAAAGTACTGTTGCAGGCTCCAAAGCGTGTTGTAGAACTTGTCGTCCTCGCTCTTCTCTCCCTTCTCGCCTTTTGCCGCGCCGCCGTCCATCTCGACGTCACCGTCTGCGCCCGCAGCCGTCTCCTCCGGCGTCTCCTCCCACGTCGTCCGGATGCCGCTGTACTCTCCGCGCATGTTGATGGCGCTCTTGTCGCTGACGCTGATCGCGCGGCTCGCGAAGAGCTGCACACGGCCGCGCAGCTGCAGGTCCGCCGGGGTGCTGCTGAGTGTCCGGAGGAAGGTGTTGATCGTTCGCAGAAGCGGTAACGCCTTGCCCTTGGAGGCGGGCATGTCGCGCGTGAACCGCTTCTCCCTCGTCTCGAAGTAGGAGAAGAACGAGTGCCACGTCTCGACGCTGAGCAGCTCGACGAACTCCTCGAGCAGAGGGATAAAGATCGCTCCCGGCTCGAGCAGCGCCTCGGCGTGCGTCGCGTACACTGCCTCGTAGAGCGTCAGAACAACGTCGAGTCGGTCCTGCAGCGCAGTCTGAAACGATGCCTGCTCCTTCTCGCTCGCACCATACTCAGGTTCGGAGAGCTGAGGATGTCAGTTGAATGTTGTCGAACGAGCAACTGGACTCACCTCGCCGGAAACTACAGGCCGGAGGGCGAGGTCCCGCCCAACGACGTCCATGGTACCTCGAATCACATCCGGTCTCCGAGATGACGGACCCTCGTCGTGGTTCTTGCTCCAGATGGCGTCGACCTTGCTCCGGAGGTCATCGGCATCGAGCGGCTTCAGTGGTGCGGCGCCCTTGTGCTTCTTGAGCTCCGTCAGGCGCTTCTTCCCCAGCGTCCCGAGGAGACCGGACAGGTCATCCGTCAGTCTCGAGTGCAGCGTCGTCGCTGCCATGTTGCCGAGCTTTTGTCGTCGGTGTGGTGAGCTGATGAGCGCCGAGGAAGACCGCAGTTGTCAACATCTGGCTGAGCGGCTTTGTTCAAGCGCGGCTGGTTGTGAGTTACGTAAACCGCTGAATAACATGGTGATTAGGGAGAAAGCTAATGTGCCATTAGCACCGATTTGGTCCCGCGGCTATGCAAATGACGCACTCATGTTGCCACCTGAAAGTGCAAAGAGGCTCGACATTTCTTCATCAACAACACCTACTCCATCCAACACAAAATGCCTCGTGACGAGCCTCTGCGCTACAACGACTCCCCTCCTCGCGGAGGCGCTCGAGGACGAGGCGGCCGTGACCGCTCCCGCAGCCCAGTCAGGGATTCGAGGCGCTACGATGACCGGAGGGACCGGGATTATGGCGGTGACCGGCGGCCGCACGACGATCGCGGCGATCGGGACTACGGACACCCCGACCGTGAGCGGCGGTATGAGCGTGGAGGCTACGACAGGGGACGGGGCGGATACAGCCGCGACTCGCGCGATTCTCGCGATTCCCGAGACTCGAGGGACCGTGACTGGGATCGGGATCGTGGAGACAGGTACGGTGGCCGCGGGGGACGGAGCGGGCGCGACCGCTCTCGGTCCAGGGAGAGGCCGCTCGACCGCCGTGCCATTGAGGAAGGACGCCGGAGACGTGAGGAGGAGCGTGCACGCGGTGTCGTATACACCGACGATGGACGCAAGATCGAGCCGGAAGGTGAGTTTTGCGGAGTTGTACTCGTAACTGACAATCAGCTCCACCCGCCGAGGAGGAAGAGCAGGAGGCCGAGCCCGCCGAGGAGATGGACGAGGAGACTGCTGCTATGGCGGCCATGATGGGATTCGGAGGGTTTGGAACCACGAAGGTGAGCTCAGATTACGCTTCTTTGAGCTGACATGAAGGGTGCCGAGGTCGAGGGCAACGATGTTGGCATGGCCAAGGTCAACAAGAAGCGCACTTGGCGTCAGTACATGAATCGTCGTGGTGGATTCAACCGTCCTCTCGACAAGATCAAGTAGAAAATTAGAGATTCTCTGTGCGTCGAGTTGTGGGCCCGTTGGAGCTGTGTTGATTTCGATATCTATGTCACCTCTTAGACTGTTGACTCTGCTGCCTGTGCTGTTAACCAAGCTATCCGTAATACATGTCACTACAGATAACGACCCAAATATCGGGGAATCAAAATATACGGTGAGGTATTGCTATATTGCTACGATGGTACTGCGTCGTCTCGAGATGTCTCATAATTTACACGGGCTCTCCGGAATTGTTGGCGAACTTGTGAAGGATGAAGTTGAGGAAGGTCGTTTCGTCATCCGGACCGGGTTCCGATCCGCTTCCTTCGTCATTGCCGCCGGTCTGCGTAATCGTGAAGGGGTTGAAGGCCCCCATGTCCATATTCCCTGGTCCAGGAACGCCAAGATTGGTGAAGTCGAAGCCGTCACCCACGGCTGTGCCAAACTCGGCGCCGTTCGAGCCGAACAACTCTGCGCTGTTCTGCTGGAGCGTCGTCGTGAGCTGGTCGTTCGGAGACGTGATCGGCAACGACATGTCGGTGTAGGATGACAGGCCAGAGATCTGGTTGGCGTTGTTGTTCTGACTGCTGACGTTTTGGAACTGCCCATGAGGGCTGGGGATAATGTTGGGTCCAGTCGCGTTGAACCCGGGCGACGCTCGGGCACTCTCAAAGCTGAATGGATTCTCGGGAGACCAGTTGCCGAGAGAGTCCTTGCCGCTGTCTGAGCCCTCCCGTTTTGCGCCGGTTGGAGGCTGCAGAGGTCGGGGCACGCGGCGCATGCCAGATGCGTTCTGCGAGCCAAACGGCTGGTGCACGTCCAGTCCGGGCATCTGCGGTGCAACATAGCCCCATGGCGAAGCCGAGGACATTTGATTGTTGCCATTCGACGCCGACGACATGGATCTGCGCTGAGCCATACGCTGCTCCTCCATCTCGCGGCGCTGCTGAAGTCGGAGTTGACGTCGCTCCTCCTCGGCCGCACGGCGACCGGAATTGGTCTTTGCCAATCCAAGAAGAAGGTCGACGGGCGTGTTCTCATCACTGCCTTCGCCGTTGGCAGCACGCTGCTTCTGAGCTGCCCCGTTGGCAGTGGAAGGGGCAGCCTTTGTAGGGTTCTTCGCGGTGAGGAACTCAACGATGGCCAGCTCCTCCTTGACAATGGGTTCAGAAAGACGTCCCTGCTCATCGCGGGCACGACCGGATACCACGTTGAGCAAGTGACGGAGCTCGTCTGCCTGGGGCGAGTCAGGGTCCAGCTTGATGGTCACACCCAGAACCATGTACGAGTTGAGCACACGGTATCCGCCGGAATTAATGATCAGGTCACCCTTCTCCAGCATGAAGGCGCGACGAGACAGCAGGTCGGCACGTGCAGATTCAATAGCCGCATTCCGCGAGTACGCGTAACGTCCGTCTTGCGGTTTCCGTCGCAGCAGGTACGGGCGATTGAGGGTGATACGAGTGTAGTACCACTCGCATGCAAGAAGGTGGCGTTGAACAAAGAGGTACGGGTGGCTTGCGTCGAGGCTGGTATCGGGGTTGATCATCGCAAGGAAGGAAGGGAGTGAATCTCGCCAGGCCAGCAGCTCCTTGTCCAGAGCCAGGACGGTTTGATAGTCCGGCATCTGGATAGTGAAAGTGTGGTACGCGATGCGACCCATAATCTCGGCCAGCTTGTGGCGCACGATCACGTAAGTGTACTGGGTTGGCTTGGTCATGGGGTGGCCGGCCGGGTCGAAATCACCGCTTTCAATCTCCTCGTCGTCAAGATTAGCCGGTGGGCGCGCGTCGGTATGCGCATCCGAGATCGAAGCGGGTCGACCAACGAGGAGCGAAATGGTTCGGTCGAGGTGATAAAGCATCGCCCAGGCACGACGACGGACCTCCATCTCGCGCTTGTCCGTCATATTGAGCACCGTACCATCACGGTAAAGGCCGAGTTGGAAGGCTGTCGTAAGGGGCGTAGAACCCTCGGCAGGACGGCGGGTGAGCAGCATGTATCGTGACGCCAGCAGCCCCGCGAAAAGGACTTCCAGGTTATCACGTTGCAGCGCCTTGGCGTATTCCAAGCCACTGCGCGCCGATCCGTAGAATCGCCTCGACCAGCCTTGCTGCTCATCGGCTGGCACGATATCCGGTCCAGCAGACAATACGGCAATCGCAAGCTTCATGTCAGCGACTAGGGGCGAGGAAGGCACCATGTCCGTGGGTCACTCACCACAATGAACATCAAAGGCAGCCACTTGATGGTATCGGCATCGATCTTCGGACTGGTGGGATTGCGTCCAATGGAGTCGAAGAAGGCAACGTATCGGCGCTCAAAGGCAGGTCGGTTCATCTTGTAACGAGTCCAGCTGCAAGTAAGTTAGCACCCCACATTTGCCCCAGGAGGAAGTTACGCACTCGATGTCCCTGATTGTCAGCACGAGCCTCCGGATGACATAACGCAACTCACCTGAAGTACAGCTCGACCAAAGCGTCGGCCATGCGACGCCCCGGAACGCCTGCAATGAGCCATTCAAGATGGTTCTTCGTGATGCCACTCTCCCTAAGAGTCAGAAGAAGGTCCCGAAGCTCGGCGTTGTCCTCAACACTGAGCGAGATCATGCGACCTTCTCGCAGGCCCCAGCCGAACCCTGATCGCCCAACAGGGGTGGAGGTAGACAGGTTTGCGGGGAAGAGGCCGGATGGAGGCGGCTTGTGGGGAAAGACTTGACGAGGCGGTTCAGCAGTGGGTTGCGGTGCTGATTGAGGATGGAAAACATCTTCGCCTTGAGTTGCGATCGACGAGACATCCGGCGAGGAGTGGTCTGCCGGTGCTCTGGAAGCCAGTGCTTGAGGAATCACAGACACCAGGCGAGTGAGCATACCCTCAATGGTGGCGAGACGTGCGTGCACGTCCGAGTTACTGGGCATCAGTCAGGACGTCGTTTGAAACCACGGTCTTCGGCTAGAACCTTGAGGGGACAGTGCTTCCCGAGAATGACAGCTGCCCAGGCTACACGAAAACACATGCAGTGTATTGGTGTTTGTACTCACGCGTTGGGGTCTTCGACGCCGTTCAAGAAGGGTCGACACAGATGCGGTACGCGTCTTGCCACACATTGAGAACACGGTTCCTTGCGATCGCACTTCTGCTTTCGTCGGTGACACTCAACGCACGAAAAGTGGACTCGGGTACGCTTAGCCTCTCTGGGCCGTGGAACAGGAACAGGTGCCGGAGCGGCAACATTCGCCGATGCAGAGGAGGATGCGGCGTCATCGCCTGCTTTTGCGGCTCCAGATGCCGCTGTCGGATGGGCCTTCCGCTTCTTGTCGTTGGTGGCGGTTGCTGCAGACGCTTGCGGCGCCGGCGAGGCTGAAGCCGTCGCGCCGCCCGAGGAAGGTGCACGCTGGATCGGCAAGCTGGTCGGACGAGAAGCGGCTGACGCCGATGGCGTCGAGGATGAGGATGCCGCCGCCTCAGGTTTGGCCGGCGCTGCAGCAATGGACACGCCCGAGGGCGCCGACATCGTGAAAGCCAGGAATCACGGACGACGAAGTCGGTGACAGCGTGCCGGAGAGTGGCAATGAAGCCGGGAAGGCGGGAATGAGACTAAGTGGACAGTCGCCGGCCGCTGGTAAGTAGCCGTGAATGCCGCAGGATCTTGTTGACTGGGAGCGCGTCGGTCAACAACGTGGGGGTGGGGGAAAGCCGAAGGTGGAGTGCAAGTCGAAGTCGGGTCGAACAGTCGGGACCGTCTTCGATGCGAGGCTGAGAAAGCTATGAGAGAAGATTGGTGGTTGGGGAGAGTCGTGTGGGAGTGGCCGGACGGGAATAGGTGAGATGGTGAGATGTCAACTGCAGCCATGCTGTCTCAAGCTGCCAAGCAGTTAGCAGGATCAAACTTAGGGCGGAGGCAAATCTGCGGGTGGACGTGAAGCTTCAGGTGGGGAAGGCGGCAGTGGCAACCTGTGGGCAGTCTCCGCCAACCACAGCTCGCCCAAAGTTCGCTTCACGTTTTAATCTCGGATTTTTCCTGTCCTCCTGTCGTTCGATCGCATCCTGCCGTCTGCTCCCTGTTCAATCGACCCTGCTCGCTGTTCCAGCTGACATTCCTGCCACGCCTGCGGCCATGCACATGTTGGGCCCAGCGTCTGCCCGCGCGCCGCAGACTAACTCGGAAGACTTCCATTCAACTATATACAACACGTTACAACGGAGGACCCCGAAATCCGGTTCGATAGCGGTCTACCGTGAATAGCGGGTATCCTAAAATATCGTTTATACAGTGTGACAACAGCTCAGACCGGCAGTTACCGGGCCACTGTTGCTCAACGTCCATGCTTGACGAGTCGAGCTTACGCGCAGAAGTGGACGCCTCCGGCATGTCGAAAAGCGAGGGAAGCTTCGATCCGGTTTGAAGAGGAGGAAGCTTGCTCGACAGGGGCATGCTCATAGAGCTACCGACGCTGTCGAAAAGGGTAGGATAGCCGTTAGCCTGGTGGGTACCCTGGTGGGAGGAGCGGAGGCCGAGAACGGCGGGCTGGGAGTTAGTGGCCGCTTGCCAAGTAGGCGCTTGAGCCGCCCGTGCTGGGGTGTCTGCTGAACTCGGGGGCCCGGAAGTCTCGTTGACGAGGTTGGCGATTGAGAAGGCTTGAGTCGAAGTAGTAGACGTTGACGAGGCGTATGCTGCGCCAGTGTTATTGACCCAAGCACTGTTCAAGCCATTCGTGTGGCACGTCATCTCGACTCCAACGACTGTGGCCTCCCACTGTGTTCCAGCGTCGAAGAAGTTGGAAGGGATTTCGTTCTCATCATCGGATCCGCCGTCGTCACTCTCAGCACCAGAGTTGTCCTGCTCAGGGGCATTTTCTTGGGCCGGAAGGATGTCATCTTGGTGCATGGTGCGAGCCTCGTCCTCGGGTAGGGCATCACAAATGTGGTTGTACTTCTTCGCGTGGTCATCGCTGTCTTGGCGACTGCAAGTGCGACCGAACTTGCAGTTAGGACGATTCCGAACGTCAGCCGGACGCGCCTGAAGAGCTTCGGGCTTCTTCAACTCCCTCATCCACCACTCAAAGAGACCAGCCTAGCGTCAGTTACAGGTTAGATCTCCGTGACTTACGCAAAGGATCTCGTCGGCACAGCCGCCACAGATACGTGACTCTGAGGCACTGTCGCCAGCCGACATGACGGCCTGCTGCATCTCGTCGGCCATGCCTGTTCGCAATCGAAGATTGAGGTCGGCCCGGTTCATCATCGCAAGGATGCCGCCCGAGTCCAGGCCCTCTGGGGTACGGAGCCATTCCAGGATCTGCTTGTAGATGTATTGGGCCGACATGTGCTCGTTGTTCCCAAGATAGATGCCGAGATGGTACATCTCGGTCCAGTTGTCCCTGCAGAGTAAGTTCACGTTGAGTGGCCCTACTCACTTGAACGCCATAGCAAGCATATCAGATGGACAATCCTCTAGCATATAGGGCAGGGCATGGAATTGGCTGGTAGGCTTCGAAGCAGAAACGGTTACGCAGTCACAGCCGGTGGTCTGAAGTCAGCCCTATGCAGCGGGGTGTACTTACGGCGTCCCCACAGAATCCTTCGCCACAGATGTTGCAGCTGGAGCACTGCGGCCCGTTACTCGGGGACAGACGCTCACTAGACATCAGTAATGGATGAGAAGATGAGACTTACCATCCGGCGCAGAGGCGGTGGCCCTCGGGACAGAGTCCGTCAGCTCGAAGGCATCGATCACGTTCAGCCGGAACCTCGAAGCGAGGAACCGGCTGGGGACACCTCCACTGGCCTTCCTCGGGGTAACACGAACGGCACGGACGCCAGAATTCGTGCTGTTGCAATTGGCGGGGCGCTGGTGGAGGGGTGGGGAACTACGGTGTCAGCATGAAACAATGCTAAGCCGATGCTAACCTTGATGACCCCGGTGGTGGACTTGTAGAGCAACTCCGCCTGACGGTGCTCGTTGGGAGGGCGGGCCACATCAGGTCGACTGGCGAGGAGAATGCCGACCATGGTCTTCGCAAGTCGGCAAGGAGTAGCGGTTTGGACGGGGGCGTGCCGGCAGTGTGGACAGGAGATGGGCTCTGGCACAGGGTCGCCGGGGAGCAGTGACGGAGGGTACTTGGGCATAGACTGAAGGGGTTAGCAGAAGCGTCGGAAGGTGACGACTGACCTTAATCCACTGCATGACGCATGAGCCGCAGAAGACATGTCCGCAGCCATTCAATGCCACAGGCTAAGGCGCCGTTAGCGAGCACTAGAGCGCACACTCACCTCGATAAATACGCCTGCGCACATGCCGCACTCCAGCTCCTCAACGAGGGCGTCCGCGGTACGGTCCTCGGTTGCTTCAGTGTCGTTGTTTGCTGCAAGGGGGTCAGCGGGATCATCAATGACTGAAACTTACCGTTGGTTGGAACATCATTGAGGTCACCGGGACTGGACGATGCAGTCGAAGCTAAGCTTGTGCGAGCTGACTTGGATCGGTGGGGTGATGACGACTCAGAGCCGCAGCTGGCGTCGAACTCGTCCCTGGACCGGATGAGGCCCAGCCTGGTATCTGTTTCCATTCTGTGGTCGGTGGCCCGAGCCATGGAATGACGGGTAGGAGATGGTCGTGACAAGGAAGGGTGTGGATGGCAAGAGGTGACCACTGGTGGTGATATGAACGAGGAAGGGTCCAAGAGCAGGGGTGAGGTGTCGGGAAGAGAGATGGAGAGAAGGTGAAAAGGAGGCAAAGGCGCAAGGAGTCAAGGTGAGTGTGCATGTGCGCTAGCGGTGGATCGGTGGAACGGTGGCATCGGTGGTAAGGCTGGCCCGGTGGCAACGGCAGATTAAGATTAGTGAATTCGTGAGATACGCAACGGGAACGACCGCCTGGCGCCTGTCGCACCCCGCCCACGCCTTCCCTCGCACCAGACCTATGCTGGTCATTGTTCTCCGACTTTCATCGATGCATCACGTTCTATCCCTCCTCGCCATCGTCGATGTCGGCGAGCGCGCATCAAGCTTCATGGGGATTTGCCACCCTGTCCAGTCTCACGATCCCACATGTTACAGTCACACCATATCGCCCGTATCAATTCAGGAACGAGTGGCCGGGGCCCCACCAGGGTCAGTCACGTGACGCTACCCTACCGATTTCTAACGTTTCAAAGGTGATGAGGACGACAGAAAGATATCGTCATTGCGAGTTCGCGTCACCCAGACATCATGTCTGACCCCATCGCCACCCTCAACACGCTGCACGTCGAGTTTGAAGACAGCGGGTCTGAGATCCCAGCTCTTCGGCGCACTCGCCGTGCTCACGTCTCCCCCGACCTACTGAAGGCGAAGAAGCTTCTCGCCGGAGATTGGGTTCTGCTGCGAGGTACAGGCTCTCCGATCGAGGACTCAACTGTTCCCAAGCCCCTCGGATGGATCGTGGCCCAGCTATGGCCAAGAATTGGACTCGATGAAGAGAGTGAGTTCTGGTAACTGCCTTCGCAGCTGACAGCAGCTCTTGCGCTCTCGCCCGGCCAGATCGACAACCTCGGTACCCAGCAGGTTGACTTGTACAGGTTCCCGGCGGCGGGTTCCAAGGGCATTCTGAAGAACGTCACAGTCAAGCTTCTCAGCGAGCCGAAACCCTCGAAGGGCAGCGACGAGACTGGCCAGAAGCGCGAGGTCGAATGGCAGCGTGCAGCTGTCAAGGAGGCTCTAGCTGCTGTCAAGTACGTTGCGCCGGGCTACGTCGTCACCCTAAGCGATGAGGAGACGCAGTACGTTGTCACCGAGTACGAAGTCTCTGCCAAGGCTGCCGCTGCCCGAGCTGCCACCGCCGGTGCTCTCGCGAAGGAGCTGAAGTCTTTGAACCTGTCGGACATTCCGGACGTGTACGAGGTCGAGTGGAGGACAAAGGTCTCCCTCGCATCGGACGGGGAGGGCAAAGCCGGATCGTCAGGAGCTTCCAAGTCTTCTGTAAGCTAACGATGGCGTGCTCAGCTGACTTCAGACGGCGGTCATTCCTTCGTACATCAACATCTTTTCTCCCTCGTCTTCGTCGCAGTCGTACCTGCAGCTCGGTGGACTTGAGCCTCAGATCAAGCAGGTCAAAGCTCTGCTCGATTTGCCGCTGAGGAACCCCGAAGTTTTCACCCAGTTTGGCCTAACCCCTCCCCGCGGTCTGCTTCTCCATGGTCCCCCGGGAACGGGTAAGACTGCGCTCGCTCGTGCGATCGCCGCCTCGACGCCAGGCTGCAGCTGCATTGTTGTGAATGGACCGGAACTCTCGAGCGCCTTCCACGGTGAGACGGAGGAGCGGCTGCGGTCCATCTTCGAGGAGGCGCGTAAGCGCTCCCCGTGCATCATTGTGCTGGACGAGGTGGATGCGCTGTGTCCCCGCCGAGATGGCGGAGAGGGTGGCGAGGTCGAACGTCGCGTCGTCGCCATGCTTCTGACGCTCATGGACGGCATGACGTCTGACGCGAAGGAGCACGTCGTTGTCGTGGCCGCGACCAACCGTCCGAACAGCATCGACCCCGCTCTTCGCCGGCCAGGACGCTTCGATCGCGAGATCGAGATCGGTATCCCGGACGCTGCGGGCCGGCGACAGATTCTCGACATCATGCTGTCAAAGATGCCGAATGCGCTTTCGGCGGAGGAAATTGCCTCGATCGCGGCACGAACGCACGGCTATGTCGGTGCCGACCTCGGGTCCCTTGTGCGCGAAAGCGCGTCTGCTGCTATTCAGCGCTGGCACACGGCCGGCGGGGAAGGCAGCCCGCAGTTGACCTACGCCGACATGCAGGCCACACTCCCCACGATTCGACCCTCGGCGATGCGCGAAGTGTTTGTCGAGACGCCGACGGTGCGCTGGAGCGATATCGGCGGGCAGGCGGAGGTCAAGCAGAAACTGCGCGAGTGCGTCGAGTGGCCGCTGACGCACGCGGACACCTTCGCCCGCCTGGGTGTCGACGCCCCCCGCGGCGTGCTTCTCTACGGCCCGCCCGGATGCTCCAAGACGATGACAGCCAAGGCGCTCGCTACTGAGAGTGGTATCAACTTTATCGCCGTCAAGGGACCGGAGCTGCTGAACAAGTACGTCGGCGAGAGCGAGCGCGCGGTGCGCGAGATCTTCCGCAAGGCGCGAGCTGCCTCGCCGTCCATCGTTTTCTTCGACGAGATCGACGCCCTCGGTGCCGCCCGCGATATCGGCGAGGGCCACGGTGGAGTTTTGACATCGCTCCTGAACGAGATGGACGGTATCGAGGCACTGTCCGGCGTCACGGTCGTTGCGGCCACGAACCGCCCCGATGTTCTCGACGCGGCGCTCACTCGACCGGGACGTCTGGACCGTATTCTCTACGTCGGTGCGCCGGACCTCTTGACAAGGCAGGAGATCTTCAAGTTGCGCATGAAGAGCATGGCCGTCGATCCCGAGGTTGACGTTGCCGAACTGGCCAGGATCGTGAGTTGAAGCTTATGTCGCTTTTCATAGCTAATATAACAGACCGAGGGCTGCTCGGGAGCAGAGGTCGCGAGTATCTGCCAGGACGCGGCGCTGGCGACGATGAACGAGGACCTCAACGCGCCCTTCGTCAAGAAGGAGCACCTGCTCAACTCGGCGCGCACGGTGCGGCGGCGCATCACGCCCGAGATGATTGAGTTCTTCGAGCACTGGCGCGACCAGTCGGGTATCCGCTCGGCGTAGAATAGATCCTAGATATGATAATGATACATCTCATGCAACAGTGCAGTTGTGGTCTAATGACGCCGCCACGCCCGAAACGGCGGTCGCAGCGGCGCTTATCGCCCGAGTTCAGGCGCTCTTCTCGCCGTCCTTCTTGAACACGAAGCGCATGCCGTACGCGTCCTCTCCATCGCCGTCTGTTTGTCAGCTGACGGTTGGTGTTACAACCCACAGTATCCCTTCTCCATGGCGTGGACCTCGAAGCCGAGTGTGTCGCGGTAGAGCGAGATGGCGGCGCGGTTGCTCTTGCGCACGTGGAGGGTGATGAAGCTCGCATTGTAGTGCGCGACCATGGCCTCCTGCGCCTGCTTCATGAGCTTGTTCGCCAGTCCGAGGCGGCGGTACGGCCGCAGCACAGAGATCGACGTGACGTGCCCGCTGGGCTCGGCGCTCGGCTCCTCCTCCCTGTTCGTCAGCTTCCTCCGCGCCTGCGAAGCTCACATCTTGGCCAGAATGTAGCCAACAACACGTCCGCTGGGGTCGACGGCGACGTAGGACAGCTCAGGCCACGTCAGGGCGTGGTACAGGTCTGGAAGTCAGCTTCCGGCGCCAGCATTAAGCTCACAGTACTTGAACGTGTAGTTCTCCGGAAGGTTAAGCAGGTTGGCATTCTGCATGCCGAGGAGGTCCTCGATCTGTCCTGTCAGCTAGAAGAGGGTGGCGAAGCTCACAGTCGCCTGCCTGATGTCCATGTTGTCGCTGTCGTCGTTCGGTGGACTTTTGACGTCGTTCCGGTCTTCCTCGACCATGTCCTCATCTCGATCGAACTGAGGTTGACGCTGATACCTGACCACGTGGAGTGAAAAGTACGTGTACCATAACCAGAGATGTATTAGCTTAATCTTCGGAATTCCGGATCACCCAGCGAAAGGACCAGCCAAGGGCCCAGGGGTGAGCGGTCCTGGCCGAGCCAGCCGAGCCCGCAGTGTCAGGTCCGGGATCACCCATATTTCTGAAGACGTTTGAAGGTCGTATCGCGTTCGGGCTTTTACACCGTCTACCACACCACACTCCTTGCTTCACCATGGCGGGTCTCTTCCAGCCCGTCTCGGCGCTGCGGCTCCTCGCGCGCCCCGGCGGCGTTGCGCCCATCCGCAGCATGCGTACGTTCAGCACGCTGGGGAGCATGAGCTCGCACGTCTCGAGCCACGCCCGTCCCCGCGCCCCGTACCCGGCTGCAGGCTACTTTGGCCCTTCGTACCTGCCCTTCTCATCGTCCAAGGCCTTCTCCTTCTTCACGCCATCTCGTTTCGTCTCTTCGTCTTCGCCCGCTTCCGCCTCTGCTGCCGCCTCCGCCTCCGCCTCGACCGATGCCTCCGTCCCCAAGCCCGAGGACGTGCGCACGATCCCCAAGTCGCTCCCAACATGGCTGCTCGGCTGCTCCGCTCTCGTCTTTGGTATCATTGTCATTGGTGGTTTGACCCGTCTCACTGAGTCTGGTCTGTCCATTGTCGAGTGGAACCCCATCACTGGCGTCCGTCCCCCGATCACCGACGCGGAGTGGGACGCCGAGTGGGAGAAGTACCGCCAGTCGCCCGAGGGTATCATGCTGAACTCGGAGATCTCGCGCGCCGAGTTCAAGAAGATCTTCTACATGGAGTGGGCGCACCGCATCGCCGGCCGCACCCTTGGTCTTGTGTGAGTACTGCGAGCGTAGCGAGCCGCATTGTGGCCAGTTTGGCATCGCCACAAAGAAGGCCGAGGCCGAGGGGCCGACCCCGAGGTCTTCCGATATGCGGACCGACTCTTGATCAGATTCTCGACGAGGACCGCTCAAGCTATCCTCGGAAGATGGAGGCAGTATCGGAGGCGTCCTCGTCAGCGTGGCCGGCTTGGCGCTCTCGCTTGCGCTCTTCCGCTGCGGCGTGCGGCGTGCGGCGTGCGGCGTTCTCTTTACGGAAAGCCCGGACCAATGCTAACGCCCAGTTTCGTCATCCCTGCCATCTACTACTGCACGCGGTACAAGCTCCCCCGTGGCCTGCCCACGACGCTCCTCGCCCTGGCGGGCGGTATCGGTTTCCAAGGCTTCCTGGGCTGGTACATGGTCGCGTCTGGCCTGAAGGAGGAGATCATTGAGAACAAGGAGCACCCCCGAGTGTCGCAGTACCGTCTCGCGGCGCACCTCTCCGCCGCTCTGGCGCTGTACATGGGCATGTTCTACACTGCGCTCACGCTGCGCCGGGACCAGAAGCTCGCCGCGCAGTACAAGCAGGGCGGTGCGGGTGCTGCGGCCGTGGACCGTCTCACGACTGCGCTCTCCTCGCCCGCCGTGAGGCGGTTCCGCGGCCTCATCGGCGGTCTCACCGTCATGGCCTTTATTACCATTGTCTCTGGCGCGTTTGTGGCCGGCCTCGACGCCGGGCTCATCTACAACGAGTTCCCGTACATGGGCGAGGGCTTCCATCCCCCCCTTGACGAGCTGATGGACCCGCGCTACGCCAAGAAGGCAGACGGAAGCGACAAGTGGTGGCGCAACATGCTCGAGAACCCCGTCACGGCCCAGTTTGACCACCGCGTCATGGCCATTCTCACCTTTACGGGCCTCATTGCCCAGCACCTCATCGCGCGCCGCCCCGTGCTCCGTCTCGGCGCCAACGCGCTGCCCAAGTCGACGCAGAGGTGGAGTGCATGGACCGCAGCCGCCGCACTCGGCCAGGTCTCCCTCGGCATCTCGACGCTGCTGTACCTCGTCCCCATCCCGCTCGCGGCCGCGCACCAGGCCGGCGCCGTCGTCGTGCTCTCGTGTCTCATGGGTCTTGCCGCTTCTATGCGCCGCCCCACACGCGCAGTGCAGGCTATGAAGCAGGCTGTCAACCAGGCCAATGCCGCCTCGCAGGCTGCCGCCAAGCGCTCATAGAAGGATAGGGAGTAGGGAATTGGAGTCAAGTAGCTAAAACACACTCAAAACAGTGTTGTACAATCACCTCTCATCGCATATAGGTCATATAGGTCCATGCCATTTTGCACCTCTAGTCACACTGCTGCGAAAACAAAATATAGGGTACATCACAGGGGTGTCTAATAGTCTGTACAAGGGGGCTTTCACTCCTTCATCTCCTCCGGGTCGCCGATACCGTTCGGGCTGGTTGTCAGTTAATCTAGCGATCTACCTAACTCACTTGATCGCAAAGATGCCCTCTGCCTCGGGGAGACACGGGCTGTCGACAATCTTGCACACACGCGACGAGCCGCGGCCCTTGCGCAAAGACAGTCGAGTCGTTGACGCATGCGCCCTGTTGGTTAGCTACGGCACCACAAGGCTAGCTTACATGATGTTTCCTCCACTGTGGATTGTCAGCTATGTTCGCAGCCCTCCCAGCTGCACTTACATCGGCTTCTTCGCGTCAGCAACAGCGAACTGTCCTCCGTCGACCTGCGCGACGACCTGGTTCGTCACGACGACCGCGACACCGAACTGCCGTCAGCTTTCACTTCAGCTGCAGGTTAGCTCACCTCGTCCGCCAGGCGCATCAGTGTTCGGAGGAACTTGGCGAGGTGCATTTGCCGGGCAGCCAGCTCTCCACGTCCACTAAAGTCTGTGCGGTACAGCGACGTGATGGAGTCGACGATCAGGAGCGAGAATCTGCCGTCAGCTGGGTCATGGCCTCATAGGCTCACCTCGATTCGGCCATCATCGCGCTCGCCTGCACGAGCAGCTGCATCTGGTGGTCGGCGTTGTATGCGCGCGCGTACGCAATGTTGTCCAGCACCTCTTCCCCGTTCAGTCCGTACCGCTCCGCCACCGCCAGCATGCGTACTGGGCGGAAAGTACCCTCGGTGTCGATGAAGAGACACTTGCCCTCGCCGCCACCGAGGTGTACCGGAAGCTGACAGGTGACGGCCAGCGTGTGACAGATCTGCGACTTTCCTGTTCGGAACTCGCCTGGGTGTCAGCTGAACCAACGACTGCACAACTTACCGAACAGCTCCGTGATCGAGCCAGTCTCGATTCCACCGCCGAGGATCGTGTCGAGGCCCACAGAGCCGGTCGTGATGTGCACGAGCTCAGACCGTCGCGAGTGGATCTCAGTGGCTGTCGTGAAGCCCATAGGAACGAGCTTGCAAGCTGCTGTCAGCTGTGCATCCGGACGTTATAGCTCACCTTCCGCCAGAATCTTGTCAGCCTTGGCCTCACTGATACCCTTGATCGTCGCGAGCATCTTCTTTGGTGTGAAAGCGACGGCCTCGATCGTGTGCAGACCCTCCTTTGCGAGCTTCTCGCAGTCTTGCTTCGAGATACCGTATTCCTGCGAGTGTGAGCTTCGGCTTCGTGGATCTGGCAGCTCATGTAATGTCGACGCGTACCTCTAGCTTTGCCACTACCATGGGGCCGGCGAGCTCATAGTCCTCCTCGTCCTCCTCGCCCTGTCCCTGGAACGGGTCGTGTTCTCCTTCAGCCATGATGAGATGTGATGGGTGTGTGTCGTGCGGGTGGCGAGGAAGGTGATGCTGTTAGACAAAGTCGGATTATCAGGAGCGGTAAGTAATGAAAATGGAGGCTAGCTGACTGGACTGGGCGGCCAGACTCGGCGCAGTGGCCCCTCAGCGAGACGCGTGTTTTTGTTTTGGAGCCGCGCTGGTGGAGGTCGCAAGGAAGGTCAGGCGCGAAAACATTAGCTGACGTGTGCTAATGACTCAGAATGCATCCGCTAATGGAGGGTCGATTAGAGCGGCATTAGACTTGGGTGTTAGTGTGGAGGCCGAGGTTGATGTCAGCATGGTCGCCGGGCTAGGCCGAGATGAAGACCAGGCAGATGCAGGGTCGAGAGCCAGGGCCCTAAACGGTCGGTGGCCAGGAACCAAGTGAACTTGGTGGTGCAGCACCTGTGAATCGAATCGATCAATCCAACCGGGGCATGGAAGTGAACGCCGTGTGCGCCGGCTGGAAGGGTCGAGTGAATCGAGGGATCGAGGTGGATCGGATCGGGAGGGCTAGAGCGTCTTCTACGGTGGAGCGAGCAACAGCCCGTAGCGACCCCCGCGCCCGCGACAAGGAAGCGACCAAACTTTAAGGCACCTGGCCAGGCAAAGGAACGGAACTTGGGCCAGTAGTGCTCATTATGCAATGGGATCCTGGTGGGCGGTGGACTCAAATGGCCGTGCCGTGCGCCGTGACTATGGACCGTGGTCAGCTGCGTACATGCGCATCTGCAATCGGCCGGTCCCACCGAATATGGACGGTTTGCTGTGGTCACCAGGTCACCCGCTCAGCCGCTGACTGGGGTAACGAGGGGCGCTCGAGGGTGACAGGCCTGACAGGCCGCTCCCTGGCCGATGGGTGAGTGGTTGGCTGATCTTGACCGACCAGGCCGGGTAGGGGCGCGAGCAGAATTGCAGAACAAGGCCTTTGAGATCCGCGGTCCAGACGCACAAGTCATCCGGGGGTCGTGCCAGGTGCAGGAGCGAGGCTAGCGAGGTGGAGACTATGCACTCAGCCTGTGCAGGGATCCATTGTTGTTCGACGACACACCGATTCACTCCAAACGAGGCGCATCTACAACAAGTGTTCCTTGCGATCCTGCAGCTCCTGCGCATGCCGTCCAGTCACCCGGCGCTCCCATCCTGCGATCCTGGCCTTTGCTCCTGGCAATCCTTGATCTCACAGATCCGACCGCCGCATCTCTTGACCCCTCCTGCCTCCTGTGCGCCGCGCAGCACTCACACACGGCGTCCCCAGTCATCCACGGTCATCGTGGGCCGATGAGCCTCGCAAGCCCGCGCAGGCCGCGCAGGTTGTGCAGCAGGATGCGGATATGCGGCACAAGGGCCTCAAACCGCCTTCTAAGCGCGCATGCCCAAGTACCTAAACCATATGCACCCATCTCCGAGTCAGCTGCTCCTCTTCGCCGTTCCTGCCCCTCTTGGCTCCGGCCCCATGGCTCTCGGCCCATTCATTCATCTCGTGCATGGCCGTGACTCACAGACGCTGGATTCACTGACCACGAGCAACCCACTGGGCATTGTTTGTTTCTGCGTCCTCTTCTTCTCACTCTCTCATCGCATCTCTTCCAAAGCCATCTCAATTAAGCCCCGTCCGCCTACCCTCCCTGTTGCGTTGATACGCACGGGCAGTAGCGTAACCCTTTCGCGATTTCCCAGCCTCGCCAGACCTTCGAATCTTTTTCGTCGTCCCTCTCAAGGCTAACCTTCTCTCCGCATTTAGACGGCCAACAACGTACCAACTCGCGGCCCGCCTGCGCCTTTATTGCTGCCAGCCTCTGTCCCCCTCGACCCGTCGACCCGTCACTTCTTCCTCCCCCCGAATCCCCTTCGGTTTCCATCCCTCCGTCTCCCTCGGGCTTCAGTTCCGATTTCGCCTCAATTCTGTTCCTGCACCTGTCTCGACAGACTTGCTCAGGATTCAGAGTGCAGCACAGCAAGCCTCACTCTGAATCACTCCGCGCCCCTCCGGCCTCCTACAAGCTCCCCCGAACGGGTCTTGGCATAGTACAGCAATCTGCGCAGTCACGAATGCTAGCTTTGGCTCCGTGTGCCGTACCGTGAAATCAGGCCGAACAATCCGCCCTACCGTGTACGTCAAGCATTCCTTAGCCCTTGAGTCAACTGCCATCTAGGGGAGATTACCTGTCGGCTCCGATAATCCATCCCCACACCCTAAGTTCAATCACCTTCGCCGGCCCCCCCTTTCGACAACTCCACATCACCCACCGCATCGACCCAACATGCGGCCCAAGGTCATCGAAATCGCGTGAGTGTCTTCCCCAAAGCTGGCTCGTTCCGGTTGCAGTATGGAAAACGCGTCCACAGACGGAATTTGGACGCGTTTACTGGAACTCGAAGACGTCATTTAGAGTGTCATGGACTGACCACATCAGTTGGCACGAAACCCAAGCGATCTATTCGTGCGACTTCCAACCACTACCTGCCTCGCAACTGAAGCGCCTGCTTCCTACGACTTCTGAGGATGAGGACAAAGCGGACAAGACCCCGGTCATTCGCCAGTACCGCTTGGCGACCTGCGGTGGTGACTTCAAGGTCCGCGTGAGTCACCCTCCCGAATCCCGAGCTTTCATTTTTCCCAGCACTGACCCTCGCAGCTTTGGATGGTCCATCCGAACATTCCCACTGTAGCTGCCCAAACGCATGCTGCTTTGACCGGGCAGGAGGTGACCCCTCATCCCCCACGAGTCGAGTACCTGGCGACCCTCTCAAAGCACACGGCAGCCGTCAACTGTGTGCGCTTCTCGCCGAACGGACAGATTCTTGCCTCGGCTAGTGATGGTGAGCATAAACCCGTACTCTAGCTGGATCGAGCTGACCTCACAGACGGCAATGTCATTCTCTGGGTTCCGTCCGACAGGCCAACTGCGACGTTCGGCGAAACGGCTGAGGATGTCCCGGACAAGGAGCACTGGCGACCGCAGAAGATGCTGCAGTGGGTCTATTGTAACGTAATGACGCTAACAATACTAGGGTTACGAACAAGCATGTCCTGGATATTGCTTGGTCTCCCGATGGCGAGTTCATCATTGCCGGCTCCACCGACAACACTGCGACGATTTGGAAGGCTTCGACAGGTGAGTGTACTCGGTATAGCTGCTCCGAAGCTCTTCAGCTGACCCACCCAGGCGAGTGCGTGTTTGCTCTGCGTGAGCACTCGCACATCGTGCAGGGCGTGGCCTGGGACCCTCTCAACGAGTTCATTGCTACGCAAAGTAGCGATCGGTGAGTTTGATAAGCGTTAGCCCATGGCTCACCTCAGTACCGTGCACGTCAATTCGTTCTCCCTGCGCAACGGCGTCCCGGAGGTTCATCCTGTTTCACGCACGAACCGCATGGAAGTTCGTCACTCGCGAACGCCCTCGTTCCCCTCGCTGCCTCGGCCGTCCTTGGGACGTCGTGGGTCTAATGCGTCTGAGGCTGGCTCAGTGATGACCTCAGCGTCGGAGCTCACCGAGCACCCACACCAGCCGTCTAACAGCGGGCAAAATGCGTCTGCGCCGCAACAACCAGCGACACCACTGAGCATCTCTGTGCCCCCGACACCAAACGCAAGTGCCAGCATGAACCCGCCTCCAAGCTCCGGAAAGGCGAGCTCACGCCGATCTTCATTCTCGTCTCAGCAGGCGGCGTCTCCGGCCCTTAGCGTGACGGCGCTCGGACGCGGGCGCTCCCCGTCACCGATACCGCCCCTGCCCGCCATGCGCCAGGTCGCTCCTCCAGCTTCGATCACTCAGCGGCTGTATGCGGAGGAGAACGTTACTCGCTTCTTCCGCCGTTTGACGTTCTCGCCTGATGGCAGTCTGCTCCTTACCCCTGCCGGCCAAATCGAGGACCAGATCTTCAAGGGATCGCCAATGATGGGCAGCCGCTCATTATCCACTGACGGTGTCGACGGCAATCCTGCTGCGAACCGACCGAAGGCTGTCGACGCTGGGCGCCCAACAGTGTTCATCTACTCTCGTGCTAACCTCGCGCGGAGTCCGATTGCGCACCTTCCGGGACACAAGACTGCGGCTGTTGCTATTCGCTTCTCGCCGATTTTCTACGATCTCAGGACTGCGTCGACGTCCTCGACGCCGGTCGAACCTAAACAGGTGACCCTTGATCGCTCAAACCCGGGCCCGGTCCATGTCTCGCTGCAGATGCCCCCGCCACCGCCAAAGGAAGGCGCAAAGGACGCGAAGCCTCTGAACAGCGTCTTTGCCCTTCCATATCGCCTTCTGTACGCTGTGGCGTGCCAGGATGCGGTGCTTCTGTACGACACGCAGCAGGCCGGCCCCGTCGCCATCTTTAAGGGCTTGCACTACGCCGGCTTCACGGACATTGCGTGGTCATCCGACGGCCAGTCGATGCTTCTGTCTAGCGCAGACGGCTACTGCTCGCTGGTCGTGTTTGATCTGGGCGAGCTGGGTACTGTGCACCCGACGCAGCAGCACCACCGGCAGCTCGCGGCCATCGCGCAGTCGCACGGCGGCGCGACACCTAGCACGCCGATGCCCCACTCCCCGAACGTTTCGACGATGCGCACATCGCCCGCGCCGCCCCGTAGCGAGCGTGAGTCGTCGGTTGCCTCGAGCGCCCCGATCCCGCCGCCCTTGTTCGGCACCGGCCACCGCCGTGCTTCCGGCTCCGTCTCGTCTGTCGACCAGCCGTTACCCACCCCGGCCGACGAGCCAACCGAGTTTGCGCTGCGCCGTGCGTCCGAGTCGTCGGCCGACGAAGTCTCTGCGAAGCGCGAGACGCCGAGCGAGACTGAGCAACCCAAGAAGAAGCGCCGCGTCGCCCTCACGCACCTGGGTACCGAGTAGTGAACTCGCCAAGACAACCCTCCAAGCCCTCAAGACAACACGCCAGCAGATCAATCCATTCCACACGCCACACCACCCTTGTACGCATGCTCATTCCATTTCCATTTCTGTCACCTAATACACACCGCAAACACAACTTTGATACCTGGTCCATACACAGTTGAACTCATGATGCATTCGATCTGCACACCTTGGCTCGCCTAGCAATTGTTGACGCCAGGCACTAACGCATTGTTAGTCACGACGACATCATCCGCACGTGGCTTGCTCCGGTCCTCGTCTCAATCACTCCGCGTCTGATTCGCTGCTGCCCGTGAGCACCAACCTGCAGGGAGCCCTGTGCCTGGCTGCCGCTTCGCTTTGGCAGGCTCCTGACTGGCGGTTGTGGTCGTTACGTAAGGCAACTGGAGGGGGAGCCACACTCCGCGGGTTCCATAATTCCGCCGTCCACCCTCAGCCTGCAGCGGTCTGCCCTCCCGTTGCAGCGCTGTAGGTGGTGCTTCACGCAGTGTCGAGTGTAGAGACGTGACGACTCCGCTCATCCCCAAAAGCACCCCCACGACCATGTCCCGCCCTCTCGCGCGCCTCGGCTTGACGGCGCCGCGTCTCGCCGCCCGCGCCTCGACTGTTACGCCGATGGGCGCCCGCGCCTTCTCCGCCTCGACGGCCCGCCGCATGGCCGCCCCGCAAGAGAAGAACGAGTACAGCAACGGCCCCTCGGCTATTGACAAGGCTGCGCAGATGTTCTTCTTCACTGAGATTGTTCGTGGTGAGTAGATCACGAAGGGGCCGCAGGGCCGCAGGGCCGCAGGCCCGAGGGCTTGGAACTGTTCGGGGGAAAGACATGGAGGGACGAGGGAGGAGGAGAGGGGGAGGGATGAGGGAGCGTCCGCGGGCTTGACGGAGTTGCGGTCGTCGTTCATGACGCGCGGGGCGTTTGCTCTTCTCAGCATCTCTTCGCAAGCACGACGACCAGCTGCGCGTCGTGACAGCCCCGAGCAGACCGGCTGGAGGCCGTGCCGGTCGCTGGCCCACGTCAACACCAGACCCGACGCAACTCTGCTTGAGTGTCCGCCCGACGTCCCCTTCCTGCGTTCTCTCCGCGCTCCTCCAATTCTCTCGAACAGCCCACGCTTCACCGCATGGCTGTCCCCAGCTGCAAAGCCCAGATGGACAACTAGCTAACAGAACCAGGTGGATGGATCGTGCTCGAGCAGTTCTTCCGTGACCCCTACACGATCATGTACCCGTTCGAGAAGGGCCCGCTGTCGCCCCGTTTCCGTGGCGAGCACGCCCTCCGCCGATACCCTAACGGCGAGGAGCGTTGTATTGGTGAGTTGGCTACAACGAGCGAGCGAAGCGAGCGAGTGGGCGTGGCGTCTATCTGCCCCCAGACCTGTTCCGCCATCACGCCCTCGGCCCGAGCACTGTCGTCACTTTGCACGCCCTGTCACTTGCTGTCCTGCGTCCAGGCAGCTGGATCGGAGTGGGCAGTGGCGACGGTGACTGTTGAGATGGTTGGGATTGGATAAGAATGGGCTCAGTCCGCTCTCGGTCCGCAGAGACAATGTCAGGCCCACGGCCCACTCGGGGACCGTAGTTGCTCGCGCTACGCTCGCGCTCTTTCCGCTCAGCCTCCGGCATCGCTAACACTTTAGCCTGCAAGCTCTGCGAGGCCATCTGTCCCGCGCAGGCGATCACGATCGAGTCCGAGGCGCGCCTGGACGGCTCGCGCCGCACGACCAAGTACGACATTGACATGACCAAGTGCATCTACTGCGGCTTCTGCCAGGAGGCGTGCCCCGTCGACGCGATTGTCGAGACGCAGAACTACGAGTACGCGACCGAGACGCGCGAGGAGCTCCTGTACAACAAGGAGAAGCTGCTGTCCAACGGCGACAAGGCCGAGGCCGAGATTGCGGCAAACCTCCAGTCGGACCACTTCTACAGGTAGACTCTTGAGGATAGGCAGGAAAAACGATGTAACAGATTTCTTATATAGCAATGCATTCATTTAAACGGTACGGCATTGAGCGCAGGCAGGGTATAGATAGTTTGAAAGATTGAGGAATGATTGTACGTTGTGGTGATTTGCTTGAGTCCTTACACTCCTGACATTGGATGGGTTAGATTGAATGCGGTCTGTAGTGCTGGGGCTATTCTCTCTAGGTTTGTCTCTAGCGTCTGTGTCTTACATCTTGGACGGGCAGAGGGGCTCGAGCGGGAGCTGGGCCTTGTTGAGGTCGAGCTGGCTCTTGAAGCGGTTCACGTCGTCGATGAAGACGTTGCTCTTCTTCAGAGCACTGCTGTCATCAGGCTCGGGCACGCCCTTGAGTTCGTCGAGCATGGTGCGGAGCTTGGCCTTGTTCTCTTCCGTGGCCGCGTTGCGCTCAATGAGGCTGTGGCCAAACTTGCGCACGGCCTCGAGGTCGGGCTTGCTCTCGATCAGGGCGCGGACCTCGTCCTCATCGGCAATGATGCCAGCGTGCGTGAACTGCACAATAATCTGGGGCAGCGTGCTGATGTCGAACTGCGCGCTAGGCGTCACCTGGCTCTTCAGGTGCATGCTGAGCTTGCGCCGGCTATCGCTTGCGGGGTTGACCGCCTCGTCAAACATGGCCACGACGTCGTCCTTGGTCAGCTTGCGCAGCGTCGCAATGTCCGTCTGCTGCTTGCCAAACTCGTAGTCACGCGACACCATGTGCCGCCAGAACCGCCGCGTCTCGCCCGACAGGTGCTTGGGCTGCTCCAGCTTCTTGTCGATCAGCGCCTGGCGGTGCCGGTCAAACTCGGCGTCGGACAGATTCACGAGCGTGTCCCGGAACGAGGTCAGGAAAGCCTCGATGCGGCCCTCGACGTATGCCGGCGACTTCTCAGACTGCACGAGCACACGGATGCCCATCGGCGTGCCGGCCAGGCTGACAATGTAGCCCAGCTGCTCCTTGGTGCGGAGCACGTTGAACGCAGGCTCGCTCGCAATCTGCGAAAACAGCGCAACCTTCATGCGCGACACGGGGTCCGTCTTGTCGCACGCGTATACCCAGTACACGACGCACGAGTTGGTCTCGACCGGGTTCTTGACGGGCCGCTCCCAAATGTGCTCCGAGTTGGGCGGCAGGAGGAGCTCGCGGTAGCGGCGCTTCTCGGCCGGCGCGAGGGCGCGCGGCTGGATAATCCGCTCGAGCATGTCCTGGATCTTCTTGGCGCCGGCAGCGTCGAGGCTGCCGTGCACAAGAGTCTCAAAGTACATGCGCTTGAACACCTCCTGGCCAAACGCCTTCACGTCCTCGAGCGTAATGTCTGCATGTCAGTTTCGCCAAGTCTTGTCTAACTCACGCTCAGCCTCCTCGATGCGCTCCTCGTGCGTCCAGACGTTGGGCGTCATGACGTACGAGTGGTAAAAGTGCGCGACGTGGTACGGGTCCGACATGGCAAAGTTGCGCCACATGAGCATGTTGCGGTCGACGATGCGCTTGAAGCGCTCCGGGTCGAGCTCAAACTTGAGGAACTTGGTCACCATCTTCTCAAGCAGCAGCGGGAGCTTGTCCGTGAAGCCGCTGATGGCGATCGTGAACGAGTCGGCCTGGTAATACATGCCAAACGAGAGGTCGGCGAGCTCGGCGTCGTACGTGTCCTCGTTGTTCGAGTCGGTGAACAGGTCGGACAGAAGGCGCGCCATGACGGCGTTTCGCGGCGTGACGTTGAGAATGGGCGAGAAGAGCTCGACGTACACGACCGATCGCGGGAGGAAGAAGCGGTCGTCCTGCTTGTACCACAGGCGGGAGATCTCCGTGTCGCGCAGCAGCTCGGGCCGGATAGCCGGCTCGTCGACTTCTACCTTGTTCACGTCAAGGTTCTCGGGGATGAACTCGTTCGGACCGGGAAGGAAGAGTTCGGGAATCGGCTTGCCCGTCTTGGCTTCCTCGAGGAACTCTTGCGACAGGCGCTCCTGATGGTACTCGGTGCCGTAGATCTTCTCCGACTGGTCGAACGTGAACGAGACATCCTTCGGCAGCTCCTGCGTCACAACAGTGATCAGAGCCTGCATGGGGTCGAGCAGCTGGCACGACTTGCGAATGATCTCCGGGTCCCAGTCGCCGAGCAGCCACTGCGCGCTGACAATCTCGTCACGCGGGTAAGGGTCCTGCATGTAGCCACTGAGACGGGTAACGTAGTCTCTGACACGACCGCGCTCGGCAAACGTGTAGCTGATGTCGGCAATCTTGGCCATCTCCTCGAACGCAATCTGAGACGGCTCCGTAGTGCGCAGCAGCGTCATGTACTTGAACACGACCATGGCAACGTCCCTCCAGTGCGCGAGTCCATCGGGGGTGAGCTCAATGTTGATCTTGAAGAAGCCAAAACCGGGGACCTCGTGCGACGGTCCAGCGCGGAGAAGGTTGACCCATCCCTTCTTCTTGAGGTACGACAGAAGCGAGCCGCGGCCCTCGTGTCCGATGAAGTGCGCGAGGAAGTTGAGCGGCTTTGTTCCCTTGTACTGGTTCAGATCGGGCGTCGGGAGGGAAATCTCGAGGGCGCGAACCTCACGAACGGGCTTGACAAAGTTGACGACCTGCGGATCGGATCAGCACGAGCTAAACAAAGGGACACTCACGCCACGCTGCTCAGGCCCGAACGGGTGCTCCGGGAAGGAGACGTACACGCCCTCGGGGCCGGTGAGTGGTCGTCCCTCGGTGCGAACGGGAACCTTGTCGAAGCGCTCGCGAACCCACTTCTCGAGGGTGTCCAGGTCCTCGCGACCGGCGACGGCGAGCTTCATGCGCCGCGCGCAGTACTCCTTCTCCCACCACTCGATCAGCTGCTGGCGCGGATCCCGCCCATCGGCGCGGGGCTGCTCCCACAGCGTCTCCAGGTTGCCGGTACCGAACTTGCCGTAGACGTGGCCAGGCTTGGACAGAGACTTCTCGAGCTGGAAGAAGCGCTGCGGTGTCAGCTATGCTGGCCTTTCTATAGCTTACCCAGAGGTCGCCCTGAATGTTCTTCTTGTGCTCCGAGTTGACGGCCTTGATCTCTCGCTCGGTGCAGTCCTCGGCGAACAGCGGCTCGTAGAAGAATCCCGAGAAGCGGTCGAGGGCGCCTTCGAGGGCGTCAGGCGCAACATCAAAGTAGTAGTTAGTCGACGTCATGGCCGTCCAGGCGTTCGAATGTCCGTTGTGCGCATTCAGGTAGGACGAGTACTCGTTCTCCGAAGGGTACTGTCGTGTGAGCGCTGCAACTCGGCGTCTGCTTCTCGAGCTCCGCTTCTGCCCACCTTTTTCGTGCCCATGAACATGAGGTGCTCGCTGTCTGTGAGCTATCTGTTCCGCCTGGCTAGCTTACCAGAAGTGCGCGCAACCGGCGAGGTTGTCCGGGTCCGACAGGTGGCCGACACCAACGTCCATAGAGGCGGCGGCCTTGTCCGCCTTGGGGTCCGAGACGATGATGACCTCGAGCCCATTCGGGAGGACAAGGTAGCGATGCGGCCTGTCCTCTGTCGGCGGAAGCTTGAGCTCGACCGGCCCGTCGGCCTGGGGGATGGGTGGCGGAGGGGGGAACTCTGGCGGCGTGATCGTCATGATCGGGCTGGGGTTCGGGGAGAACGCGGGGGGCGAGATGAAACCGTCGTTGCTGTCGCGCCTGTAAACGAATGCGATGAGCACTACTGCGAGAGAGGCAAGGAGCCAGGTAGAGCGGGCCATGGTCGTGTCATGGACGGCAGGAGGTTTGGCTGGAGATCTGCCTGAAGAAGGGGAGGGAAGGGTGAGATTTAAACGTACGAGATGGATTGCTCAGCGGCAGTCGCCTGGGAGCTTGCGGCACGGATATATGACGCCAGGGAGGGGGTGCTGAGACGGTGCGGGGCCGGTGTCGCAAGCTGGGCAGGGCGGGGGAGGGCCGGAGTCGTGCGCCTGTTATGCGTGTGGAAGGGGGCGATGGGAGCAGCAGCGAGATGGGAGTTGTTGGAAGAGGAGGGGCGGCGGCGGAGTCGGTGGACACTGGCAGACGCAGACGCAGACGCAGACGCAGACGCAGACGCAGACGCGAGGCGGTGGTGCGAGCGGTGCGTGATGTGCGTTCGGAGGGAGAGAGGGGAGGATGTCTTGAGAAGACGGGGGGAGAGCGAGGGAAGCATGTATGAGAAGGGGAGGAGGAGGCCCAGGACTCGAGGATGCAGGGAGGGGGAAGCAAGCTAGATGGAGTGGACCGGTCGGTCGGGCAGTCAGCGGCACGGACAATAGAGAAGACGCCGGGCAGCGGCCAGGCAGCAGCCAGCAGGCAGCAGCCAGGCAGGCGGCAATGTAGGCGGGCGGCGGGCGGGGGGCGCCAGGCGAGCGATGGATCTGAATCTCTAGGTGGACCTGGCCGGTCGTTCAAAATGCTTAATACCCGTTAGGGTTGGCTGTATTCGCCATTCCAGTCACCCACTGGAACCAGGCATTAACCTCCACCCCACACGTCCACCTTCCCTGGTCGCCTTGTTGCCCATCGCGACCAGATCGCGACCTTGGTATCTCACTTGAGAGAGCCGACACACACGTACACACACAATGCACACAAGCGAACGGCCCGTCGATCTCTTCACAATGATAATGCCGCGACAATCAAGGCATGGCCAGTTCTCCTTACGCTGGTTTCAACTGACCTTCGAGCCATGCTTTGCGTGATGGTTACGCCAGTCACGTCCCCGCCCGCTCTAACCCTCTAGCGCACGTACCTTCCCCACAAGGTGGAAGAAGCGCCTTGGCCAGACATGGCGTCACTCTAACGGCACCATAAGTTCGGATAATGCTACAGTGTGGATTCATCGTGTCAACGTTCTAATGACAGAGAGGTAAGGATGGAGAAGACGGTTGTGTATGCGCTGCGGGAGAGTAGGATACTCATGAACGTTCCCTCTCCCACTCAGGGTCGTAGTTTGGTGGCAGGTCCTCAACCTCGGGCTCAACTCGGACACGCCCAGCATCCTGGTGTCGTCGGAACCCTCCTCTCGGCGCCGACGGTGGCGGCAGGTCGGCATACAGGGGCGACAGCATGCCATCGTCCGGGTTTGTAGTGGACATTTGCGCTTTTGACGGTGCGCGCGTCGACTCTCCTCCGGCCGATGCCATGATGGAGCGCTCCGACTCCTCAGCGACGGATGAACTCGAGCCCGCCGATGTGAGGAAGTAGGACTGGTACGTCGGATTGGCTGGACTGATGGGGCTGAGGTGGGTCTGGCTCTGGCTCTGGCTCTGGCTCTGGCTCTGGCTTTGGCTGTTGGTGTTGGTGCCCACCGGGCTGATGGGACTGGGACACTCGGAACCTCCGACAAAGGGCGAGACAGTCGCGGCCTGGTCGTCGAACGGGTTCGAGCCACCAGACCCTTGGTTGCGGGTGTGTCGGCCGAGACTCGACATGCCCGTGCCGTTAGCCTCGAATAGGTCGACTTCGGGATTGAGCCGGCGCTCGCGCTGCTGTCTCCGGTTCTCGAGGTAGGTTGACAGTTGCCGCCGACAGCAGAACCAGACGAGAATGGCCTGGATGATGAGTACGACTACGACGACGGCGACGACGATGCCCGCAATTGCACCGCCGGACAAGTCTGCCGCGTTCTTTGGCCGTGAGTTGATGGCGGTGACGGTAACGACTCCTCCGCGATGCGAAGCCGTATCTGTCGGTCGTGAGCCAACTGGCGTCGGGGCCCATACCGGCGTCGAGCTGTATGGCAAGCTCAGACACTCGTCGCTGCCATCACCGATCGTGAACACGTCACTGGTACCGCCCTGATTGCCTGCTCCGTCCCACATCGCCCAGATAACCTGCGTCCCCGCGCGCATGTTGACGGTCCACCCTGTCCGTGACTTGCCCGACTCGGTGTACCACTGGATGACCTCTCCGTTCGGAATCACGCCCGTGACGAAGATACCGTCGTGAACCAAGCTCTGGTCCCAGATGAAGTTGATGTTCTCGCACTCATACGCGATCGTCGTTGACGGCGTCATGTCGAACTGGAAGGGGGACCAGGTGCTGACCATGTCGCAGACGTCGCCGTGCTTCTGCTCTCCGACTTGATATATCTTTGACACACCGCCAGTCTGACGTCAGCTGTCAGCCTCTTCACAGCACTCACCGCAAAGCCGTCCTGGTCTGACAGGATGAAGGTGAGATTGGTGCTTTCGGGGTAGGGCAAGGCGAAGGAGAACTTGCCACCTGTCGAGTTCTGCGTCGTCTCGGGGATGGAGATGTTGGTTGCGACATGGTATGCGGGCTGGTGTGAGCGGAGCAAAGTAAGGACACTCACGATAACAGTCAGGTACAGCGGTGGGTTGCCATTCTGCCACTGGATAACGACGTTTCCGCACTGCGTCAGGTCCTTGGTCGAGACCTCGAAGCCGAGCGGGGCGATCCTCTCCTGCTGGGCTAGGGCTTTAGTGCTGAGCACGGTGGTAGCAAGGACGACCGTTAAGCCGCGAGCGAGTCCCAGCATCGTGAGCAGTAACTGCGAAGCGCGTCTGCGCAGCCGGAGATGACCAGATTAGACAAAGCGAGGAGCGGTAGGAAGAACTGGATGTTGAACGAGTGTATAAGAGCGAATGTGGTCGAGGTAGTTGTCAGCCAGAGATGTTCAGAGTGTAAGCAAGGCAATCAGGCGAGCAAGATATCGATGCAGGCCTGCTGTTGGATGAGGTGAGATCAGGATGCAAGAACGAAAACAAAAGCTGTGCTGGCGATTCACCAGCGCGGGGCAACTTGCACTCACAGGGTCGTTGAGCGCGCTCAATGTGCGCGGGGCCATGGGTCCTAGGGCTTTCGGAGCAGATCTCCCAGTCACCCGTGAAGGCCGAACAGACCGGGGGGAATGGAGCTTGGGACAGAATAGTGCTAGTGCAATGTTAGTGTCGGCGACTGGACCCTGTGGCTCCGATCTGTCAAGTCGGCTCTGAGGGATTCTGGCCGCTCTATTTCGACCAGAAGCCGAGCCAGATCCGAGGTCCAGGCATGCATGCACATGCATGAGAGATATGAGAGTCACTGCGATTGGAGCTGGAGCTGTAGTGCGAAAGCGAGGGAGGCGGCAGAGTCACCGCCAGAGAGAGCTGCGAGAGCAAACTAGCGTACCCGTAGTGCCTCGGTGTTGTTGCGGGCCAGCGCTAGCCCGAAGAGAGGGAAGGGGGATCCAGTGACCCACTTCTCCGTCGTCCCTTCTCTCTTGACTGACCCAGCGACCCAACAGTCTTCTCACTCCCTATCTCTGTGGAATGCAGCGGACATCAGCGCAGCACCGTTTCGCCGACGCGAGGAGGCTTGCCAAGCATGTTGCGGCATGCGCGGCACGATGGACCATGGACATGGGAATGAGAATGAATGCGGACAGCGAGGGCTTCGGAAATGCGAAAATCAGGCGCCACCCTGGTATGCCACCCTGGCTGTCAGCTGCTCGCGTCCGTGCCGGCTGGAGTTCAGCATGCCGGTGATGTTTGCCGGCACACGGTCTCTCCATCGCTCGAACTACTCAATGGCCGGCGGTCAAGCTGAGGAGCAGTATGCGCATTAGACAATGGGTCGCCGTCTGACGACCGTTTCGTCACCCTTGCGAACGCGCAAGCTGGTCAAGTTGGCTCCGGTGGGCAAGTTGGGGCGGGCTCGAAACCGGCGACTTATAGACAGACCGGCTGATACACGTTCTGGACTTTTGCATGCGCTGAAGCCGAGTCGGCACGTTCGTTCAGAAGAGTCAAGATCTCGCCGGCGGCTACCTCTCAGATAAGCAAAGACGCAATACACAGAGCATGTCGATGTGGTTCTCTCTACCTCTCTGCCTAGCTGCCTCACGCCTCACGACGGGTGGTGATGGGTGGTGACCGATTTGCTCCCGTCGCCACCGATCCACCGTGGGCAACCTCCCTTCCTCACTTCCGACTTGACCTCCACAGCTGAGCACACTAGCACACTCGACCAACCTCCAAAACAACTTTCGACGCCATGTCCGCCGAGCGCAAGAACTGGGACAAGGGCGAGTGGGCGGACAAGGCGCGTCAGCGCGACGCCGAGGCAGCAAAGCACGCCAAGGCGCGCGACCAGGCCATGAAGGAGGGTAAGTTGTCCCCTCACATCCCACACTCCCTATCCTCACGCTGCATAGCCCAGTTGTTATAGCTAACAACAAGGCAAGAAGTACGTCCCGCGCGACGACCTGCCCGCGCCCACAGCGACCGCCCAGGCACACGGCGCACTCAACCTCTCCAAGAACCTGAACAAGACGGTGCTCTCGCAAGTCTCCTCTCAGCGCGGACCGGGGTTCTACTGCGAACTGTGTAACCGGACCTTCAAGGACTCGCTCTCGTACGTGGACCACCTGAACTCGCGCTTCCACCTGTCGAAACTGGGTCAGTCGACGCACGTCGCCCGCAGCACTCTTGCGCAAGTCCGCGAGAAGATCAGATTGCTGAGAGAGCAATCCCAGGCCAAGGTCGATGCGAAGAATTACGATTTCGAGAAACGTATTGCCGAGGTTAGAGGACAAGAAGAGGAAAAGAGGAGGAAGAGGAGAGAGGAGAGGAAGAGGAAGAAGGAGCAGAGGAAGCGGGAATGGGAGCTCGAACAGCGCGGGATTGACCCCAAGGCTGTCAAGGATGGAGATGTCGTCATGGAGGAGGAGCAGATGAGTATGGAGGCCATGATGGGCTTTGGCGGGTTTGGGAGCAGTAAGAAGTAGATGACCTTAGAACTTGTACCATGATGTATCTTTTGTACTTATAGCCTGTGTGGACGCGTATCTCTGGACGCTCCTACTGAACATTGTGGCTTGAGCAGACATCTGTTGTTGAGCTCATGGTCGCCCCTCACTCATCTTGCCTGCTCCAATCCACTTTCTAGTCATCATTTGCATTGAACTGTTTCTCTACTGACAATTTTTCGGGATACACGGATCAAAAAGGGGAATTAAGAGAGCTGGACTAAAGAGGGTCGCTGTTGAAGAGGGAAAGAGTACAAAGTTCTATGGACGTGGTAGTCATGGGTGTGTGTCGATGAGATCAGGGGGGCGATAGAAATATGCGAGGAGTAAATTATGCTGGTTTGATTGATTGTTGGCGCCTGCTGAGCTGTATTCCTTTTGGGTGCTGTTTTACTCCTGGCCGAAGCCCTCGGTCTCGTCGACGGCAATGGTGAGCTTCTGCTCGAGGCTCTCGTACGTCTTGTATGCCGGGAGATCGATGCGGTTGAAGCACGTGTGCGACTTGGGCAGCTGGGTGATCTCGCCGGCCTTCTCGATTGTGAAGCGGCGCGGGCCATCCGAGCCCTGCAGGTCCTTGAATCCGTTGACAGGGATACGCGACGTGCCCGTCGTGAACTGGAGCAGGCGCGACTTGCGCTCCGCGGGCCACGAGCGCACAATCTTCCAGAACCACTCGATGACCTCGTCGCTCGGGTTGTAGCCGCGGTAGTCGGTGTGCTTCTGCCAGTCGTCGACGTCAATCTCGGACATACCACCGATGAGAAGCTCGAGCTCGCGCTCGTCGAACACGTTGATCAGCTCCTGCGGGATGATCTCGTTGAAGCCGCTCATGAAGCTCTCAAACTGCTGCGACACACGGCGCGAGATACGGTACTCGGTCACCAGGTCGACGTACTCCTTCTTGTTGTCCTCATTGACCTCAATGTTCTGTCCGTTCTCCTTCAGGTCGACAGTAACCATCTCGCCGAAGTGCTCCTCCGTGATCGAGAACGTCTCCTCGATGATATCGGTGATGTCGTTCTCGAGCATCCAGGTAAGCGAGCGGTGGAGCGAAGCGTCGACAGACTCAAGGTCGGCGAGCGAGATGCGCTTCTTCAGAATCATCTTGTAGAAAGCGACAATGAAGTAGGCGTCGAGGAAACGGCGGTGGAAGATACCGAGACCGACGACACGGCCAATGAACTTGAAGTAGTTCAGGTGCTCGGGGTTCACGCCCGAGTTGGGGTTGATCTGGAGCGTGTAGTTGTCGTGCGCAGAGTACTCGAACAGACAGTAGAACGGGTTGAACATCTCGTGCGACAGCAGGAAGAAGAATTCACGCGACAGACCTCCGTAGTCGAGACCATCCTCACCCTCGAACTTGATCATGAGACGCTTCTTGAGGTCGTTCGGCGTCTGGCGCATGATCTCCGTGTACGAGCCCTCGAAGATGTTGTTACGCGACACCTTGACGTGACACTGGCCAGTGTTGGAACGGAGCGCAGGCTGCGAACGGAAGTAGATGAGCTTGCGACGGAAGTCGCGCTTGTACTGCGGCACGTTCTGGTCGAGCGACGACGGCAGACGCGGGTCGTCCCAGGTCGTCGTCTTCGTGTTGTGGTCCACAAAGTAGACACGGGCAGTGGAAGTGAGACGCATCTCCCATCCGGACGGAAGCGGGCCGAGAGTCGTGACCGACTGCTGCTGGACCGTGACACCCGGCTGGTTCGGCGCCATGACGCGCAGCAGCTGCTGGCGACGGGGGTCAACCCATGTCGTGGTACGCGTGTTGTGGTCGACGAAGTACGGGCGGCCCTCGGGGGTGAAGCGCTGCTCCCAGCCGGCGGGAAGAGGTCCAGATCCGACAGTAGTCGCCTGGTTCGTGGAGCCAATGGTAGTCGGCTGGCCCTGGTTGGGGGTCTGCGAACCGCCAGTGGTGTTCGCGCCAAGCATGTCCTCGGCCGTGAGACGCGTGTTGTGGTGAGCACGGGCGACACCGGTCGAGTTGGCGGCATTGTTCGTGTTGGACTGCTGGTCGCTGCTGGGGCGGCTCCACGTGGTCGTGCGTGTATTGTGGTCGACGTAGTACTGACGGCCAAGGTGATCAATGCGACGCTCCCATCCATGAGGCAAAGGCCCGAGCTGGTCCGAGTGCGAGTCAAACTGGGTGTTGCCCGCTGATCCTGCACCGCCTGCGACCGCACTGATCGCAGACTGCTGGTGGTTCTGCGACGGCGCAACGGGGCTCGTCTGTGACGGCTGCTGCGAGTTCATCGTAGCAGTGCTGTTCGTGTTGATGGCAGTCGTAGACGGAGTCGTCGTGGTGGCCGTAGTGGGGTTGGAAGTCGTGGATCCACCAGTGGCAAAGGAGTCACGGGGGTTGTGAGTGGCCGGGCTGTCGGGCTCGGGCGTGGAGGTGTTGTTGGCGTTGAGAGAGTTGGTGGAAGACTCGCCGCCAGTGTTGATGGCGGCCGGGCGAGCGCTGGGGGTGGGGCCAGGGTTGGTGATGGGGGTGGAAGTCTGGGTGGAAAGGTAAACGATGAGTTTGCCGTTGACAGGAGTATTGTCAGATCCCTTCTTGAGATCCTTGGTGAGCATTTCTGTACACTAGTCAGACACTGGCACACGGATGACACATGTTGGACTTGGTTCCGGGTCCGGCGGGGAGGCGGGGGCGAAACCGTTATTCAGGTCCGGCGGCGAGCCAGAAGCAAAGCTAGTTTCGAAGCGGTCGCCGCAATGGTGCCCGCCGTCACCCGACCGCACGCCGTGACTCGAAACCGCACAAGCACTCACCTTGTCCACCGAGCTCCAGGTCGAGGACGTCCGACACCTTGATGTTGATGACGCCAAGGAAGCCCTGGTCCTGCACAAATGTCAGCACATACTCGCGCGACACTAGCCGCAACAGCTTCGCCACTCACCCTTCTCTTGAACTTGCGCTGATCAAAGATCTGCACAACAACGACACTCGAGTCCTTCACGGTGCTGTGCGGTCAGTCTCGGGCGCCGCTCTTCAACGCACATGTCAAAGTTCTCATTCCAGTAAGGGTTCAGCGTGCGCTTCATCACCGAGGTGGTGTGAATCTGCTCGCCGTCAACCGAGACAATGGCGAACGGGTCCGGCAGACGGAGAATGTCCCGCTTGATGAGCGAGTCCGCAGCGACAACTGTTAGCGGCGGGAGCCCAGGCCATGTCGGTGCGCGCGAAGACGGTCCGAGAATGGATTCGGAGCGGTGAAACAGCACAGATCACGATCGAAGGGCAGCACAGGATTCCGAGGAGCGCAAGTTCATCGACGATCGGGCGCGGTGATCACGAATGGGGCGCGGTACGAGCGAGACGTCGGAAAGGAGTGCAGAGGGGTTGCGTGAGAGGAGGGAAGCGGCACGAGCGAGTGGAACGTCGGACGAATAGAAGTTGAACGAAAGGCACATGTCAGCGACAGTTCACGAAACAAGGAACCCCTTGAACGTACTAGTAATGCGGATTTTGCGCGACCTAATCGAAGTTCATGCATTTTTTCGGGGGAGAGCGGGTCATGGGGGGGCAGCGAGCACAAGGACGGTAGCGTAGAGGACGGTCGGCAAGACGAGGTGGGGCGGCGTGTCAGCAGTGACGCGGGCAGGGTATACGGAGGGTCTCGACTCACTGGTGCGCGCGGTTTTGGAGTGCTGCCGTCGACATGGTGCACGGAGCCTTTGCGGCGGGAAGTCAGCGATGGGTGGGTACGATGAGGTGTCGATGTAGAGGTGTCTTGGTCGGGTCGGAGGGAGGGGTGGTGTCGGGATGTCGAGGATGGAGGGTAGACGAGAGGATGACAAGGACGAGTGGAGAGATGATGAGTCAGGGAGAGCTGAAGAGTGAGAGGGGAGGGCTAGCCCAGTGTGCAGGCGGGTGCAGGTGCGCAGTGAGCGGTCCGTCGAGCCAGGACGGGAGAAGAGCGGCCGGCTCAAATCGCCTTGTCTGCCAGGCGAGTTTCAGGTCCTGCCGCCTAGGAGAGAGAGCAGATTTTCTAATTGTCCATAATTCACCGCTGCGGAATGTCCTAATCGACTTGTAATCACTACTCGTCAGATCGTCAGGTCAGCGGCCAGCGGGCCCACCGGGGGCTGCGGGTCAGCGATCAGATCCAGCCGCCCGCCCGCCGTGCCAAATTTAGTCCCGGCCCACCTCCACAGTCCCCTGGCTGGCACGGCTGGACCAGCGCAGTTGGCCCCCACCCAGCCAAAGGATGATCGACGTCACGGCCCGCCCGCCTGCTGCCCATGACGACGCATGCCTACCGCATGTCGTTTAACCACACACCCCGGATTCCTCTCCTTCAGGGTGACCGTCTTGCATGCAACGCGTTGCCGCAACTCGTCGAATTTGCTGGCTATGCAGGCTGTCTGCTTCAGCTAAGCTCACACCGCGCTCATCTCAGAGCTCCTAGTCGAGGTGTGTTCAGCACGCGACTCTGCGAGCCTCGCCGATCCTTCTGACACCGCCTCGCCTCAGCCGAAGCTGACAACTGACGAAAACAGCCACATAATGACGTCGGTCGATCCCTGGTGATGACATGCAACATTGATAAAAAATCCTAATCTATATACAAGGCTCTCGAGACCCAAACACACACACACTCGTTCTCGATTTGGAAACACAATGAATGAGAAATGAAAAGGCATGACCTCCTTATGCAGCGACAGGGCGTCGCTTCGGCAGTCGCAAAACCCGATCGTCATCGTCGCTGCTCGCCTCCTGACTCGCCTGCTCCTCCTCTGAGTCTTCCTCCTCGACTGCGCCCAGGCTCCTCTGGCTCTGAGACAGCATATGCTGGGCAGCGCGTTCTTGAACTTCAGCCTCTTCGGCTTCGCTTGCGGTGATCTTGCGTGCCTGGGCGAAGAATAGCTTGGCCTTGGTCGTCGGGGAGACATTTTCGATCGCGTAGGCATTGCCACGAGGGATGAGGAATTGACCGCCGACAGCCATCACGAAGCTGGTACGGTGAAGCTCGACTCGCACTGCTCCAGCAATAACGTAGAAAACCTGCATGTCAGTCATCGCAGACCCTCGCCAAACTCACATATGCGTTGTCACGAGAAGGCTTCGCGGGCTTGCTGCCACCAACCGGGATCTCGACGATGCCCGAGGCAATGAACTTCTCTTCGCCGAAGATCTTCTCGTACTGGAACTCAAAGTCCGGACCGACGACGGTCTTGGGATTGACTCGACTGCGTGGCAGCGCGACACGGCGTGACACCTCGCGCCCCGAGGGGTATTCGCAGACCAGCGCGTTCTCCTTCGTGCTGTCGTCCCAGCCCTCCTCCACAGGTACCGATTCAGATCGAGCACGAACAGACCGAGTAGCACTGCGACCAGTACGGGCTCGAGCTCCGCCGCGGGGCTTGGCGCGAGGTGGTTTGGCGGGCTCCGGAGGAATGTGCACAACGGACTTGATGACGGCCTGGTACTCGCCGCGCGCGTACTCCACACGCTCCCCACGCCACCATTCCAGTGGCCGCATGTGCTGACGGCCGGAACGTCGTGTCTTGAAGTCGCCCGTGTAGTTGTTTTCCGTTTCTGGATGTTAGTTAAGCAGCCTCGATGAACTCACTGTCTGGAAGCTGGGAGATGCGGGATCGCTTCGGTTTGGGTAGATCAGCCGGGGATCGTGGCGTGGAAGCGTCTTTCTTTTTCTTTGGGCGGCTCTTTGGCCTGGGGGTCCGCTCTTGGCTGATAGCCGTGACATCGCCCTCATCCTCCTCGTCCATGTCCTCTTCCTCAATGGCTTGACGCTCCAGCGAAACATCACCCTCTTCGTCGCCGCCGTCGTCCATGAAGCCCGTAACGTCCGCAGTGATGTCCGCGGAGTCAACAGTGTCCACAGTGTTGTCCACAGTATTGTCAATGTCGTCCATGGTGTGGTCAATGTCGTCAGCGGTGTTGTCGATGTTCACAGTGTTATCTATGTCATAGTTCGAGTCGTCCTCAGCAGGCAAGTCGTCTTGGTCGTTGACCTCGAAGCCTCCTTCGGGGCCGCCAGCGTCGCTGTAGTCGTCGTACGTGTCTGCCACGCCGCTACCATCACCACCAACGTCGTCCAGAGGTTCCTGAAAACTCCTGTTGTTGACGTCCTCGTCCTCGTCGTCTTCCTCGTCAGGTATGGGACCCTTGGACTTGCCATGGACAGACGTGCGGAGCCCGGGATCTCGAACCTTGCCAAAGTTGGTGGCCTGCGGCGTTTTCGGCTCGTTGATCTGCTCCTCCTCCTCCTCCTCCTCCTCCTCTTCTGCTTCTCCTGGACCATCATCCTCGATGGTCCGACGCTCGAACGAGACTTCCTCCACGACATCCTCCTCGAACTCAGCACTGATGTCGACTTCCATGCCCTGTCCCATGTCGTCTTCGTCCGCCTCTAACGCTGGCGGTGAATGCAGACCAGAGACTTCGTTTCGTAAAGGCGTGGTTGGTGACAGTCGCGGCTCGAGAGGTCGATAGTTAACACCGATCGTGGAGCGCCGAGCCGTGAAGGACATAGAAGGGGAAGGGATCGCATCGAAGCCAACACTTGGGGACTTCGGTGGTAATCTGTGCATTCTGGGGACAGACACGGACGGCGGAGGATCTGAATGTCAGATGTGTCACATAGATTCACCTACTAGGGGAGCTTGGGAAGTGTAACCGCGGCGTTCCACCCAAGTCATCGTCGTCGTCGTCCGCGAGGAGATTCTCCGCGAACGCCTCATCATCCTCGTCCGCCACCATGTCACTGATGCGCGACCGGCGTGATCGATTCGTTCGGACGGTGCTGGGCGACGACCCATCACTTCGCCTAGCCGCTGGAGTCTGGTGACGGGAGCTCGAGGGACCTGACTGCGGTGACGAGCGGAAGAACTCATCTGCGTCTTCGAATCCCTCCTCGTTAAGCGGGACATTCGTTGGCATAGCACGTCCTGTACGGCTGCGGCGTTAGCTCTTAGTATCCATGGGCTTGACTCACGATCCAACCTCCTTCGGACGCGCGTTGAACTTGAGGTAGTCATCCTTGTGCTGTCGCCGTCCGGGAGTGCGCCCCGGCGTCCGCCGAGCATGACTGCTAGGCGTCACGGGTGGCATGGTAGTGGCGTGATGCAGTCGATCGCGGGTGAGTCGCTGCCGAGCACGATGGTCGCACGCCGTTCACGCGAGGGAGGTCGTTGAAGGGCGACGTACGAGTCGATGCCGCCGCGCCGAGCAGAGGCTGGAGAAGTAAAGAGATAATAACGAAGGGACCGAACCAATAAACAGGGAAGACAGGGAGGTCTCAGCAGCAGGCACGCTGATCTCTGGTTGTTGACATGATAGTTATATGGGTGGCTGGAATAAAACCGCGCCTTATTTTGCATTTTCTCCCGCACATCACCCTGACCCTACCATTTCGACGCGTCCGGCCGCCATCGAATGGAGTGCAAGCATACGGGTCAGCATCGCTAGTGTGGCTTCGCTACATTCACGCTGCATGGTGCAAAGATGAGAACTTGCCAAGAAGCAGTAACGTAAAAGCTATGCACAAATTACATTCCGGTGCGTACAGGCAGAGGCTGCTTTTCAAGTTCCATTACCCAGATCACAGAAGGACAATGGACTCCACAACATGGTCCGACTCGCTGTAGCCGAGGACCTGCTCGATATGAGAGCTGCGCGTTAGCTAGACCCGTGGCGATGCTCAACTTACCTCTTCATTCCCTTGATGCGGTTCATTTCCACGGAGTTGTACTGGGTGAGACCCTTACCGACCTCGATCTCCTCCCATTCCTCAGACTGGCCACCAGCGGGCGCCGAGAACGTACCCTCTCCGTCAGACAAGCTGGCGCTGATCGTGGTCGTCACGAGACGATCAGCGACAGCCCGCATCGCCGGAGACGAGGGGCCTGTCCTTGATAGCGGGTCGAGGGAGACGACAGACGATGACAGTGAAAGGGTGGGCTGGATCTGGGGAGTGCCGGGGAGGGGGTTGGTGTCAGGGGAGCTAGTGGTGGAGTGAACGTTGGCAAGGACGCGAGCGCGAGTAACCGGCGACAGCGTGGCCAAGTATTCCGGGTCGTGGCCGTGTTCCGGGGACATCCGCGCCGGAGTGACGGCCTCGGAGATGGGAGTCGGAAGGAGATTGGCCGGAGGGAAGCGCTTCCTCCTACGAACGACGATGCGCACTCCCTGGTGCGAAGCGAAGGGGCCCTCCACGCGAACGACTCCGGCGGGGAGCAGGCGTCCACCGGATTCGCGCTTGCCGACGGCGCGGTAGGCGCCTTCGTCGATGACAACCGTTCCGGCAACGTGCAGGCCATGGGTGATCCACCACTTGCGGCTGACTGTCAGCGTTTCTGAATCAAATGGACAACTCACTCGTTCAAAGCGCGCTGGTACCTCAGGAACCGAGTGCACAGAGGTCCGCTCTCCAGGTCTGTCGTGTCCTCGTGCATCTGTGACGGACCTGGGCCATCGCGCACAACCTCGTAAATGTCCTTGACGTTCACAGCGTTCATGATCACGGTCGTGACACCCGCGGCCGTGGCCAGCTCCGCAGCGATAATTTTCGTCGACATGCCTCCTGTTCCGAGCGAAGTTCCCAGCGTCGAGGTTGAAACTTCCTTGCGGATCTCGCTGATGTTGCGGACGACCTTGACGGCCTTGGCTTCGGGGTTGACTCGCGGGTTGTCAGTGTACATGCAGTCCACATCGGTCAGAAGGAACAGGTAGTCGGCGTGAACAATGTTGGAGGTGATGGCGGATAAAGAGTCATTGTCTCCGAATTTGATTTCCTGGGTGCGTCAGTGTGCGTGCGGAACCCAGTACGCACTGAGACAGACACAGTGTCGTTCTCGTTCACAATCGGGACAACGCCCATGGTGATGAGCTCCTTCATCGTGTTCTGCGCGTTCAGGTAGCGCGTGCGCTGCAAGGTCAGCCATTGCCCTGAAACGGAATAGTTTGTAACGCACGTCACTGATGTCTGCACGGGTCAACAGAATCTGAGCGATGGGCTGGTCCAGCTGGGCGAACAGGTTGTCCCACAGAGCGATCAGACGACCTTGTCCGATGGCTGCCAGAGCCTGCTTCCGGCTCAGCTGCTTGCCGCGATCCCTCAGCCCCATGTGTCGTAATCCAACTCCAATGGCTCCAGACGAGACAAGGACTACTTTGTGTCCCAGCGCGCGCAGGCCCACCACGGTCTCCACAATCGAGGACAGAAGCTGAAGTCTCGGCGGGTATGGGAACTTGGCCGCAACAATGGAGGACGTTCCTGAAGTCAGCTAGTGTTCCGCCATGCCAGTCTATGCTCATGAACGCGGTCGACACTTGCATTCGGCGGTCGTGTGAGCAGACTCACCGAGCTTGATGACAATGGTCAGCGGTTGGACCTTGCGGTCCCCCGCCGGCGAGCTCGGACGGGTCGCCGGGCGGCTGGCACTCGCGTGCGCCGGGGTCGTGTGACCAGACTGGCTTGGGGTGTTCTTATCGCCCTGTCGAACCATCTTGACGGTCGATGTGGAGAGATGTGATCGTAATGGCAGACGTAGAGGTTGACCGTCGTGGTCGGGCACTTCCGAACAGACCGACTTTCGAATGTGAGTCCGAGTCATTTCAACCACGTGGCAAATCTGGTCGAGTGGCGCTGAGGCGAGCTAGTGGTAGGCTGCTCGCTGTCTGAATCGCGAGATGGAGTCTCTGGAAGGAGACAGACTTCGAACAATGTCTACATGTGAGTATCGGCTAAATGATGTGCATGCAGGCTGAGAGCGAGGCACAGAAGGTCGCCGAAATGCCCAGCGTTGCTGAGATCGGAGAACTGCGGAATCTTTCGGCACTGACTCCTCCTACGTCTCCTTCGCACTCATATGCCCTTGGCCAGGCGACCAATGCTCTGTTACCTCTCTTGCACTATAATGATGTCGGTAGAGTATGGGGAGTGTGGAAGTAGACTGTGCCTCCACCGATAATCGCACCCTGCTCATATGTGAAGGTGTGACAATATTGTCAGCGGAGGTACATTTCGCCGCCCGGGTGCTGGTGGCATGTTCTCAGTACGATGGACTGCATGCACAACCTGTCACAAGTGCAAGGCACCCATCCATGCGTTTTCATCTGCCTGATAGGCGGAGATACGTCAGTGGAAATTTGAGCTCGGTAGAGCTCAGACGTTCTTAGCACGGAGAAGTGGGACGGAAGGGCTAGAGCAAGTAACCGGAGTCGCTTGGACGTTGTGACACGGACGCACGTCACTTGAGGCGATTAGCTCCACGCAAGTGAAGGCCGTGCTAGATGTGGCACTGTAGAAAACAACACCAGGAGCAGGTTGATCACCGCTCGGGAAAAGAATGTCGCACAGAACTACTTACTTGCCGCCATGTGCGAAGGAAGGTGGAGAGGTTGACAAAAACCCCGTGCGACTGCAATAGACCGACAGATGAAGGTCTCCGCAAATTGAGGAAGAGGTCGCATGGCAGAACGAGTCGCTTCCAATGTACTCGATGTCTGTCAATGGAACGCCACGGTTGGGAGGGTGACGCATGCGTGGTTTGTAGACTGCCGCGGGCGACCTTAGAAAGGTGCATGGAGAGCTACAGTGTTTTATGGAACCAGGGCAACCGGCCACACCCAAAGGGAGCTCTCCTAGGAGGAGGGCGGGAAGGTAGTGCGGAGCGCGGCGTCGCTGACTCGGAACGCGGCCCAAGCCGCGAGCGGGGGCACAGCAAGGAGAGTGATGCGCAGCGCAAGTCGTGTGGAGCAGAAAGCGAGCCGTCCAAGACCGTAGGCGACATTCTCCCACCACATAGCTCGAAAGGCGGCGTCCAGCCACCCAACCAATCGACTCTTAGGCGGAGTGGACGGGCTCGGCACGAGTGGGGTCGGCATCTCAGAGACGGTGTCGAGCAGGATATCCATCTCGTCGTCGGCGGGACAGTCGTCACTGGGGTCCTCGTCGAAGAGTGAATGGAAAGTCTCCTGAGAGTACACGGATGAGGGCGAAGACGGAGGGGCGGGCACCTCCTGGGCGCGCTCCAAGCTGAGGGGGCGAGGGAAGTAAACGCTGTAGTCTCGGGTGCTGGCCGACCTCCAGATGGCGTCTCGGCGCTGAGGAGAAGCTCGGACGGCCCTGGACTGCGATGACGACTTGCGACGCTCGCGCGAAGACATCCAATGGGCAGCCTTCCGTAAGGACTTCACCCATCGAGGGCCAGGCGGCGAGGAGGTCCTCTTTCCCGACAAAAGTATCGTCTTCAGCGATCCCCCGCGGCGTCCCTTCTTCTTGTTCTTCCAGCGCTTCAGTGTCTGGAACTTAGACGAAGCGACAGCTCCCGAGCTCTGCGAAGGGCACAGAGTGTCTGAGTCCGTCCAGAGGCTGCTCGGCGATTCCAGCGACAGCGGCGTCACAGGCCGCTCGAGGTCGGCAACTTGGATGGGCGACTGGACAAGAGGTAGATCGGGGTAGTATCTGGGCGATTCGTTGTAGTGACGCCAGAAGAGACTGGTAAACCTGGTGGGTGTCTGAACCAGAGGAAGGCGTGACAGGAGACGCCTGGGCGACATAGGTTTGGAAGGAGAAGGATAGACCTGCACCTCAACGCCCTTCTTCGGCAACGTTGGTTGAATAGGAGGGAATGAGGGACGGGCAGCAGACTGCGTGTCAACCGGGGATGGAGCGGCCTCCGACCTGAAGGGATCCAGCAGCTCCAGAACCTGACTCCACATCTCCGTATGCGTTGTGAGAGGAAATTGCCTAATGGGATCGTGCTCATCGCCCCTCGAAACGGCCAGCTCTGAGCTCGCGACCTGTGGGAAGTCGGCGAACAGAGTGCTGGCGCAAGTAGACGTGGGCGGACAGCGGGTGCAGAACATGTCTCGGCATGCGACAGACTCTCGCCGAGCCCCGCGATAAGGACGAAGTTCATCGCCCCACCTCTCGCGCGAGAATAACCCGGTCGAGACCTACTGTCAGCGGTCAGTCACCTGCAGCACTCACGAGACTGAGACCTACACTCCAAGAACGGGCAGACATGCCGAGGCTGCTGTCGCTTGTGGGCTGGCATCCAAGCGACCCAGAGGGTTATATAGACTCCCCGCGTGGGGACTCCCCTTCACATCATGCACCGGTGTCAGTAACTTCGCTGTCAGCGGTGTTGATACAGACAATGCATGGGGACAAGGTAGCAACAGGTGATTATCGAGCGAGTATTGTTGTTGCACGGATTACAATGGGACGTGTTCGGCAGGGCGGCGGTGGCTGCGAGCGAATTGTCGCGCTCACCGACACTGCCCCCGCATAGCCGACAGTATAATGCTGCCTAGGCTGATGGCGATCGTACCGCCACTCTTCAAGCGGCTCGCTTACGACCACGAGTCCGAGTTGTACGCTTGACAGGGAGTACTTCCTCGTCACTGAGGGAGCTAAGCGCGCTGGCCGAAGATTCCTGTGGTTAGACAGCAACCTCTTTGAAACATACCTTCTTCACCCTAACAACCTTCCTCTTGACCTTTGGCCGAGGACGACGCTGCTTAGGTGGTTCGTCGGTCTCAGTGTCGCTCGCATCCGTTGCATTCCGCTTGCGCTTGGCGGCGGCGGCCTTCTTGCTCGGCATCTTTTGGAGCTCGGTGACGACTGCGCTGGTGCGACCACCCACAGTGACGAACGTGATCGTCGCCGGACTGCCATCGGGCTCGACGTCAGTTACGATCGTAACAATGTTCCCTACCAGTGCCAGGAATGCAGGCTGCTCCACCTTGACATCGCCGTTGGTTGAAGAGACGGCCTTCTTCTTCTTCTTCGCCCCCTTGCCCCAGCGCCACTTGAAAAGCCAGTTGGTGGGGAACAAGGCAGAGTCTGCATTAACCTCGCATGCCTTCATGGGGACATCGCGCAACAACCGATGCAGTTCAACCACCTGCGCTTCTTCGAGATCCTGAATCGGGTGCTGCGGGTGGATGTGCGCTTGGTAGAGGACTCTGCCAGTCAGCGAGCACGATACGTGGTACGCACTCGTCGGCCACCCAGTTCCCGACTCCGGCACTGAAGGCCTGATCCATGATCAAACCCTTGACGGTGCCCCGCTTGTTCTCCAGCAAGCCTTTGAACTCGTCCAGTGAGGGATGGCTGAGCACCGGGTCAAATCCAAGTAAGCTGAGTGGGGGATGCGAGAGCACCGGGTCAGGGACGAGGCGCAATCGCCCGAGGCGGCGAGGGTCCAGGAATGCCAGTTCACGAGCTTCCCCAGCAACATCCGGTGGCGTCAACTTGAGCACACTGTGGGTCAACATTCCGTCAGTCCATCAGCACATACAACTTGCAGTACTGCTGTCAGCCGTGAGCACTTTGCAAGCACGTACCTTGGGCGGCCAGAGAAGGGCGCCATCTACTCCTTCGCCGAGATTAACTTTTCTTCTATACCAGGTGGGTTCTTGGCCTTTCAACTTGAACGTCAGCTAGCCTGCCAGCTTGACCCACAAACCTGGATCATTCCTGTCATGCCGAAGTGCATAACTGGGAATCTGCCTTCGCCGGAAAGAGTAATCCAGAATCTTGAAATTAGCTTCCAGATTGAATGTGTGCGACGAACTGCTTTCCCTTGCGTTCACATCCTGTTATCGTGCGTCCTTCGATCTCCTTTGCCTGCGCCTGTCAGCGCCACACCAATGTCCGCCTCGACTCACAAACTCGTCATGACTCGCACCGTCGTACACGATGGTATCTTCGTACGTCTCAGCTTTGCCAATGGTGTACCCGGTGCAAGTTTCGGCAATTAACCGACGGGCGCGTTCGACTTCTGGGGAGGTGGTCAGAACTCCGTTTTGCTGCGGTAACGCACCTGGAAGCTCAGGCATGCTGGGATTGGTGCTGCTCGAGGAGAAGTGGGCAAAAGTGTGGGTGCAGAGGTCGACGCTGTCTTCTGTCCGTCGACGCCTCCAGTCTTTCGCCAGTCACGGCTCTGAGAGGACTGTGGCCCAGGTGACGCATGGTGACTCAACCAGCCCGCGCGTGGGTTTTGGCGTGGTGGCGGAGATGTGCAGGTCGCCCGTCCGGAGGAAGCCGAAGGTGTCACGTGCACGCGGTCAACGGCTCGATTCCGTCACCACACTGACATTTTCCCTGTGTTCCATGGCCGGACAGGGGAGCCCGGCAGGGGTTGGGCTCCGGCTCTCCACACTCTCATAAATACTGGGACTTCGCGCGCGAGAACCGCAACCCCCCATCCGACTCAATCACACACTCATTTTACAACACCTCGGTTTGCCAGCATGGTCGCTTGGTCAAACCTCAGCGTGGGACCGCCCAGTCCCAAAACCAAACTCACCCTCCAGCGTCTCGGACAGCTGGCCAGCATCCTCCGCCTCCTCATCCTCCTCAAGTTCCTCGTGAAGGCATCCCGCCACGTATATGCCTACGGTATCCTCGGTACCGCTGAGCAGGGATACATCGCCCTCAAGAACGTGAGTCCTTAGCTGTGCTGCTGCTCGGTCCTCTGGAGCGTCTGAGCAACCAAAACGCGCATGGAGCCAGGATTCCAGTGAACGTGCCACACTCCCCGTGTGGCCTCAGCACACGATTTCCAGCACATGGATGTACGACTGACCGCTAGTTTGTTGTCCGTCTCGCTCTCAGTCTTCCCTCGTCGCAGAGGCAGATCAAGGAGCAGCTCGGCGAAGTCCGCAAGCAGCTCGTTCAGAAGCTTGCTCCCCGAGAATTCCCCGAGGGTGTCGATCTCACCATCTGCCGCGAGCTCCCGGCTAATGGTCGCGACATCGAATGGCTCCGGAAGGAGTGGACCAACATGGACAAGCTTAACCGCGGAGATGTCGAGAAGGGACGCGTCTCGGGCGCTGTTTACCACGTACGTATTGAAATTTCGGCCGGTGACGTCGCTGATGCCATCAGGGTGGCGAGGATCTCAACACCGTGATCAGTGAGGCCATGGCGCACTATGTCGTCTCCAATCCCCTCCACCCGGATGTTTTCCCTGGCGTCCGGAAGATGGAGGCTGAGATGGTCGAGATGGTCCTCGGCCTCTTCCACGGCAAGGACGGTGCAGGCACCACGACTGCCGGTGGAACCGAGTCCATCCTCATGTCGTGCAAGACGCATCGCGACTGGGCTCGTGCCGTCAAGGGTATCAAGGAGCCGGAGATGTGAGTGACGAAAATGATGATCAGAACTGACTGGCAGGGTCATCCCCGAGACCGCACACGCTGCATTCTGGAAGGCATCGCAGTACTTCAAGATTAAGCTGCATGTCGTGCCTGTCAACCCGACGACGCGCCAGGCTGATGTCAAGCGCATGAAGCGCTTCATCAACCCGAACACTATCATGATTGTCGGATCGGCGCCCAACTTCCCCGACGGTGCGATCGACCCCATTCCTGAGCTCTCTGCGCTCGCCCAGCGTTACAAGATCGGTCTCCACGTTGACTGCTGTCTCGGCTCCTTCATTGTTGCTTTCTCCAAGGAGGCCGGCTACGGGGACAAGATCCCCAAGTTTGACTTTGAGCTCCCGGGTGTTACCGCCATCTCGTGCGACACCCACAAGTATGCCTTCTGTCCCAAGGGTGAGTCGATCAGTGCCTTGGCCCAGCTAACGTTTCAGGTACATCCGTTATCATGTACCGGTCCAGGGAGCTTCGTCGCTACCAGTACTACTCCATGACCGACTGGGTGGGTGGAGTTTACGCGTCGCCATCCATGGCTGGTTCCCGTCCGGGCTCCGTTATCGCCGGAGCTTGGGCTGTGCTGAACCACGTCGGACGAGAGGGCTACCTGGAGTCCGCTAAGCAGATCATTGGGGCCGCTCGCCACTTCAAGGACGAGATCAGGAGACGCTTCCCGCTCGACTTTGAGATCATGGGCGACCCCCAGCTGTCGGTTGTCGCGATCAAGTCGGACACTGTCAACATCTATAGCATTGGCGACCGCATGGGCAAGCGCGGCTGGCACCTTAACGCCCTCTCGCGGCCTGCTGGTCTGCACATGGCCTTCACGCGTCTGTCGGCCATGAGCGTTGACAAGCTGCTGGACGACCTGGCTGAGTGCTTGAAGGAGGAGAAGGAGAACCCGGGTAAGGACAGCGGCGACCTTGTTGCCCTGTACGGCATTGGCCAGACGAGCGTGGGGCCTGCTATTGTGGACGAATTCGCAAAGACATTCCTTGACGTCCTGTACGAATAAATACGTGCAGCAGTGCAAACAATACTTTTTCCTGTAGCATCTCATAGTCATCAGTTATGGCGCTAAGTGTAGAATCAAGCCTGCTATGCATAATTTGTCAGACCATGTGTCCCTTTGAAGCGAGGGCTGAGACTTGGGCAGGTGGGCTGGTGGTGAGTGAGCGCCCGTGGGAAAGCATGAATCTAGCGAAGGCGTCCTCCAACGGCTTGATAAGTATCACATTCACATTGCAAGGCGGCCATCGTGGGAGACATGCCTGAAAGGGCTGATTGTTGGCGCCTGCTCAGTCTCAGAGTGACAAGCGTGGGAATGCTAAACCAATTGGTGGTGGTTGTGCCCACATGGAGAATGCTCCCGTGATGATCTGGCAGGGCTCACTCGCTGCACAACTAACTTGCAACGGTTGTTCGCACGCCTTTCTTCGATCCCATTGACAGCATCCAACTTGTCAACAACGGCCGATAGGTGAACGAGGGGAACGATGTCTCCCGCGACTCCCACCAATACCACGGCACCACAGACTGCCCTCGACTCCTCCTTCCTTCCCATCTCTAATGATGACGTTCCCTTCCCCTTAGTGGACGACCACAACGACCACCATGAGGAGGAGGCCGCCCTCGAGGCTCTCCGTGCAGCCATCTCAGGCTCACATGGCGAGGAGGAGACCGCGGCGATTGCGGCATCAGCGCAGCTGAATGAGAACGACGTTCAGCCCCCGACACTGGTACCCGCTTCCCAGGTCCAGGTGCAGAGCATGGACAAGGCTGTTGCCGCTCTGCAGCAGCTCAGCTCGGCAAATCAGACGATCATCGACAACATGAATGCCCCCGCGATTCTGCAAGGCCTGATGGGAAGTTTCAAGGTTCTCGCGGACAGCAACCGTCGCCAGACTGAACTGGTCAAGAACCTGATCGACTCGATCCAAGGACGTGGTCCTCCGACAATCGACCCGGCGCTTGCGATCTCTTATGTCCCTCGGTCGGAGTATGATGCGCTCAAGGCACGTTACGACGCTCTTGTTAGCACTTCGTCCGCCATGGCATCATCTAGCAGTGCTCCTTCGCGTCGTTCGCGCATGGCGATGAAGCCGGCGACACTAGACGATGCGACGGACGACAGCCGGCTGCGTGACTCGGGCAGCGCCACACCATTCATGGATGAGGAGAAGCGGCTGGGACGTAAGCGCAGGAGTATGAAGCTCGAGCACCTCGTGCACAAGATGGCGAACCGTCGTGTTGGTGTTGAGTACCCCGTTTCTTCATTTGAGTGCAAGGGTACGAAGGACCTCCCCGACCCGAACAGCATTCCGCCAACAGCCGACGCTAGCTTGAACGGCGTTGACGAGTACCGCCCCGATTTCCGTGCAGACGTGTCCAGCGCCTCGGTCCGGCCGTTTATCGACGCTGTTACTGCCGACGTGAAGAAAGCGTGGGCCGACACCTACGCGGCGGCCGAGCCGGAGGTCGACGATGATCAGATTGTCAAGGCAATCCACACGTATTGGACCCGTCTCGGCAAGCGCTACGACGAGCAGCTAACTCGCGAGCGTGGCGAAGTGCACAAGGACGAGATCACACGACGCAAGCAGAACCAGTATCGCCGCCAGCAGAGTCTGCTCGCCCGTCGCTCAGCCGCGTTCGATACATCGCCGCTCAATCTCTGCAAACTCCGCGCGTTATACCGCACACTCCTCACAATCGATTTTGCCTCTCAGACGAACGAGCGTCCCGATCCGAAGCGCGAGTACACTGAGGACGAGTGGCATGCGTACCGCAAGCTGCAGTGTGGCACACGTGCATCGGAGGCGCACGAGGTCGTGGATCAGTTTTGGCTGTCTGAGCAGGCTCGCTCGCTGCTGAACATTCTCGACACATATGCGTTTGACCAGACGTCACGCATGCGCCGAAAGGGACGGCCCAAGCAGCCTGCGCCGACTTTCCACCTGCCTCCCGAGCTCTGGGACCGATCGCAGCTGCCGTTGCTGCGCCCGAAGGACCAGAACGGGATGCCTGTCGCCGGCGCTGGCGGCATCGTGCTTTTCCGCTTCCATGTCGACGAGAAGGTGCAGGAGCAGTTCCCCGACTGGGCGCAGGGCCTGTATGACAACCCGCCCGTCGCCGAGGAGGACCGCCTGCTACCCAACTTGCCTGACGTCATGAACGCGAACGCGTTCTTCCACCTCAAGCCGCGCGTCAAAGCGTCGCGCGACGCGGCCCAGGTCACTCGCCTCTCCCCGCAAGAAGTCCAGGACGTCCTGGCCCGTGATGACAATGTCGTTCTTGATGAGGCTGGGGTGAGCGCGGTGGCCGCGGCCGCTGCGGACGCAGACGGGTCTTTCGACCTCTCATCGGCTGACTTCATGTCTGCACGCGGTCTTGAGAGCATCGTCGCGCTTGCTAGCGGTAGCCTGATGAACCCGTTCGCGACGCCGAGCGCCTCGACTTCTCCCGCAGCACCGATCCCGCACTCTCAGGCCCACCCCCTGATCCCTCTCGGACTTGAGGTCGGGCCCGCCCATGGCCCGAGCCCCGGAAGCTCCGTCCGCGCCCGCAAGCAGGCCAAGCGCATGATGAGCGAAGTTCCCGGGGGTGCGGCAACGCCCGTCCCCCGCAAACGCAGGCGCGATGGCGAACCGGACGCAGAGGAAGTCGACCTCAGCGGCGACGCCAGCTTCCTTAGCGCCTTGTAGATATGTGTGTAACCCTTATGTACATCTAGTGATATGCCAGTGTGCCATGATGTAGACGTAGTGCCTCAACGGCCTTGAACGCTAGCAGCTGCCTGTAGAGCGTGTTTATCGCCTCGCCGATCGGTCCACGTCCGTCCGTGTAGCCGACGGCTGTTCGTGGCACTCCAAGTTTTCGATCGTCGCCTGTACCCAGCTTGTTAGGAGTGGTTTGGTCGTAGCCCTTGTCGTCGGATCGCTCGTCCCTTCGTGAATGAACACCGTGCTGTCACCAAGCGCACACCAGCCGCTTTCCGGATTGCTTGCCCATGCTATCCCTGTTCATTCCGTCATTTCTTCGGCTCCCACCTGCGTCAGTCATTAGTTTCCAATCCACCTTCGAGCTCCCAATCAATCCCACACCGACGAAACCTCTGCAACGTCTCGATTCAAAATGCTATGTACACGTTGCATCAATTAACGCAACATCCCCTCTCGGCATGAAACCATAAATCGTTGCACAAAGGTCTAATGTGAGACGCTTAGGCGACGAGCTTGACGACACCACCGGCAGCCTTGATCTTCTCCTCAGCCTGCTTGGAGACGAAGCGGGTCTTGACGATGAAGGGCTGGTTGATGGCACCCTTGCCGAGGAGCTTGAAGGCGTGGGCAGAGCCGTTGACGAGGTCAATGACGGGGACGGAGCCGGCAGGGGCGTCGACCTTGGCCTCAGGAAGAGCGATCAGCTTGTCGATGTTGATCGTGGGGCGGTAGTAGTGGTTGCGGAGGAGGTGGAAGTGACGCATACCAACTTTGCCAAAATAGCCTGTAGATAGTCAGCGCATGAACTGGAGGAGTATTCTGGACGTTCCAAAGCTTCTGGGAGACAAGAAGGGTCATATGGTGAGACAGGTGTGGCACCGTAGGGTGGTGCCACACTCCTCCACCCAAACCACTTTCCACGACCATCTCTACTCAACAACACCTCCCAGACCTCCAGAAAGCGCTCAGAACGTCCAAAAATCCGACTTGCCTGGGTGGTACTTGTCAATGTTGGTGCGGTGGTGGTGCTGACCACCGGCCATACCACGACCACCGGGGCTCTTGCGGTGCTTGCCGATACGACCTTCAAAGTCAGCGACCCTCTCCTGTCGCGCACATTCCGCAGTGAACTAACCGTAACCGGCCGAGACGTGACCCCTGTGCTTGCGCGTCTTCGAGAAACGGGTAGGCATCTGGCGTTAGTTGTTGTCGAAGGGGAGACAAGACGCAGACGCAACGGTCGACAGTTGACAGGTCGAAACAGAGATCGTCGCACGAGCCAGCCGCTTCGGTCCAAACTTCTGCCACAGCAGACTTCTACACTCCAATCCAACGCATTCCAGCACGCATGTCCCGTCCCCAGCTCCCAGAACCTCAATCCTCCATCCTGCAGAGTTGTCGAAACCGAACTCGAAATGTCGCTATTACGCCAAAAATTTGCCTCGCAGGCTCCGAGTCCATGCCGTCCGAAAGCTCGATGATCTCTGTTCCTCCCTCGTCGCTGTCGGCGCGCGGTGTCGATGTCGTCGTCGGGGTCGTCGTCACTCACTTTGTCGGTGTGGTTTTTTGATGGATGGAAGTCAGCACACTTCTCAGTCAAACTCGTAGTAGCAACGCTCCCACCGGCCACCGACGGGACCACCCAACGACAGTCCGTAACGGAAGCAAAATTTCCAACGACTGTCCAATGCCACGTGGATGCTATAACCGAATTGTGCGTTATCGCCGATCTTAGCGGCGCGCTTCTCTGAATCAGGCACGACCCCGACCGTCTCCATCCACCTCCACTTTCTTCGACTTCAACAATGCATAGTCTCTCACCACCACGTTCGAGATGCCGAAGGTCCACAGTCCCGCTAGGTGACTTCGTGTCGCCGTACAAGACATTCCAGACTCGCTTCAAGCCTACTCAATGACTGGGACAACTGATTAGCTAACCCGTTGCGGTTCTGCACTGCGCAGCGCCTTGTCGCGATCGCCGCGAGCTAGAGGGCGCAACCTGCGTTGATGAGAGCGCCCTGCCGATTGTCGTCGGCCGTCTCTGGCCTCTGGTGTTCCGCCCGAACCCTTGCGCTAAGTGTTCTCCCTGTCTACATGTCTGACATTTGACCTTCTCGCGCGCCCCTCAGCTCACATGCGCACGGCAGGGCACTCACTTCACACGCCGCGAGATGATATAACGAGAAGCTGACTCAACTCTTCCTTTGTATCTTCCCTCCCCAACTCCCCTCATAGTGTCCACTAACCACTTGCCACTGGATGTCTCTTCTCACTTAATCTCACTCCCCTCTGCACCTCTCCATCGCTCGCAGTCTGATCTTGCATCAAGTCAACCTACAGTCCAAGAGTTTGGCTGCAGGTCACCCCGTTGTTGCCACTGCGACTCATCCACGGCCTTCCTCAGGAACAACACGCTTGCCACGGCCATGGTAGCGCCCGAAACGCCTCGTTCAAGCTTCGCAAGAAGGGTACGTTTACATCTTTTCCACCGAGGTGTATGCTGACTTTAGCAGCGACGAGCTCTCAGATTGCCAAGGGCAAGGGGAGGGCGCGAGCTTCCTCCAGTGACAGCGACGGCGACGACTTCCTTGAGGAGCTCGCCGCCGATGGCGGCTCCGACGATGAGAGCGAAAACGGCTCCGACGACGACGAGCTGTGGCTCGACGACGGGAGCGAGGCCGCTAGGCTCGACATCGAGGACACCATCAAGGCTGCAGCGACCGTCATCCAGACCCTTGCGTCTCTGGAGGACCGTCTCCGAGCCTGCGACGAGATGGACGACAAGCTCGATGCGAGGCTGGGACGCACGGCGCTGAAAAAGCGAGCTCGTCTGAGTGACGTGAGTAGCTTGTAGCAACGAAAGCTGACCTCTTAGCTTTGCGACGCTGGCAACAAGGTCGTCGATTACTCGGCCGTCCCGCTGAAGACGCTGGAGGCCTAGCTGAAGCAAGTGGCTCAAGGCAAGGACGCCTTCGGGTGGAAGTCGGACCTCTACGTCGACGACACCAGCCCCATCCCCAAGGCAGTCCAGCGCGTCGTCAACGTCATCAGCCGAGCCCGCGCTCTGCACCCGTCCCCGGACAAGCGCGAGCAGCTCGACTCGGGTGGTCCGGCACGCCACAGCCGCGACAACGTCGACATGACTACGGTCATCGACAACATGGCCAAGAAGGGTATGCCGAGGATCATCCGGGATCTCATCGACCTGCAGGCCATGTGTCCCGAGGTCGACATCTCCGGCCTCGCCGCCTTCATCAACCGGCTTGAGGCGATGACGTCAGCTTCGGTGTCTCGCCGGTCTGTGTTCAGCAAGGGGCTGCGGCGGTACCTCGCCGAGAAGGAGGCCGGTGACCTCTTCTTGGACGGGAGCAACCCCGGATTCGGCTGGCGCGCCGCGCTCCCCGAGTCGTCCATCGAGCGCGTCATCGCGTCCTACTCGGACCGTGACATCGAGCTCATCGAGTCCATCGAGGAGAAGCTGAAGTCCGATGCCGTCAAGTGGCGGGTGAAGCGGCTCGTCAAGAAGGTCCGCCAGCGCCTCAGCAAGCGCGACAAGAAGGCAGTCGAGCTCGTCTACAACGCCGACAGTGTCTGCACTCTTGTATACGGCAGCGAGACCACGACGCGCGAGCTCGCGACACTGGTGTCTCGCGTAGTGTTGCGTTACTTGCTGCTCTGCGGGAAGCTCTGGGTCCTCGCCAAGCGCGACTTCAGCTCGGCATGGCTCGACCCCATCGCCGTGTTCATGCACCTCGTGGAATCCGTCGTCGTGGCGGGGTACGTGCGCTTCCGAGACAAAGATGGGAAGCCTGAGCTCCTCGGCACCGTCGACCTGATCTCGGGGCTTCCGCACATTCGCGGGGGGCTGTCCGGAAGCTCGGGCAAAGTGACCTATCTTGCGCACGAGCAGCACGGCCTTCCCGCGTCCATGTACAATGGCGACGATGATGACGACTCGTTCGGCAACCACGGGCACGAGTCCTTCCCAGTCAACCTCACCCGAGGTTCATGGCCCTTTCCAACCATGTGGGCTCACCTCTCGAGCCGGCAGCCGGCGCTGCAAAAGCTCGCCGACAAGCTCGCGCCTGTTGGCGTCCTCCAGAAGGTACAACTTCCGGACTTTGAGCCGACCAAGCAGATGGAGGCGATGTGGCGTCACAACCACGTCGACCCGCTCGATGCCGTCGCTCGTGACCCGTCCCTGCCTCAGCGGATGAAGGAGGGCCTCAATTCTGCTGAGCAGGAGGTCAAGAACGCAGCGGCCGCTCGCCGCCAGCAACAAGCCGACGCCGACAAGACGGCCAAGGCTCAGGGCCGCCACCTCATGGCCGGTAGGTGCGACACCTGCGGCATCGCCCTGTTGAGCCATGGGACATGTGTGGCATGCCGCCGCGATGCCAAGCGCCTCGAGGGACAGCGCAAGCACCTCCAACGGTTCGAGCAAGCGCTGCGCAAGGCGAAGGAGCTCGGCTACGTGGGCAACGCCAAGCCAATCGTGCGAGCCGCTGAGCCTAGGGCAATCGTGCCTCGTCTGCCGGACGAACTCAATGTGGGCTACGGCATCCAGGCTGCGGCTGAGTTGCAGGAGACCTTCTTCAGCTTCGAGTGCGCTCGCTACCGACGAGTGCGTGAGAAAGGCTGGGCCGAGGGCACTGCCGACGCCTCGATCTGCGACATCTGTGTCCATGTCGAGCGACGGAACAGCGATGAGTTCCAGCGTCGGCCTGTCTGCTACCAGTGTGGCATCGACAAGTGCAGGGAGTGGCGCAAGGGTCCCGTTTGGGCCGCCATGATCTGCTTGCCATGCTGGACCTCGCAGTTTGTCTGCCACTGCGGCCTGATCGGAGTCAAGTCGTCCTTCTGGTTCTACGTCAATCGAGCGACCAGCGACGAGCGCGAGTGCGACAACTGTTACCGGAGGCGTCTCCGAGGCGGCGCAGCCTGGACGGACCGCAAGAGAGCTGGCACCTGCCTGTACCCGGGGTGCACAACGACCTGGGGAGTCTGGCGGTGGTGGCGCGACAGGGACGGCGTCGGCAGAGTCTGTATGCGCCATCACAGCACATTGCACCGCCCGACCAATGGCGACGAGCACAAGAGGCTCACGGCCTTGTCCAGAAGGCCGTGGCTGCCGCAGCCACCGACGCAAAGCCGGCCGACATCAAGGAGGAGCTCGCCCGCCTCGTCGCAGCGCAGGGAGTGCAGGCCAGCGCCTCCTCGGCGACTCGCGTGTACGACAAACGGCCGACGGACGACTCCTTCGACCCGCGCGCCGTTACGTCGAGGTTTGGCGTCCCCGGCGTCTGCCTGTTTCCTCAATGCGACTCGACGAAGCTGACGAACGGGTTCCCTGTTGTTACCAGGGTGGGCGGCCTATGCGGCCCTCATCATTCGTTCATCTCAAGGAAGTCGAACCATGATGTCAAACAGGCTATGGTCCGCTGTCTTGTTGAAGTTTGCGAAGCGGATCCCGTTGGCTCGCTCAAGGACGCCTTCGCGGCTGCAGTCAAGACAAAGCCAAGGGCATCAAACACAACTGGAAGCCACGCAAGTGAGTCCGCGACGCTGACATCAGGTGATGTCGCAGCCGCTCTCTGCTCGCAGTAAAATTCACGTCTGTCTCGCAAACTGATGCTTCCACTGGAAAGCCCAAAGCCATATTCAAGGATATCCAGACCGCTGGAGATAGATGTCCTGGTCTATGGATCAATTACATATCGTCCTGTCGGCAGGTGCCCTCGAGCACTGCCCTCTACATGGCAATTGCACAGGACGTTTTTAGCCGAAGGTCGCAGCGGGTCGCTTTTTGTTATCAATTCTACCGCGCACGACGGAATTCGTATGTATATCATTGTGCAGACGCTTGTCGAATACATAGCTGGCAATGTGCAGATGCCTGTTCTCTCTTCCCTCTCTACCGCCTATCGACGATGCGACTGCAAGCTCGTTGGCCAAGACTTAGCTTCGTGATCAGAGCATTGCTGTGCTTTGTCCGAAAGTGGCTGCCAACTCTGTGGTTGGCCGCTACACTTGACATGCAGTCTGAGCTACACACCAGCCGGAGATATGCATTACTTAGTGATTTATAACGGCTTAAATGCAACGAACCTTAAGCCTGCACCTAGTCCAGGTACTGAATACACCACGAAAGGCCGTCGATAAACTCTGGAAAGGCACTGAAATCGTGAAACAATTGATCCGAGGTGCCACTAGGAGTCCCAGGATTCCGTCCTGGACTCCCGTCTCCTAGTCGGATGATCCCATCAAGGTAGGAGAGAACGTGGTCCAGAGCGTCGGAGAGACTCTGTCGCTCTTCTTGATTACGGCAGAGCGTGCTGTGGTGCCGATCACAGATGCGCACAGAGCTGCACTGCCCGTTGAGCCAGTGCCACTCGTCGTGTGTCTCCGTGCACTGGGGATACGAGCAGAGGCCAGGGGTCTTCTTGGTAGCCAGGGGTCTTCTTGGTAGCTCTCCCTGAAGCCACCCTTTGCCTCTTTCGGTGGCAGCTCGCACACTATCGCTCGTCCGAGCTGCAGCCGTCGACGAGGTACCACACTGATGACTCGGTGTTCCCACAGCTGCAGGTAAACTGGCTGGCCCAACAGCCATGGCATGCATGGCAATCATGGAGCCAGGCACAGAACCGCTGCGCTATCCCCAGGACTTCTTGACGCCGCAGCGGAAACAGGCGAAGCGCTCCTTGTGGTCGGCAGTGCGTCGACGCTCTGTCCCGGTGCAAGAGCGGCACACAGGCTTGCTTGGGTCCCCGCTCCAGTCCTTCTCACGTACGCGCCCGTAGCGCGTGCAGGTGAACGTGAAGAGGCTTTTGAGGGGTTGGGCCGTGAAGCAGACACCAATGCCGACGTTGCCAGGCTTCAGGTGTCGGAGGGACGGGGCACACGCCAGATCGCGTGGTGTACGCTAGATGGGCTGCCCTGGAATCCGTGTTCTGAGTGTTTTGAGAGGCTCCTCAGCTTTGCGTAGCGAGCGTCGCTGCTTCGAGTAGCGGTCGATGCGCTGTGCATCCCGCCGACACGGAGCGCAAACTCTAGAGGTTTTCACTTCCACCTTGCATGTACTGCAGCGCTCCGGAAACAGACGTTCTCGTTCCGTACCTGCCACGTCGTCGGCGACGGCTTGCTTTCGACCTCTGTTGAGAGCCTGCAACATGACCTCAGTCCGAGCCTTCTTCAGGCCGTCCTCGTATCTTCCAGGAAGACCAAGGTCGCGTGCAACGGCCTCGACAGGGTGCACGGCGTTATGCTTCCATAGCGCCTTAATCCGCTCAAAGGGCTCGAACTCGGGGAGCTTGACCGGCTCTATGACGCCCACCTTAGCGAGAACGTCGGCAAATTGCTGCAGAGCACGTCTGCGACTCCTGAAATAGGTGACTAGAGTTGGAAACCGCCAGCTGCCCCGGAGAAGATTGACGGAGTAGAGCTCCAGTGTATGGTTCCCGTGCACGTCATCGTCATCGGCTGCGGCAAACACCGAAATCCGCAACGTCTATCACGATCGGGTTGTCAATGTGGCTGCCGGGCTCTTGGAAGTTGACAGGAAGGACAGCCGGGCTGGCAAGACGGGCAGGCGCGCCGAGGGTGGCAGGAGCAGCGACATGACCGGCAGCGCGAGGAACGGCGGCACGGGCGGCGGCAGCGGCAGGGTCGAGCTGGGGAATGCCCAGCTCGCCGGCAAGCGCGGGTTCGGCATGAGCGGCCAGAGGAGTGGCAGCGCGAGGAACGGCGGCACGGGCGGCGGCAGCCGCAGGGTCGAGCTGGGGAATGCCTGTGGTGCCCGTGCGCCAAGGACGTGGGCCTGCCAGAACCCCCTGTTCTGCCGCTGTAGTCGTGCGGGAGGCTTGACTTGGGGTCGATGGTGCCGATGAGGGAGGACGAGCCGTCGGGGAACCAAGCGCGTTGATAGCCCTGTTCGAGAACTAATTCACTTGCACGAGGTGGAGGAATACAGAAACAGGGTCAAGCCAATCACTGCCGAAGTTGTCGCTGAATGTGATGACCCAGATGCGGTCGCAAGACAAGAGCCAGCGGAGACCTATCCCCGCAACGAGTCATGCTAGTTGACGCGTTGTGGCGAGGTGGTCGAACATAAGGACACATAGTCCGTCACTGTTCAACACGAGCTCGGGAGTTTGGGTGCGACGCCGACGAGTCGCGGAGCACAGAGCTGAGACTTTGGTTCTAACTCCCTCAGACCTAAGCCTGGCCGCGACTAGGTCGGTGTGATCCTGCGCTGCTGAGGGGAACGACTTGATCACCCCCTCGACCGAAGGTTTGGGGAGCGGAAACTTTCAGTCGAGGCTTGGGTTTGTCGAATCAAGAAACGAGAGCAGGTGCGCGAGCAGGGTTGCGAACAGCTGGTTGCCTTCTTGGGGGACGGCGGTGCGGTTCATCGAGGCGGAGTTCAAGGCACTGACTTTGTTACGCAAGGCGGCGAGCCCAGAAACGTCTACGTCAGGTATCATTTCCGTCATGAAAATAGCGAGATCCGTAATGTCTCTTGAAGTTTCGAGCATCGCAAACTTGGCAGAGTTGTGTATACAGTTCGTTCGATCAGTGTTGCCCGTACTGTGGCGAGCTGGGCCCTCGGCGTCGATTTGGTGGCGCTTATCGGGTGATCTGTGAAGAAACCGGCCTGGCCAGGCTTGTCGCAGCTGGAAACAGGCACGCTGCAGGCACCGGCCAAGCAGACCGCCGAGTCTTGTCGATCTTGGGGTTGGTTGGGCGCTTGTTGTAACGGCGCGTGCCAGACCTGGCCCTAGCGGTGATGTCTCGCGTGTCAACAAGCTTGGCGATCTCGCGCTTGAGAAGAAGTGGGGTCGCTGAACGATGAGGAAGGGAACGGAGGATCTCGTCCAGCACGGCAGTCAAGCGCGTGCAGTCGTTGGTGTCGCGACGCAAGGAGGCATTGTGCCTCGCACAGACTCGGCCTGCTTTCTTGCGACCAGGCCATGGCCTCCAAACGTTGTATGTCGTGTCGCAGTCTGGATACAGACACAAGCCCTCCAGCAGTCGGTAGCCAGACCCGCCTTGTGCCTGGTTCTGGTGACAGGTCCGGCAACAGCGGACAGAGCTGTCCTGTCCGTCGATGAGGTACCACCAAGCCGAGTCCTCCGATGAGCAGAAAGGACAAACAAACTGTCGTCCCCAGCATTGCCCGCACAACATCGCGCCTGGAACCGGTCCTGTGCACCAGACTCGACTCCGCTTTACGCCGCACTCGCAGCAGGTGTGCCTGCTTTGAAATTCGGCACTCGCGCGCTTGGGAAACGCAGGAACCGCACACAGGTGAGTCCGCGTCTCCCTCTGACCACCCTCGTTCGCGTTGTCGATGGAATCGGCAGCACGTAAAGGAGAAGTAAGTCTCAGAAGCCGGTGCAGAGACTCCGATGCCGAAGCCCACGTTAACTTGACCGGACAGCCCGGGTCGGACGGACTGACGACTTGATGCGCGTTCGGCATATCTATCCAGCCGCCTGGCATCTGACTTGCAAGATGCGCAGATTCCGTCCATGCGAAGAGCGGTGGCGCAGGTGTCGCACGCTCCTGACATCAGGCGGCGACCATTGGCGTTTGCCTGCTCCGCTGCCTCAGCCTGCTGTCTTCGGCGAGCATCGGCGAGCTCCTTCACCTCCCTGCGCGCGGCTTCAAGACCTCGGCACAGGCGCTCTGGGAGAGCGGGATCACGGGAGACCGCTTCCAGAGGGTCGACGCGGTTATTCATCCAGAGTTCGCGCATCTGCTTCGACGGTTGAAACTCTGGGAGCGTAACCTTGGGAAGGATTCCGACCTTGGCGAGGGAGTCGGCGAGCTTCTGAAGAGGCTCCTGGCGGCTGCGAATGTGCGCCACCAGAGTGGGGTATCGCCAGGAACCACGCGTGACGTTGACGGCGAACGCTTCATGACCGTGGTTGCCGTACAGGTCATCGTCCGTCTCATCACCACGGAACAGCGAGGCACGGAGGCCGTGCTGTTCGTGGGCGAGGTAGGTGACCTTGCCCGAGCTCCCAGCAAGACTGCCGTGGGTGAGCGGCAGACCAGAGATCAGGTCCACCGTCCCCAGGAGCGTGGTCTTGCCGTCGTCGTCAAAGAATCGAACATAATTCTGCTCGAGAACGGCTTCGACGAGGTGCAGGTAGACGGCTACCGGGTCGAGCCAGGCGGACCCGAAGTCGCGCATCGTCACCACCCACATGCGCCCGCAGAAGTAGAGGTACCGCAGTATCACGACAGCGACTAGTCTGGCAATGTCTCGCGTTGACGTAGTCGCAGCGAATGACAAGGTGCAGACGTTGTCGTTGTTCGTCACGAGCTCGGGGGCCTTCGAGCGGCGGCGGCGAACCTTCTTGATGAGTTTCTTCAGACGCTGCTGTACCTCCACCGTCTTGAGCTTCGGCACGATTAAATCGACGAACTTGGTGTTCCGGTGTGAGAAGCCGGAAACGACGCGGTGGATCGACGGCTCGGGCAAGGCCTGCTCCCACTGGAAGCCGGGTAGCTGACCACGCAGGAAACTCTCGACGTCCTCCCAGTCCTTCCGGTTCCGCCCAGCCTGCTGCTTAGGCACGCACTTCCGGCTCGTCTAAGCAGAAGTGAGTGCCTCGAGCTTGTTTCGTAAAGCGGAGAGGCCAGAAAGGTCGATTCCCGGGAGAACGGCCGAGTTGGTAGATCGTGAAACGACTCGGGTGTCAGTATAGCAGACGGCATTGCTTCTCACGAGTTGCTGAGGGGAATAAGTGTTGCCCGCCGCATGGATGGCCATTGTGTGATTGAGGTCCAGCTTGATGGTGCAGATGGAGGAGAATAAGAGTAGATGGAGTCAAGAGAGGAAGACAAGGGAAGAACGATGGGAAGGGGGAAGGACCCTTAAGTAGCTTTGGGCTTCAAGGGCTCGACGCGGTCGACGCCGAGTCAGGTGAGCTGCTGAGGCATTGGAAGACTGGACTTCTCAGGTTTGATACCTTGTTGGGCGGTTGAGCTGTGCGTATGCGGTCCGCTGTGGTGCCGCTAAGCCGTTGGTCCCCTGAGCATTGGACTGTCAGTACTGCCCAGGCTGTCCCTCGAAGAGCTCACTCCTGCACGCGGACGGTTTAAGGAGATATTCCGAGTAGACGAGGTCAATGGTCAGATCTAGGCACGCATGCCGTACCCCTGCGCTAATGTGTGGTCTTGGTGAACAATAGCACGACCCAAGCGGGCATGACATCTGTGTGCGCATGCGCCTCATGACTGCAGCGGTGTCTGTCATGCTGAACGCCCAGGGTTATAAACAAACGAGCCTTAAGGCGGCTCGAAGTGTGGGAGGCTGCAGTCGGAGTTCGTGGCGCCGGTGATCGGTGAGCTCTTCTGCTCCGCGAAAGACCTCGATGAATGCGTGCGTGGCTGGATGAATGCGCTGCACATCCTCGACTTGCTCAGCTCTCATGGCCAAGTAGCGACATCCGTTGGTTCTGGAGCCATGCCCCTGAGGCCACGCGCCGGCGCAGGGGCGGCCGCCAGAGAACCACGTCTTACCCTCGCACACGGAGGAGGCAGATCGCAGGTGTGCCTGAAGACGAACGTGATCTCACTGCGCCCTGTAGCGTCTTGACTCACCGCATGGTCTGCGGTGCTCTATCAAGAGCGAAAAGGATACGCGCCCCTTGCCTGCTACGCCCGCAGCTCTGCTTCCATGCCCTGCTTCGATGCCCTACACGATGCGCGCTTGCCCGCGGAACGTCTAGCTCACACGCCGACTTCGCCCACACGTCCCATGCTCCACCTCAAGTCTCTTCTCTTGAGTCAACACACGTCACCACCAACAACCTCGCTAGACTTCCGACTATCTACTGTACGACGAACTGACGACCGCCTTCCTTCCTGCCTTCACCATGGCCGAGGCTGTCATCAGCGACGACTCGAGAGACAGCACCGACCAGCCGCCTCCTCTTTCACGTTTCACCGGCCTCGCTCACGTGAATGCCCTTACGGGAAGAGTCCTCTCAGGTTGGCGCTCCGTATACCACACCGACGGCAGCAAGGGCATGGTAGCCTGGGACAGCCACGCCTTGCGCATCACATGCGATGATGTTCCTACAACGATGACTGAGCTTGAGATGGGCGAGAGGATTATCCTCTCGTTGAAGAAGTACGGCATCATTGTGAGTTGGCTCACAGCCCGTCCTTTCTTGTGAAGATGTTCGCTGATGACAGGTCTCCTTCACATTGAACCTCTACGTTCACACGAGCAACACCACTTACGAGCGTTTCTATGGTGACGTTTCTGAGAGGAGGTTTGGTAAGTGAGGGCAGCGAGGATGACTCCTAACGCCTCCAGGTGGTTCCCAGCACCCGCGGACGGTCAAGCTACTGGCATACGTCAGCTTCGCCAACCCTGTCCACGCTCGGCGCTGCATGAACATCGTATGTCTGATTTCGCATCTCCAGCCTTCGAAAGCGCTGACAACAGCCGCTAGACGAGCGCCGGGTGTTTCATCCGGTCAAAAAACGCAACGCCGAGGGCAAACCTATTCTCGTCAAACCGTACTTTCTTACATCATGGCTTTTTCTTCTCCCACGTCGTGGTTGGGTGAGTTTAGATGTGGAAACCTGCTGACGAAAGATACTCCTGCCAGATGTTCCGGAAGTGCTTGCAAAGCAAAGACAGGCGGGAGAGAGGATGTATGGCTCCAAGGAGGCGATCAAGCTGTGGAACAAAGCGAGGAGGTGCACCAAGGCTAGCCTGGACATCACGATACCTGCCGCTGAACGTCCCAATCTCAACTCACTCGACACGCTACCAGAAGAAGCTTGGGTCGCTTTTCAAGGTGTGCGAGACGTCCCGCCTGAGATGCCAGGCCAGGGTTATATCTTTCCCGTCAACTACAGGGACTTTTCGCCGCGCATGCCCATGGTTGACTGCCACTCTGAAGTCCGCCCGATCGCACCTAGCCTTCTCCCGCCTAAGCCGGACTTCAGTCCCATCCCACAAGACGCCGACGAGGACCTCGCCCAAGGAATGATAATCGATCTTCCCCACCACGAGGAGCTTTCTCAGGAGTCAGTCTCAAAGCGCAAGAGGAGTCCCGAGGGTGAGAGTAGTAGCACTAATAGCCTTGATCGCGACGAGCACAAGCCGACCGTGAAGCGTGCACGGGTGGCGTAGCTGTCGGTTCTTGCGTCTACCAGCAACGACCTACGCTGTCGAACAAGGCTCCCTACACCCACTCTCAGAAACAGGCTTCCTGCCTCTTCTCCCACGAGTCGCCCCATGCCGCACCGCTCGTGCCCTCAATTCAATCGCTCTCCGCCTCCTCATCCCCGCCACCTCCGGTCTCCGCTCCCGCAGCAAGACACAACTCTTACTAAAGGCTCGACACGACGCCATATGTGTGATAGATACACTCATTATGTATAAGTAACTCATGCCATAGAACTTTGCAATCAATTGCGGCCCGCGTCTGCTTCTCCGCCGACAACTGTAGTCGGAGCGGAGGCCGCGATACTGAAATGAACCAGCCACCCAAGGTGACTAACCAGGGAAGTCTGACGTAATGGACTGGGGGGTACTTCCGTGATGCTCCCTGTTGCTCGTCTCGCGTCAAGAGCATCTTTGACATGACTGCATGCAAACCCAGCGTAAGAGCAGTGTTTGGAAACGAGCTGTACACTGAAAAAGGGAGTCGGGAGAAGGTTCACAGGTGAGATCGACGATACATGACACACGGGTGGAACGTGGGCGCAGGAGGGGTTGCTTCAGCTCGTTTCCAAAAGTGGTTTACGAGGATCCTCAAACAGCAGAAGGTCCGCAGGGCCGAAGTACACCCATTTCTTGGACTTGAGAGGAGCGACGGTGGGAGCAGCGGTGCCGTCCCAGACACTCAGGCTGCGGCCGTCAGAGAGCGTGCTGACGGGCTTGATGTCGTTGGGGGGCTTGCTGAGCGGCATGTCCAAGTCAGTGTCGCTAGGGGCGTCGATGGCTGCCTTCCAACTGGGGAATTCGAGGGCGTTGACGCGTGCACAGTGCACGCGAACCTCTTCCAGCGCCTCCTTGTTGCTCGGGACGAGGCACTGAGGTTAGCTTCGGTTCATAACACTAGCACTCACCCAGTGCCCGGGGAGCAGCAGGCGCCAGTGCACCCCCACAGCAAGGTGTCTCGCCCGCTTCATCCCGCCTGCCGAGATTTTACGCACAGTCCCGAGCAGGAAGCGGCGCTCCACAGGCTGATGTTAGCCACAGTGGAAGACGAGGGAAGAACGGAAGACACGCACCAGCTGGCGAGCACGGGCGGCGGCGGCAGCATCCGCGAACGTCAGACGGGCAACAAGGGAGTGGGTGGCAGGGTCGAGGCGTGCGGCCGCGGCTTTGGCTTCGGCCTCTTCTTCGAGCCATTTTCCTGCGAAGGACTGCTCGTAAACATCCACGGCGTCCCTCTCCATAGCATTATAATAGAGCACAATGTCGGAGGCGAACTCGGACGCATCGACTGCACCGAGTCCCGAATCACCACGGGCGCAGGCCATGATGCCCTTGGTGTCGTTGATGGGGAGAGGTTTCAAGAACACTTTGACTGCTTCCTGTTCTGTCAGGTCGTCATTGAAAGCGGGTTAGCTCACAATCACTCCGCATGGCTTGAAAGCCTTGATCAGGCGAAGCCCGATGTCTTCACGGGACATGTTGGGTGGGACGGCGGCGTTGGTCACACGCACAGAGTACTCGTCCTACGCTACCATGTCGCCAGCACCGTCGACGTAGCGCCACGAGGTCATGGGTCGGCCGCTCAGGAGGCTCATGTGCTCGTAGCCGTCGAAGCAGGAGGGCTGCTGCTCGGGCATGCTGGTGAAGGTGGTGTTGGGTGTGCGAGCTGTGATTGAGTAAGAAAGGACAAGTACGAAGAGTTGATGACACGTAGACTCACAGGCAAGACAGCTTGGTCGTCCTGCGCCCCGCCGGGGATTCAAGTCTCCCACCTAGGCTACACGGATCCGCAGATCTTACAAACCGCTTGTCGTCAAGGAAACACAGGGGCCCACTGATGTGCGAATCCGCAGTGACTCGCCCAAAATCCTATCGGGTTGTTGCCTGCACATCGCCTCTGAACCTGACCTCGAGTGTTAGAGTCCAAAGGCGAATACTATCTATCGGTCGTGCCATGCCGCACTCAAACATAGGTGGCATAGGCTCGGTCTTGCTCCAGTGGGCTTGTCGACCCAGCGAAGCTGAAAGTGCTGCTCGATAGCTCTCTTATGCAAGTTCTTCAGAAGCACTCAAGTGATCGCACACTGACTTTGGCGAGGGTGTGGACCGCAGGACTCGAGGACCAGTCGGTTGTGATGAAGTCAACCGTGGGAAAGCATGAATCTAGCGAACGCGAGCCCCGACCGCCGTTCGGGTGGTACTTGTCAAACTCGAAAGGACGGCGACCGTGGGAAACATTGAATTTGCGATGGTGCCGCTCCAGCCAGGACGCACAGAACGAACGCATGTGGCTCCGTGGGAAAGTACCATCGTGGGAAACATTGAATCTGCGAAGCTGCCGCTCCAACTGAGCCGCCCAGTTCCAAACTTAACGAACGTATCTGGTTCCGTGTGAAAGTACTACCGTGGGAAACCATGGATCCACAACAACCCAGGTGCTCTAACGCTGACTCCGTACTTCGCACACTGACTTTGACATGGACGTGATCGTAGGACTGTGTAGGGGTTGTCTGTGAGGAAGCATGGATCTGTCGAGTTAGCTAAGGCGAGCTCGGTGAAACTCGTCAAGCTCGAAAGGACTTTATCGTCAAACGTCAGAAGCGCACGTCTTCCACGGTCGCAGTTCGCATGCGTTAAGTTTGAGATCGGTTTGGGTCGAGTTTGAAGCCCAACCATCGCAAATCCTTAGTTTCCCACGGTGGCAAGTTGCATTCGTTAAGTTTGGAATCGGTTCCGGCCGGATGGAGCACTGCCGCCGCAGATTCCATGTTTCCCACGGTGACAATCTTTGCATTCGTCAGGATCGGATGGTTAGTTGTAGAGCTGTGTCACCACAGAGTCCATCCTTCCCACCATTGCCCCGCACTCATTTGTAAACCGCCTTTCCCCTCCTCAACTTCACTTCAGAGCGGTCCTTGGTGTTTGCATATGAACCCATTGAAGAGAGCGCTACGCATCACGATCACGTCTCATCTCGAACTCCAACTTCGGCGGCACCGTATCGAACCAGGAGGCCGTCGCACGTGACGATGATCATGTCGTGATGTGCTCAATCTGTCGACGCGAAGGGGGCCCTTGAACCGCGGAGACGATGCTGTTGGACAACTTTGGACCCTACGTTTCCAAATCGTACAACGAGGGTTCTCCGATGTGAGCAGCATCGAGCGCGCCACGATACTCACTTGTGCACTTACGAAACAGCCCATCTCCCGTGGTTGTCCATCGAATCTTCAATTTCGACAAGCCTTTTTGCGCCTCCCTGATCCAACCCTCACCGACAGGTCAACTTTGGCGAAGAGACATGGAAGACCTGGGACACGGACTGAACATCCCTCGCAGGCAGGGTGTCGGGAATGTCGCGCACAAGTCCCTTGTAGGGACTGCCCATTTCTCGCGGCCTAGGTGGAGGCAGATGCACCTCTCGGCTTGGAGGCCTCAGTAACATCCTCCAAACCCTCCCGTCTTCAGGGGTCTCTCCTTCAAGCCCAAGCATTCAACCTGCACAGTGGATAGGGCGTTTGGAGATAGCATGGCCTCCACCAGAGCAACCCCGTTTCAACTAAACACGAAGTTGCAGCTGTACATTGACGATACCTCAAGTCTGACAGTCCGCTTACAAACGCGAGGGGCGCTTACAACTTCCACGAGAGGTGGTGACAACGCAATATGTTCAATCTTGCCTGAAAGCCTGTTGGATCGAAGCACGAACGCTCGTTCTCAGAGCACCCACGCGCGCCTTGCGGCTGCACCTTGACCGGAGCCCGAAGCTTTGCTGGTGGGAAGCGGCGTTGGGCGTGCACTACCCGCAAGCTGCACTTCAGCATAAAGCACCTGTCATCGAACAAGATCTAGGCAGCGGAGGGCAGAGGTCAAGCTCAATTGTCACTCCATCATTCGACAGACGGCAGCGAGTGAAAATCCTGACGCCGGGACCTGAACCATCGACGACGACTTCTTCTGCCACACAGGATCCTACTTCCTGCTAATGCCACGTCCGAGGAACTCCGCCATCATACGTTGATCCCTTCAGTTGCGCACAGATGTATAATCAATTCGACCTTGAGAATCTCGTAGTCGGCGCTCTGTGAGTTCTTTCCACTGGCATTCTCTTCAATGGTTTGACTTCGACCCCGCAGCAGCAGAATGACACCAGTGCTGTACATTATGACCAGAGCTGAATGATAGTGATTTGTAGTGCAGCACCCTGCATTCGAAACTATACTCACACTCTAACGGACCTTACTGAATATATGTTTACAACTTGAACCGTATCTACTCAAACTGGCTTGGCCTTCGGAACAGTCTTCAGCTGGAGTTTGGACTTGGGCGGAGCATTAGGCCTAGGCTGTGCTGTAACGGCACTTTTCGTCTTCCGGGGAGGACCAGTCGCGCTTAGCTTGATGCCCTCAGCCTTAGCAGCAGCGGCGAAGGCGACCTTGAGTGTTCCTTGCGCTGTGGACACGCAGACCACAGCAAGGCAGCGGCTCAGGGCGCGCTTCTCCTCGGCGTTATTCGCCCGAGCCAAGGTCCCGTAACGGCACGTGCAGAGCAAACCGACACCTGTCAGCGAAGGGAAGCCAAGTCCGCCCTGTTCACAACAGCTGGGGTACAGGCACTCCGTGCCCCACGGGAACCTCGACACAACAGCTGGTCCACGGTCGGCGTCTCGGCCCTTCTTGACGTAGACGCGCTTGGCCGACGCCCCAACGGCGGTGATGCCCATGGCCGTGACCTTCTTGGCCAGTTGCGACTTGAGATAGGCGTCATTCCAGTCCCAAGTGGCCTTCTCCAGGACCTTATCGAGAGCGGCGGTCAGCCGGTCCTTCTCCTCCGCATTCCTAGCCATTGTACCGTAATGTCTCTGACAAATGCGGCCGGTACCACGTCGGCCGGTCCACCATTGCCATTCGGTGTACATCTCATCGCAGCCAGGGTAGAGGCAAAGCCCTGGCGACTTCTTGACCGTCCTGGATCCGGCAGCCTGCTGGCGCTTACGGCGGTATTTGCGACATTCGCGCTGATCGCCGCTCGGCCCGCGTATGCGGCACCATGTCGATGAGTTGTTGCTGCCGCACGCGCAGGTGAATTGCCCGGCCCAGCAGCCATGGCACAGCATGGAGCCTGGGACCGGCCCTCTTCTCCATTCCCCACAAACTGTCGCATCGCACTGGAAGCAGGTGTATTGCTCCTTGTACTCCTTCGTCTGGCGGCGCTTGGCTTACGCACAACCTCGGCAAATAGGAGCTTTCTGCTGACCCTGTCCAGCCTTCTTCACGCGCGCGCCCGTAGCGTGCGCAGGTGAATGCAAAGAAATTCGCTGAAGGCTCTGATCCAACGGTGACGCCGAATCCGATATTGCCCGGTCCCAGATACGTAGGGATGGGTGAGTCAGCGAGGGTGCGTGACGCTCGTTGGATGCGCTCCGAAGTAGACTCGAGGACGAGCGTCTTCAGCGCCTCCTGAGCACTCTTAAGCTTCTTCAGCATCCTCAGGTACGTCGCAATGCATTTGTCGTCCTGTTCACATACTGAGCACCGCCCAGCTTCCTTGATGGTTACAGCACAGGTTGTGCAGCGCTCCGGCAGTAATGGCAATGGTTATACAAGTTGCGGATGAGAACAGGTATTAGCAGCCGCATCGACCATCAAGTTGTGGCTGTGGTTTGATCTCGATAGTGCAGATGGAAGAGGGATGAGGATAGATGAATTTAAGAGGGGAAAACAAGCGGGGATGATGAACGTATGAGGGGGACGATTTCCTTATGGACATAGCTTGGGGTTTTGAGGGCCCGACACCGAATTGGGGTAAGCTGCAGGACGTGTCGGCCCTTGGGTCACAGGCCTCCTGGTGCAGGGCCGGAGCCATACTGGGCGGCTGAGCTGCGGTGTTACTGAGCTGCCGAACTGCTAACCTATCGAACCCTGTGCCATAGCCTTTGAGGCCTGAGGAACATCCCGTCTGTCTCTCGATGTACTCGCGCCCACGTCGGGTCCTGGGGGACCTTCCGAGTAGACGGGCATCATGGTCAGATCTACGCAAGAATGGAATGCCGTATTCCTGAGCTACTGCACGCTCGTGGTGAAGGTCACACGGGCCAAGCGGGCATGACATCTGTGTGCCCGCGCCTCACGACTGCGACGATGCTCTATCAAGGAGAACGTCATGGCTCATGAACATACAAGAGGTAATGTAGCTCGACGACGGGCAGTAGGCTGCTGGCCGCGTTCGTGGCGGCAGTTGCGCAATCAACTCCAGTGCTGATGGGAAGAAATACCACTAAAATGCCGTAAAATGTTGGAAAGTATGCAGTGGAGTCATTGCAGTCGTTAGGTCAATGATTAGAGAGCCAGACAGACCTGGAAGGCTACCCAGTGCAGTGCTGGAGCGACAAGGGCAGGGCATCGTCAATCAAATGTCGGACACGTAGGGAGTGATTGCTTTTCCACCACCGTCCCCCGACCCCTGACACCTCGCACCCAACCACGCGCCCTATCTTTCCCCAACTGAGCCTCAAGGGGAGCGCATCTACAGAGCGAGATGGGTGACGAAGCAGTCCATGGAGTGCAGTCTGATTAGGAAAGAGAATTCAGTGATTGTGAGGTCAACTAGGGATTTGAGCGTTTGCGATGAAGGCACGTTGATTTGAATCGGCGTCATAGCCCAACGGGGCTTTAAACATCACTTTGCAAATGTTATGACAATCTAACTTGGTACGTCTACGGCTACCCCTAATTGCTGGGAAGTTGCGCTCTTCCTCACTTCAGTCCCTTCACGCTTTTGAGGTGGTCGCGGTGGTTGCTCGGGGTCGTTGGGGCGGTCCGGTCGCGCTGAGCTGGATCCCTTCCTCCTTCACGGCGGCGGCCAGTGCTTCTTTCAAAGAACAGTCCGATGGCCGTTGGCAGACACGAACTAGACAGCGGCTCAGCTCCATCTTCTCTTGTGCTCGCGCTTTGCGAGCCAGGGTCGAGATGTGCCGCTGGCACAACTGCCCAACCTGGGTGAGGCCAGGGAAACCCTTCACGCCTTCTTGAGGGCAGAGGGGGTACAAACAGGCGGGGTCGAAGGGATAAGCCGACCTGACAAGTCTTGAGTCAACCTCTGGATCGGGCTGTGCCTTGGTGTACGAGCGTTTGGCTGAGGAGGCGGCGGTCTCAATGTTGTACTTGGAGACGTGTTGAGCAAGCCGGAGCTTCAGATCTAGCGGCCCGCAGTCCTTGGGTGCCTTTTCCAGGACGACATCGAGTGCACCAGTCAGCCTCGACTTGTCGTCCTCGTTGCGAAGGAGGCTCATGGTGTGGCGACCGCAGACCTTGCCTGTTTCGGGGCGCTCGGGCCACCATCGCCATCGGTCGAGTACTTCGGGGCATTCAGGGTAGATGCACAAGCCGGGACTCTTGTCGTCCGAGCATGTGCTGCACAACATTGAGCCGGGGAGATTGCCCTTGCGCCAAGAGCTGCTGGAGCCGGTGCCGCACTCGTAGCACGTGTGGCTCTCCATGTACGCCGAGGAGCTGCGTCGCTCAGCGTCTGCGCATGTCTTGCACACCGGCTGAGCCGCATCTCCAGTCCAGCCTTTCTCCCGCTCTCGCCCATAGCGCGAGCAGGTGTAGGCGAAGAATGTGACGGCCGGGGGAGGTTGAAGGCCGATGCCATAGCCGGCGTTGACGATGTCCGGCCCGGACGGCGGCAAACGGGCAATCGCCTTGTCCCGACTTGCCCGTTTGATTGGGCTGGACGGCGAGAGAGCTGGGAGGGTTTGAAGTGTAGAGGAGGCCGCGTGGAGCTTGTCGAGCTGCCTCTGGTATGTCTGCAGCCGCCGGGTTCCTTGCTGGCAGGCCGCGCACAACCCAGCAGAAGTAACGCGCGTCCTACACTTTGTGCAGAGCTGGCTGGGAAGCCGAGCTGCTCGATGTCCAGCTTCTTGGTCAACTTCAGACTGAGCCGCTGAGCGGCGTGCTGCATCAGCGGTGGTGGCGGCTTGTACAGCGTCGAAGGCAGCCTGGACCTGGTCCACCAGTCTGGAACTGCGAGCGACAGCCTCAACGGTTTCGACCTTGTTGTGGGTCCACAAGGCTGTCATCTTCGCTGATGGCACAAAGGGGCGGAGCCGAATTGGCTCAATCACTCCAACAGCAGCGAGCTTGTTAGCAAGCACTTGTAGTGGCCTTTGGCGACTGCGGAGATGCGCAGCGATGGTCGGAAATCTCCACGAACCTCGTGTGAGGTTCACTGCCCACGATTCCTGGCAATGATTGCCGTACTTGTCACCTCCATCGTCGTCGGCAAACGCCGAGATCCATAGCCCATGGTGCTCATGAGCAACGTACGTCGCTTTGCTTGGGCTTCCCGGAGTGCCGCTGTGATCGATGGGGATCCCTGAAAGTGGGTCCGCTGTGCCAAGAAGCTCTGGCGTGCCGTCCTCGGACCAGATTCGCACGTACGCCTGCTCCACGAGAGACTCGAAGAGGTGCATATACACCTTAAGAGGACTGAGGGCGGGTGCCTCAGCCTCTTTGGCGTTGATGGACCAGACTCTGTCACACTGTAGGACGACCCGCTCGAACACTGCACAAACGTACCGTGCCAAAAGTCTGGTGCTGGTAGTCCCTGGGAAGTAGAGCGTACATGCACCGTCCTTGTTGTAGATCGGAGCTGGCGCATCTGGGCGCCACAGTCGGACGTTAGCCTCAATCTCACGAAGGCGTTCGCGCGTAGAGGACTCGAGGAGCGTTCCGGCAAGTTGGGCCACGAGCTCTGGCTTTGGAGTCGGGTAGGATGCAAGTTGTCGGACGATGTTGGGCATGGGAAGGGGGGTCTGCCACTCATAATCTGGTAGACGACCATCGAGGAAGGCGAGCACGTCGTTGTGCTTTTGAAAATAGGCTTGGTAGCGCTGCTGAGGGACAGCTTTGCGGAATACTGAGGCGGCGTTAAGATCTGCCAAATTATTAAGGAAAGCCGCGGGCCGCGAAACATCATAGTCTTCGTCGCCAGCTCGGATGTACAGGAGGAGATCGACGACGTCGCGGCTCAGCCGCAACGCTCCAAACTTGGCCATGTTGTCGATGAAGGTCGTTCGCGTCACATTGTCCGGGTCGTGGCGAGCTGGTCCATCGGGTCCGAGCTGATGGTGCTTGTCTGGAGAGGGGTGTAGGGCTCTGCAGCGGTCGACGAAGTTCATCACACGCTGGATTGGCTTGGGAATTGGACTGCTGTTGTCGACAATTAGATCGGAGGACCACCCAAATGCGTCTACCCCGTTGGCGAGGCGGAGCACCTTACAGCGCAGCCGTTCGGCGCTCAAGTTAGAGTAGTCTACTTCGACATTTCCCGAACTCCTCAACTGTCTCCGTCAGCGTTTCCAACTCAGCTTTCCAGACTAGGAAAGGCACTCACATCCTCGACTCGAGCCCTGTTCACCAGTTTCGGGCGACCGAGACGCTAGTCGAGGTCGTCATCTGCTTTGCGGCAGTCGTCGAGGCGCTGGTGCAAAGGCTTGAGATTGCCAATCGACTCTACAGCCTTCTCAATAACGGCGTTGATGTCGCGCTGGAGTAGCACACATTCATTGTCATAGATGGTCGAGTCATTGTCATGGGTACACTCGGAGCTTTCGGTCTCTAACCACTCTTCAACGTCTGCACTGCCAGACTCGACCTCTTCCGATGGAGCTGTGCCTGACATCAGTTAGCGTGTGCCTGCCACCATTCTCTTCACTCACTTTCTGTCTTCGGCAACTTCGGTGGCACGACGTCAAATTCCGACTCGGAGTCCGTGGCATAGAATCGAAGTCGTTTAGAGGTGGGGCGGCTCGCAGAGGTTAACTCTTGGGATGTAGTAATGTGCTCAAGCTCGCTGGGGTTGGGGCAAGCTCCCTCTGCTTCCCTGGCTGTGAGCGAAGGGGACGAGCTTTTGATAAGAGCGGTTTCTTGCTGTTCTCGTTCGGCAAGTCGCTGAGACTTTGGCTCCGACGATGTACGCCTCGTGTGGTCATTCTCAAAAGTGACTGAGCTGGACACTCTGGTATACAAGCCCGACGTCGCGATATCGAAAGAGACAGGGGCGGGGTCGCTGATCGTGGGCAGCTTGGAAGCCGTGGCCTTTGTCAACGTTAACGTCGGCGGCTCAGACTTGGTCTTGCTGCTAGCGGTTGAGCAGTGATGAGGCGGGCTTTTCTCAGAGGAGGTGCGAGCGTCGCGGGCCGACCGGCGCGTCCACCCAACAGGCGGGGGCACTCGAGTGTACCTGTCCACGGATGTGCTCGGAAATGAAGGAGTGTTGCTGTCTTGACTGGCGTTGGAGGAAGAGAAACTTCGTACGTTGGACGTCTCACGAACTGGTACTTCGACGCAATACAGAGCGTTGCTGCACAGAGATGTTGCTGGCTGCTCAGGAGACAATGAGCCGGTCTCGTCCATCAGTGCGATGCTCCGCTGACGGGCCGGTCGAGATGTCGTGTTGTGGACGGTGTGAGGCGTTGCTGGAACAGAGGCGTCGTCGGAACCTTTTGTGCCGTCACAGTTGTCGTTGCTTTGTCCGTTGGTGGCCATGGTAGATGGGTAGGGTGCTATGCAACGAGGTTCTGCAAGCGTGCCAGGCGGCAGGATGTAGCACGTTGGAGTTTCGATTCTTGGGCGGGTAGAAACCTGAAGGTTGCTGTCGGGAAGTGCTGCAGCTTGTTGGAGTCGAGATGAAGGGGGCGGGCTTTCCTGCTGTTGAAAACGATGGAGAGGTAAGTATCGTTCGAATGGTTTTGCCCATCCCAGATCATGTTTGGAAGGGCTGAAGAGGCTGCGAGGATTCGGATCAAGGGAGCAGAGAGTAGGGTGTCGGCAGGCTTAGGCTGGGACGCCATGGTGACCGGGCTCCTTGAATTCTGTACACCTGAGCTTCTAGAATGCTGACGTCTGGCGTCGCTATCTTGCTTAGCTGCCCAACATCTGGTCTGCTGGGCAACAGGGTGCGAGTAGCTGGAATATCGGTCTGCCGAGTCCCTGGACGGTTCAATCAGTTCGCCGCTGCGTTGCTGCTTCGCAAGGGGGCTCGTTTGCTCGTTTGCTGAGCTAAGGGCTGCTGCAATGCAGCTGAGCCAATGTTTTTCCACGCCGCGCATTGTCCAGGTCGTTCTACTTGAGCTCCCGCCGCGGGATACATTGCGCGCAAACATTCCGGGGGTCACATCTAGGCACGCATGCCTCGTCCCTGAGCTAGCGTGTGTTCTTGGCGAACTGTCGACGCGCAACGAGCCCAGCGGCCACAGCCACGTGTGTCGGTTTCATGACGGCGGTGGCGCATGATCGTGCAGGAACGGCGAGGGAATGAGATGGAGGCACGGTTGAATGTGAGCCTGCAGCTTGGCAGTCGACAGACGGCATGGATCGCAGGGAGGAGGTCGGCAGCAAGGACGGCTTAGGTCAGGTTCCAGCAGGCAGATGGTCGAACCAAACAGAGTCGTGGGCAAGCCAAAATATGCTAGGTCTCCTGGTCGTCTTATGCATCTGGCTGAAGCACGCGCCCAAGCCTTCTACGTGGTGGGCGTAAAGCGCTTTCGGGTGCGCCGACGGCCCGACGGTGCAGTTGGACAACTCGAACAATCGCTACAGCACTGTTTTGCTCTGGTTTCCCCTGCCAGGACTTGATTCCAGATCGCCGCCCGTCGCCCTATAGATCTCATAGAACACAGAGAGCGCAGACATAAATTCGGGACCCTTATCGTCACGCTGTCGCGTCAAGCACGTTCCCCGCTAGTTCCAAACGGCTCCGCCTCGGGCAACAGCGAAGCCTAAGGTTGTGTCGCACCCTGATCCCAGAGCTGTTTCCAACGGTGCGGCACGCCCGTTAAATGAGCCCGTACTTTGTTTGATGAGTCCGTACGCGTCGTTTTGTTTTCGGCAGCGGAATCCTCGAGGATGCCTGTACACCGGAATGGTCCATCCCAGATCGGACACTACGGACGCTACGGGAGCTACGGGCACCCCTAACGCCCAGGCACCCGGACGCCTAGAACAGAGGCAGGGCAGGGTAGCCCACGCCGATACCCCGACCCTGTGAATATCCTTTCCGGCGGAGTGCGGTCAGGATAGGAGGCATTCCAGCACCCAAGACCTACCTCATCAGCACATCTAGACTCATTGGGAGCAGCGATGCTCCAATTCATCACATTGGCTACGGCTGTTGAATTGTCCAGCGGCCTGGCACGTCTGTACTCGGCGCTGCGTGGTGTCCTCACCATCCTCTTTCAGGGCTTTGACCGCGATAGCAACGCCTGGCTCCCGGTGCCGGTGGCGGCGGCTGTCGGGGCATGACCATCATAGGCAACAATGCCGAGCCGAAATCCAAGTTGACCATGCCTTATGTTGATGCTCTGATGTTCTGTATCGGCTCGCAATACATGCGAAACCTCGCACCGGCTACCCGATTAAGTATCGACAGAATGCCGCGCCATCACACTCGTGCAGGAGCGATGTAGTTAGCGAGTAATTTTGGAGCTGTGCCTGCAACTCACGGAATGAATATCACTGATGCAGACGGCTGATTAGCCGGACCGGCAGTACCGGGATGTCAACGCAGCGCTATTTCCAGGATGTCCAGGGCAATTCCATGTTGACCTTTGTGAGGGAGTGGCTTCTCGTTGAACTAGCTGCCTCAGGCAATTCTTCTCGATGCGTGTGTCCCGACCGTTTGAGCAGAAGGCGTTTGGAGCCTGGTGAACGACTGACATTTGGAGTGACGAGGGGTTCCAGCGGAATGCTGTGAACGCTTTTGTAGGATACCCACAGTTTGTCAGAGCTTTCAGCAGGATACGCAACTCGGTGGAAGAAGCGACAGAAGGCTTGTCACAGATCTGCACGCTGTACGCTATACGCACTGCACACTGCATTGACGGCAACTCATGCCCAAAGGGCTTGGGTGCCGAGACTGACGTCACGTTTGGGTGGCCGGAGGAGCCTTAGTCCGAGCTAGGGTGTGCCGGGGATGGGGAGTGTTGCTTGGCTGCTCGTCTGCCCCTCTGCCCGCCTGCCTCTCTGCCCCAACTACTTCTCTGCTTGTCTGCTTGGAAGGGGCATATGCGCGTTATGCTTGGCTGATGGGCTTCGCGTTGGTGACACCCGAGCTCTCCGCCTCCTCGGGCCAGCGCCGAATTGATCGCGTTAAGTTGGCTGGGGGCGCGGGGCGCGCGGGGCACTCCGAGGACCGAGTGGAGCCTCCCGACGCCCGTCAACCCTTCGTATGATCGTACACGGTGCTCTGACAATGCGCCAGCACAAGGCAGGCCGCCAGAACGCCGGAACAATACCCCCCACCTGTTTTCAGCGCTAATCGCGACGATGCCATCCCGCTTTCAAGGGAGGGGCCGTGTGGGTTCCTGGACAAAAGACAGGCGCGAATCCACTGCGCCCTTGCGAACCCACAAAGGCGCCGCCCTCAACCCCAAGTTCTTTCGAGGAAGCGAGGACGCCCCCCGAGTTACTAGCTCAGACAGTCCGCAGCTCTGGCTTGAAGCGCTGTCCTCGGCGCCCTCCTGCATCCTTGGGCTTTCTGCCGCTGTCGATTCTGCGTCCCGGTTCGTGGGATACCTGGCGTCCCCCGTCCCCGGTCCCCAATCCCCCCTCTCTTCCATTCCAACAACTCTACCGCTACAGCACCATGTTTGTTGCCACCTCATCCCAACGCTGTTTCTCACAATCGCCAGCCTCCTCGACCATCTTTCAGCATCCCATCGTCGACAACCTTCCAACTCCCTATCTTGGAGGATCCCAGTGCCACGATGTAATGTCAACATTGACACAGAAACTGGCCCCGACTCCACTCGCCCACGTTGGCCTCATGGCCTCAGGCTTTGCGAGGTGTGTTCATGTCAATGCCTCTACGGGAAAGGCAGTTTCTGGCTGGCGACCCGTACATCACACCGACGCCAGCGAGGCTTTGGTAGGGTTTGACAGTCGCCCCTTGCAAACTTCGTCTGACAACGTCCCCACCACCTTGAGCGTGACTGAGATGGGGGATAGGGTTCTTTCTCTGAGGTGATGAGGCCTCGTTTATGAGTACACACACTTCGCTCGCATCCGTCCTTCACAGGTATAATTCGCTGATTGCAGGGTAGTTTCTCAATGTCTCTCTATGTTCGCCAAGGCGATAATGCGTGCGAGCGGTTCCACATCACTTCTGGGAAGAAATCTGGTAAGCTGAATCAGGTTACAAGCAGGATACTGACAGTGGTCTCAGCCAATCAGAAGCTGTCGAAGACTGTCATGCTGCAAGCTGGTGGCTCTTGTCGCCTTTACCACACCGACGCGCGCAGGTCGATGCATGAACGTTGTGAGTCAAAAAGAAACATGCAAATCATGTCTCCAGCTTTCGTGCTCGCTGTTATCCAGCCCTTCCACGAGGGCTGAATGCCTCATCCCCACAAGACGTGCAACGCGAAGGCACAAAGGTCCTCAACAAGCCGCGTTTGCCTGACACTGTGGCTTTTGCTCCTCCCTCGTCGCGACTGGGTGAGTCACCGATTTAATCAGCTGACTGACAACGAGTTTTTTTTCCAGATTCAGGAGACCGTTCGGACCTCTATCATCTCCGGGCGACGTACCAGGCGTACGAACGTGCTCCTCGAGATGCCTGGTCAAGGACACCCTTTTCCCGTTGACATAGTGGCCTGTCTCATCGCGTACCTCCATTTGTCAACCAGAATCAACGCGCCCCTCTCCCAGAAAGCCGTCCGTGTCCGCCTAATCTCCTCCGAAACCCGACAACAACTGCGCTCCAGCTGTCCCGGGTATCGAAGCCTCGGGGCCATCGCGATCGTCTTTTCTCTCGCCTCGAGCCTTCCATCTGAGCTTCATCCGAAGCGCAAAAGGGGTGAGAGCACCGTCAGCAGCAGCGTTGATGATGTTGATCAAGGCAAGGACAAGCGGACCGCAAAGCGAAGCGTGTAAGGATACTGTAGCCCTCGATCTAGGCTCCGACCGAACCTCAGCGGAGATAAGCTACCCCAGCAAGGCTCAACATCCCTTCCCTGACGAAGTCATAGCATACCTCATTGCATCCATTTTTTATCAGCATCGCTCTCGGGCTCCCGACTATCTTCTCCCACGACACCAGTCCCGTATCCGTTGCTGCGAACCTGGTTACTCCCTCACCACAACTCAATCAGCCCGTTCCTCATTTGCCCGAACAGCACATTAGTGTAATCTCATGCACAGGGCTGTGCTACGATGCTATCTCACCTAGTCCGTTGCCTATCTGCCGAGTGGGTAAGACCTCTTCCGACCGCTGGAAAGGGAGCCGCGCTGAACCTGCCGGGCATGGTGACCGACCTATCTTGCAACGCGGAGTGGACTGGGGGGTATTGATACCATTGCTCATCGCTCCTCTCACTATCCCTGGAATGCATACATCGCCAGCGCTGCTGAATGCGTCCACGACGTGCAGGGTTGTAGGTGGGAAAGAGGTGTTGACAAAGGAGAGGTCGGGGCGGCCGCCACTGGAGAGATCGACGTCAGAATTTGAGAAGGGCAGAGCCGCCCAGGCCTGTTTTGTGTGCTCTTCACACTCTCCCACGGTCATCCATCCTGCAACATATCGCCGCATCAGAGCATGGCTCGCGCTATTTCAAACTCTCCCACGGTTGTCCACCCTGCAACATATCACCCCATCAGGGCATGGCCCACGCAGTTTCACACTCTCCCACGGTCGTCCATCCTGCAACATATCGCCGCATCAGAGCATGGCTCGCGCTTTTTCAAACTCTCCCACGGGTTGTCCATCCTGCAACATATCACTGCATCGGGGCATGGCTCACGCAGATTCACACTCAACCAAGCTCGCCTTCGCTAGACTCTTGGATCGAAGCCCCAAGCCGCTATGCACTTTGAACGCAATCACCAGCGTCTGTCGGCGACGACGGCAAAACGGTGCACAGCTTGTATCACCGCTCATTAACCTAAGGGAAAAATGCGCCCGCAATCAGCTTGCGGGGTTAGACTCAGACGAAACCGTAAAGGGGAACGATCAAACCGTCACCAGCCTGCCAGTGTCGACTCGGCATTCTTCGTCGGCGGCTTCGTCATAGCGCAGGTACCAAGTCTACCACCTGACGTCGTGATCGGAATGTCTGTGACTCTGCTTTCTCCGTCTCAGCCTCAAGTGTCCTCCAACCGAGATAGTATCGGTTCGAGGCATGTTCACGCCTAGTCGAATGTTATTTCTGGAGACACGGCCTCGGTAGAGCGGCGTCGCCTGACCACTTCAAGTTTCAAATGGCTATGCTCTGCTCACAGACCTCATCTTTCATCAGTTCCAGCTGCTCGCGTTCTAGTAGCATGACGAGGGTGTCATCGACCAATTGCTTAGTTTATAGGTTGGTGATTATCGCAAAGCAGTTCTTGTGCAGTGGCTGAACTTAAGGCTTCCCTCAACTCTGATCACGTCCTTCGGCGGCCACTGTAATGACGTAGTGCCTTAATCAAGTCCGACGCCGACGTCAGTCATCGCCGAATGCTGTGCACTTGGTATCCTGCCTGCTGCGGGAGACCCTGCGGCCTCTCCGGGTAATCTTTCGGGAATCCTCCATTCGGCCGGCGATCACAGCACCCACCTATCGGTCCCTGGCGCTGTTGGGTGGGTGTCCAAGAATAACCGCACGTCGTTGGTCCATACCCACTCCGCCCACTACTCTCCGCCGGCGGTCTAAGCTTCACGCTAATCTGCGCGGAGGAACGTTTCGTCGGAACCATCGCCGAACTCCATAGGGTTAAGTTACATCCGAGTGATCATGAGGCTGTGCCGCGTCATAAGCTTAACTCGCACGAACTGCTCCGCGCACCAACGCCATACAAGGTCACAGGCTTTAGGCTTCGGTGTCCAAAGGACAGGCGAGGAACCTGAATGCTGTTGTTCTTAGTGTTCTTCCGGAACAGCGTTCAAGTGACCTCCGCACCTCCGCACCCGGCCATGCTAGCTAACGCTGACGACTGATGAGTCGCAAAGGTATATAACAGTAGGTCTCCTGTCCTTTCTCGACATCAGCAACCACCTCCTCCACTCAACACACCATAACCAAACCGTTCAACATGCGCTTCGCTCTTCTTTCCCTCTTCGCCGCCACCGCCGCCCTTGCGGCCCCGGCCGGTGCGAACCCTCACAGCGACATCGAGAACGTCGAGATCGAGCCCTCGGAGCCGTACACGTGCGAGTACGCTCACCTCTCGTGGGAGGGCGGTGTGCCCCCTTACACCATCGTCGTCGGTGATGGCGAGGAGATGCACCAGCGCGGCTCGATCGGCAAGGAGCTCGACCGCTTCGAGGTCCAGGACCAGTTCGCCGCTTACCGCATCAAGCACGAGGGTCACCTCGAGTTCGCCATCTACGACTCGAACGGCCGCCGCACCACCTCGGGGGCTACCGCTATCCGCAACGCGTTCACCGAGTGCATCGGCAAGGACGACGGCCTGCCGTCGCACCTCTAAGCACAGCTTAGTCACTTCAACCACCGCATTAAGGCATAATCACCAGAAAACATAATCGTAGCGTCAATGTAGCCTTTTATCTGTCGCTGCTGCATTCCACTGACCATATAATGCTGGGACTTCCGGCGCTGTGGGCCGGTATGGCGAGTGCAACTACCAGCGGTCAGATCTAGGCACGCAGCGGTCGTAGTTGACCGCAGGGGCGTCGTTGTTTGCCCGTCACAACTGCCTCATGTTCGCCTCCGTTTGCCGCCTGCAGGATAGGAACATCGGCAGCCTCACTCCGATTTCCGCTTTAGTGTGAGCTCGTCAAGAGAGGCGGCGGTGTTGGTCGCCGATAAGTTGCCGATCTCTCAAGCCAATCCACGTACTCCGAAGGCCGAACATATAAGGGGCGCTGTCGCTCACCATGCCCAGCGAATAGGACTACACCGTGCGTGCGGAGATGTGGGGAGAGCAGGGAGCCCCAGCGGTGCGTGCGCTGCTCAGGTGACCAGCTGGTCATGACTTCGAGCGGTCTGAGCGTCTGCGCAGGAGCCATAAATACAACTCTGCTCAGTGCGTCCTACCGACTTCTCCCTTTACTTACTGTCTTGTTAACACTGTTGTGCACCTCGACCTTCCAATACCACTCACACCAGTTCTTACTCTTACTCGCAGCCTCTCATCAGCACAGATCATGGCGACCCGGCTAGCCCGGTTCTCTGGGTACAACGCCAGCTCCAGCTCCAGCGTGGCCGGGTCGATGTGGCCGCGGACTCTGTCTGGCTTCAATGCGTTCTTGAGCGGAGGCTACTCTCCGGAGCCTGCTTCGCTGAAGTCTGCGCGATGCCACATTGACTGTGACGTGCTCGTTCCGAGTGTCAGTCTGGGTTTAGGGTGAGTTTGTCAGTGGGTCTCTTCTGACAGTAAGATCTTCACACTCCCCGCGCCGTTCCCAGCACAGTTCGACACACTCACACGCTCCGTCGCGTTCGCACTCCCCGGCACACTCATACCTCCCGGCTCCCCACTCACCGCCACCGACGGGCCTCGTTCCTCTTGACCCGCCTCCGGCCCTTTCTGCTGGCGCCGTGATTGACTTGCGTCAAGCCGCGCTGTACCTCAAAGCGCACTCCTTCGCTCGTGACCCGCGACTCCGCAAACTGCTTCGACAGCACGGAGCAACGCATGCCATGCACACAGCCAGCGAGAAGGACCACGTTGTGCTCCAACTGCCTACGAACCCGCCACGGCTCGTTGTTGTCTCCGACCCGGAGTTGCTGAAGCTGCTGCGCAAGGGGGCCGAGCACCGCGACCACGGTCATGACCGCAGCCATGACCTCCATGCCCTTGGCCACCACGGCCGCTGCTCTGACCGTGCCATCCCGCTCGCTCCCCCGCTCGAGATCCGGCAGCCCGTGCGGTGGACCGTGTAAGAGGGCTTGAGCGCTGTATCCCTGCTTTCTGCTTGTATCATCTGTTCATGAGTTATGCTACATTGTGTCTGTTATACAACCGAGATCCCCACATTGTCATGAGGCTAAGCTCCACCACATCCGCCGTCACGCTCGTGAATCGCGACACATTCGAGGCTGCAGTTCCAGTCACCGCATCGCTGGCATCGGTAGCTCCCAATGTAGCCGCACGAGACGCACAGGCGAGCTGGTGGAGTGGCTGGTGGCGGCGCAGCAGCAGTGACGTACGGCGGCGTCGGGGTCGAGGGGAGCTCGCCGAGCCAGTCGCGGAACGTCTTCTTCGTGCCAAGTGCGCGGCGCACGTTCGGTGTCTGCTTCTTCTTCGCAGCTAAGACTTGAGCGGCATGAGTCTGCGCTGCCGCTGAGCCAGGCGGAGGAGGGGGCGGAACGAACGACTGCGCAGGGATGTCGGTGGGGTTGGTTCGCTGGTCGTCAGCTGGAGTTTGACCGGTGACACACCTCGAGATCCTCGAGCCGCCGCTGGACCCGTCGCTGCTGGAAGTCTGTCGTGATGGCCATGGACGGTCGACAAGGTGGAGGTAACGAAATGTGTCAACAGAGGGTTCGGTGAGATCTTGCTGACGCGGGCCCAGATTCAAGGCACGGTATCTCGGCGCAGCCCACGTGGCGATATGACGCCCGCGGTGCCTGTGACGATACCGAGGCTTCGAACACTCTCGATCTCTCGCCGATCCAAGACCGACCCTTTCTCCGGCCAGAGCAGTGACGACCTTGGGAACCGGGAAAAGACCACGCACACGACAAAACCCGGTCGCCCCTTTTCCCTATCGACTCTCTTCCTCCCAGATTGAACGAACAGAGAAAGGACCTGCATCATGCCGATCCACACCATAGCGGAAAAGCTCTCCCACGTCGACACCAAGAAGCTCTCGACCGCCGTCGCCGTCGGCGTCGGCGCCTTGGCGCTCAAGGTCTACTCGGGCGGCAAGAAGAGCGTCTGGGAGCGCGAGTGGGGCGGCAAGCTCATCATCATTGCCGTGAGTTCGATCTATCTTTCAGAACTGACCTCCAGGCGCCGCCTGAGCCGACAACGTTCGCCCTCATGCACAAGCTGCTGCACCTGCCTTCGCCGCCGCAGATTCTCTACCTGCCGCCGATCGCGAGTCCGCTCCCGCAGTCGCTCCTGACTATGCTGCACGCCATGAAGCTCGCGGCGTCGGGTAACCCGCTTGCACAGCTCAACTGCGAGCCTCTTCCGCCGACGCCCGAGGCTGTTCGCGACTTTGTGAAGAAGTGGACCTCGACTCCGGCCGGCACCACGGGCGAGGGCGGTCGCCGCGTGGATGCGATCGTCCTCGGCGGTAACTGGGAGTGCGGTATCTACGACCAGTGGTCGGCGTGGGACCCCAGCACCCACCCCGGTGTCTCCTGGACGCCCCAGCAGATGCACTTCCACCTCATCACGTCGCTCCTTCCTCACCTCATGAAGGCGCCCGCCGAGCGCAACATTCGTATTATCGAGCTGGTCTCGCCTGGATGGTCCTCGGCCCTTCCCGGTGTTGAGGCGACGATGAAGGGCAAGCGCCCCGAACCGGACGAGGGCGTGCTCGCCGACGCCGGCAAGCGTGCCATCGTCTCTCTGCTCGCTCAGGAGCGCCTCGCCCTTGTGCTCAACACTCTGGCGTCTGCAGAGTACTCGAAGCGCGAGGTTGTCCCAGACCCGAATGCGCCCTCTACCAAGAAGCGTGACACCAGTGTGCAGAGCAACATCCTCGCCCTGTCGGTTATCATGCCTTGGGCGCGTGATGAGGTCGTGCACCCGATCTGGGGCGAAGATAGCCTCTTCAAGTTCATCCTGTAAGTTGAGGCGACCCGCTCAAACTGACGCCAGGTGGTTCGCCTTGTACCCGCTCGTGCTTTTGTTCACGCCTTCGCCGGCTCAGTCTGTGCAGCCTATCCTGTTCGCTTTGAACGCGCCGGTCGCGTACATCAACGATGCCTCCGCCGACTACACTGGCAATACGGACAAGTCTGCATCTGACAACCTCGGCAACGAGGAGGTGGACGGCTCGCAGCGCCCCAAGGATCTCTCAAAGAAGGACGCACCTCTTCCCGAGTCGCAGCGCAGTGTCCGCCAGGGCTCGGTGATTCGGGACTGCCAGACCATCGAGCTGCCGCCTGTTCTGCGTGACGAGAAGCTGTCTCGTGCCACCTACGACCGCATTGAGGAAGAGGTCATGAAGGGCGTCACCGAGACTGAGGCGAAGGAGGGCAACCGTGGTCAGGCGAGCAAGCCCAAGGGCGCTAAGGGCGCGACGGCTGAGAAGCAGGCCAGCACTCCACTCAAGACCGGTGCCGCGCCCCCAAAGCGCAAGGAGGAGACTGTCACGCTCGACGTCGCCGGTGGCGTTCCCGGTCAGCAGCCCAGTCAGGCGGAGAAGGCTGCTGTCGACGGCATGAAGGCTCAGGCCAAGGCGCAGGAGATCGGGGACAAGATCGACGTGGCTGCTTCGCGCGAGGAGCAGCACGTTGCCCAGCCCGAGGCGTCGGCAAAGGAGAAGGCCGACGAGATCGCCAACGATACCACCAGCACAGCCGACAAGATCAGCCAGAAGGTCGACGATGTTAAAGAGCAGGCCGACAAGAAGGCTGCCGAGGTCAAGCAACAGGTTGACCAGAAGGCTGGAGAGCTCAAGCAGCAAGTCGATCAGAAGGCTGGCGATGCCAAGCAGAAGGCGGGCCAGACCGACAAGGCCGTTAAGAACGACGCCGCCGACAAGAAGGCCAAGGCGGAGAATGATGAGAAGAACCTGGAGAAGAAGGTCCAGGAGAAGGCGAAGGAGCTCGACGTTCCCCCGCCCGAGACGAAGGAGCAGACCAAGGAGCGCGTCGAGAAGATTAAGGAGAACGAGCCGAAGAAGGGCGAGTCGTTCGCCGACGCCATCAAGGAGGGCACCCACGAGGACCACCACAAGCAGCAGCAGCAGAAGTCGGCCCAGCCCACTCAGGCTCAGCAGGGCACGGCCACGCAGCACACCGGCACGCACGACGCGCACGTGCACAAGGGCGAGTCATTCGCCGACGCTATCAGGGAGCACACCGGCGCTGCTCACCCCGCTCAGCAGGCCCAGGCCAAGTCTGGCACGCAGCACACCGGCACCCACGACGCCCACGTGCACAAGGGTGAGAGCTTCGCCGATGCCATCAAGGAGCACGCTGGTCAGCACCAGAACGCTTCGGCTCAGCACGCCCCGGCCCAGCATCAGCAGGCTCCCCAGCATGCTCAGCAGAAGCCTGCTGCCGCTCACGATGCCCACGTTCACAAGGGCGAGTCGTTCGCCGATGCCATCAAGGAGCACAACGCCCACGCTGGTGCCCAGCACAACGGCTCCCAGCACACCCAGCAGCACCAGGCTCAGCACCCTCAGCAGACCCACGCTCAGCCCCAGCACCAGGCCCAGCACAAGCAGCAGGTGCAGCATGAATCGGAGCCCCCCGTCGTTAACCCCCCTGTTCAGACCCATGTTCCCCAGGGCCAGGGCAAGGTGCACGCCGGCGAGAGCTTCGCGGCCGCGCTCAAGGAGCACACCAAGTAATCCCGTAATAATCCGTAGAATCTGAAGTAATGCTAGAGAAAAGATGTATGATAGTCGAATACAGGTGCATACACTGGGCTGCTATTACTCGCCCTCGTCTACTGGATGGCTAGCTTACTCCTCCTCGCTCTCCACGTCCATGTCGTCCGCCTCGCCCTCGGCGTCGTCGTCCGTCTCCTCCGCCTCTGGCTCCTCATCCTCATCCTCGTCGGAAGAGTATGTCTTATGTTTCCTCCTGGGCTTGTTCTTCTTTGCCTTCTTGCGCGCGCGCTCGCGCTCCTCAATGAGCCGCTCCGCAATCTCCATCTCGTCCAGGTCCTCCTCGCGGTCGCGGCGCTTCTTCTTGCGCCGGCGGTCGCTGTCGCTCTCGTCGTCCGTGTCGGCGACGACGAAGCCGTCGTCCTCGTCGTAGCTCGCCTCGCGGCGGCGGCGCTCGGGTGAGCCAAAGCCCGAGTCCTCGCTGTCGGCGCGCTTGAGGCGGGATCGGCCACCGGGACCGCCGTACTTGTTCGCTCCCGGGCGGGAGGGACGCTTGGTAGCGACAGGACGCTGGGGAGCGGCACGCGCAAGCAGCTCGGCGACCTTGGAGCTGTCCCCGATGTCGTCGAGAATCTTCATACGCGAGTGCTTCGTGTGCTGCTGGCCCACGTGGTTGACGAGCTCGCGGTGCGTCTTGCTGTCCATGCTCGTTGGGACGAGGTTGACCTGGCCCGCGATCGCAGTCTCGGCGACTAAGACCTGCTCGTGGTGACTCGTGTAGCAAAGGAAGGACGTCTCGGCGTTACCTGCCTCGGCAGCGGCAGGCGGGGCGGCGTCCTGGGGGCGCGCGAGAGTCGAGCCATAGCTGGGTGCGAGGTCGAAGAGGTCGTTTCCGAGCTGGAGCGAGACGCTTCCGTCGCTCCAGCGGAGCATGCGCGCGTTGCTTCGCCTCTCGGGTCCATGAGGGCCATTGACCCACTTCCATCGGATTGTGTTGCGGACGCCGATCATCTTGCTCTTCGCCTCGACGGGCTTCAGGTCACCGTCGTCCTCGCACGTGGCGCGGTAAAGCTCCGGGTCGTACGGCTGCGACTCTAGGTTCACGTACGCGGGCAGCTTGAGGTGCCAGACCTTGCCGTCTGTAGGCTTCAGGCGCGGCCACTGCGGGAGCGGCACATTCGCCCACACCTCCTGCATCTCCTCGACGTCCTCGTCCTCTTCCGGGTACTCGAGCGGGTTCTCGGATCCCGCGCGGGAAGATCGCGCACTAGCATGTGTGTGTCCGTCAGAGTCATCGCCGAACTGTGGTCAGTTGCAGGTGCGTGGACCCTAACTCACGATGTCGCCGCCGCCCTCCTCAGCGGGCTCCTCCTCCTCGTCCGGGTCCGGGTGTCGTGTCGCAGGCGCAGGTGACGGCGCCTGAGCTGGCGGCGACGACTCGCCCCACAGGTCGTTCTCGTTGTCGGAAGACATCGTGCCGATATCGATGTCCTTTGTTGTCGAACTTTCGATCAATGGCGATGGTAGAGTTGGTTAGTGGTCGCGCTGGGTGGGTGTCATTTGGCGTCCTGTTACGTAAATGGAAAATTACGTAACAGCTGGCTATGCCATTGTCTTCGCTGTTGTTGTTGTTGCAAGAAGGCAGCGACGATGCAGCGCAAGCACAGCATAGCCCAGAGCCATGTGCAGACAATAATGGGAAAGGACTGCGGATAGGAGCAGGTTGAAAGGTGCAGCCCGAGGTGAATGCCTTCTTTCTCTGTATCTGCGTTCTGACTGACGCTCGCCTAAATTGCTTCAAGCTTGATCACAGCCCGATCTGATAGCGGCGTCGGCGGAGGGTAGACAAGCATGATAAACGAAGACAGTTAGGCCTTTCGTCTGGGAGTACTATGCGACTCGGTCTTCCACCATTGCATTGCTGATGCTCAACAACTTGCTGAAGTCCGAGGTGACCATGAAGCACAGTCCGGCCGAAAATTCAGCCAATAGCGGCGCCCCTGGGGTTCCGAAACAATCATCAATGTCGAGTTTGCATGTCGCCGAGCTGTCAGTATCGCTGTTCGCAATGCAAGTATAGGTGTCGGCGACGTCGATAGCATGCACGGGGTATAGTGCAGTGATGAAGAATGATTGCATCACTGTAGAGGGCCGGTGCCACTAACGCGGAAACGGTGGGACGTCGCCTAATTCTCCATAATCCCGACGCCTGGGTGGATTTGCTCCCGCGGACCCTTCCGTGACTCTCCGTTCCGCGACAAGGACAGCGACAAGAGCCAGCTGCTCACCCTCCTCACCACCCCTCCTCCACTCCTCACCACTCAAAATGGCCTCCCGTCTCGCCCTCAGCACCCTCCGGGGCGCTCGCGTTGCCCCCCGCGCCATCCTCCAGTGCGTAACAATTCGGCCCGAACGACGACGACAACTCCGGCTTCAGTTCGCGTTCAGAACCGACACACATTTTGATTTTGGGGCGTTTTGCTGACGTTAACCAGGGCTCGCAACTACGCTTCGCGTGAGTACCCCGATCGACTCGAACGAACCCGAACGATTCGCGCCACCCAAAGATGGAAGGAAGAGACTGGAAGCGAGAGAGAGATGGAAGACTGGAGTGTGAAAGTGTGATCGAATCTGGTTGGACGTTGAAGAGGGGTCACGACAGCTGGGAACAGGAAGCGGCGGATACACTTCAGTGCACGCCAAACGCACCGGCATCGATCTCGAGCACGGCAAACGTCGCGATCGCGGTTTTGAAGTTCTCTGGGGCTGTCAACAAGCGCAAAACGAGATCGATGTCGATGTGTTGGCGATCCGTGCCTGAATTCGGCTAGGTGGTGGTGTCGAAAAGCGGAGTAATTGGGGACCAGTCGGCGTCGAGCTTGGAAGCGCCATCGACCACGCATCAACAATCGTTGGAATCGCGTTGCTGACAATGCAGAGCCCTCGCCTGACGAGAAGGCGTCGGAGATCATCAACAAGGTCCCCTCGTCTTCGCTCTGGTCCAAGACTGGCGGTATCCTCCTTGGTACCGGTCTGACCGCCGCCGCCGTCTCCAACGAGCTCTACGTGGGTGTCGAGGTTCGGATGTGGACTACTGGAACGGATCAGACAAAGCGAAGCGCTAATGCGTCGACCTAACCGGCTGTCCGCTTCCGAGTCCATAATCGAAAGAGCTTTGCTAACCCCAGGTCGCCAACGAGGAGACTGTCCTGTTCGTCGGTTTCCTTGTCATCCTCGCGGCTATCTCCAAGTCGATCGTCGCCCCTTACAACTCTTGGGCTGAGGGTCACATCGGCCGCATCCGCGACATCCTCTACAAGGCCAAGGACGGCCACGCCTCGTCGATCAAGACCCGTCTTGACTCGCTCGAGTCGCTCAAGGACGTCGTCCCCCTCACCGAGCAGCTCTACAACGTCTCCAAGGAGACTAACAAGATCGAGCACGAGAACTTCCTCCTCCAGCAGGAGTCCGCCATCAAGGCCGAGGTTAAGGCCGTCCTCGACTCGTGGGTCCGCTACGAGCAGCAGCAGCGTGAGGCCGAGCAGCAGGCTCTCTACAAGACCGTCACCTCCAACGTCGCGTCTGAGATCGCCAAGCCCGCCACCCAGAAGGCTCTCCTCGAGGAGGCCCTCACCAAGATCGAGTCGCTCTCCAAGGCCAAGGAGATCTAAGCAGACGACATCAAAAACTATCATAAGCGGGGAACCATTCTCGGTCCTGCCCATGGGACCGCGAGGGTTCACGGCTAACGCTCGATCGTTGCTCGCAGCGACCGGGCATTAGCGGCGAAGCAGTAGAAGCGGCCTCGCCGCAAGAATGCAAAAGCATAAAGAAATCATAGACTACTGACTCCATACATCTGGCCATTACAACGTCAGGTTACTTCATGCCCTTTGGCATGCGCGCGCCCTTGGGGGGCGGGACGCGCTTGCGGAAGTCGTCTGCGATCTCCTGCATGGTGACCCACTCGACGCCGTCGTGGGTGTTGATCCACTTGATGAAGCGCTCGAGCATGAGAGTGACGTGCGGCCTACCACTGACATCAGGGTGGACAGTGATGGGCATGATGAAGCCGGTGTCGCGCTCATTCTCATACAGGTACGTGAAGTGGTCCTTCCACTTCTGCTCGATGGTGCGGACGTCGACAAAGCCGTGCGAGTTATTCGCAGTCTTCATGAACATCATGGGCGGCAGGTCGTCCAGTTCCCAGTTGACCGGGATCTCGACCATGCCCGTCGTCTCGCCGCGCTTGACAGGTTCCATCCAGTGGGACGCTGGCTTGTTGTAGTCAATCTTGACCCAGGTGTCGCCCGTGCGGAGGTAGTACGGCTGAGAGTCGTGGTGCATGAACGAGTGGTCGTACTCGATTCCCTTCTCGAGGAGCAACTCTGCACCTTCGACAGACACTTCCCACCAGGGCGCGACGGAGCCCTTGGGTGGGTGGCCGAGGAAGTCGGTCATCTGCTTGAAGGTCTTGTCGAGGATGTCCTTCTGCTGCTGTACCGAGAGGGAGGTCGGGTTTTCGTGCGAGTAGCCGTGCAGACCGATCTCGTGGCCGGCGTCGCGCACCTGGGCCATTTGGTCCGGGAACGTGTCGAGCGAGTGACCGGGGATGTACCATGTCGTCTTCATGTTGAGCTTCTTGAACAGCTTCAGCAGGCGCGGGACACCGACCTCGCCCGCGAACAGGCCACGACTGACGTCGGAGGCGCTGTCTTCGCCGCCGTAGCTGCCCAGCCAGCCCGCAACCGCGTCGACGTCCACGCCGAAGCTGGAGTCAGCACATTATCCACCAGTGCAAGACTTACGAGCACATGATCCTGCCTGGCATCGTTGCTTCTCTTGCTGTAGTGCTGCTGAGGAGTTGTGCTTGTGTGTGAGAGAGGTGAGAGTCTCTTCGTCTCGTTGCTAGGCCAGCTGCTTCCCATCAGTGCGCTCTTTATAGCTTATCGCCCTCCCCAACATCTCGGTGTCCTACTCTCCTCCCACATCTTGCACATTCCATCACCGGTCCGCTGGCCAGATCGCTGCCTCGTTACGAGCCAGTGCCTGCCCACATGCGCATGCTCGTATGCACACCGCATGCATCGATACGCCCGGTGTTTCCGGTTTGGGCGTGAGAACCGGCCTATTCCTGGTCTGCTGACCTCGGAGGCGTGTGAGAGGCGCGTGCCGTGTGCCGTGAGTGCCGTATGTGCCGAACAGGAACGGAGTGGGCAGCCACACCCAGCGACCTCGGTCAGGTGATATCTTATCAGCCTGAGATGCGTCATGGGCCCGCCAAACCCGGATGTCTGGTTCTCTTGCAAACTCTTGCATGCGTGTGTTCAAGAAAGTTTCATGTTTGGACTACTGACTGCGCTGACTACGGTGTGTGTTTGACGACTTAGCTGCTCTTGCTGCCCATCTTTCCCTTCCGCCTGCTGTCACCCTTCTTGTGGTCCTTCTTCTTCTCATGTTCGTGGTTCCGGTGCTTGTTGCCGTGCTTGCCACCACCACTGGCCTCGGTCTTCTTCCCGCCCGCGGCGCGCGAGTGCTTTACGAGGTATCCGTTGATGGCGTGGCTGAGCAGGCGATCGAGGGGCCAGGTCTCGTCACCGAACGTGTCGATGCAGTATCCCAGCCTGGCGCTGTCCGTGTGCGGCTCGACCTCGCGCTTGCACTCGGTGATGCCGACCAGGTCGGGGTGCGCACGCACGGCGTCAAACCAGTCGCCGTACCGGAACAACATAACGTTGGCGGCGGGATGCGCCTTTTTGAACTTGTTCAGGGCGTCGCCGAGCTCGGCGTTCCAGTGTTCGCGGGCCCGGCCGTCATCGCCAGCCTCACGCAGGCCGACGAAGAGGAACGACCGCGCTCCGGCTGTCCACAGCTGCTCGGCACGCTTCATCAGGTCGTTCACCTGCGCCGTGACGGCGGGCGCCTTGGCGGCGGAACCGTCGAGAGGTTTCTGTCGTCAGCTGACATTTCAGGCCTCGCAGCAGATGCGCGGGTGTGAACTCACGACGGCCTCCTCACCGCTTCCGATGACGAAGAGAGTGTCGTCCGAGTTGAAGCTCGAGCCCTGTACCGCGCTCATGGACTGGAAGGCCTTGATTTGCGACTCGATGTCGCCCGCGGTGCTCCCCACAGTGGCAAGATTGTGGTACAACGCATCGTCATCCATGAACGATCTGACATTAGCCCCTGAGTCTCTGCCCAGCTCACTTGTAGAGGTAGTCGGTCCAACGCAGGCCCTTGTGCTCGTTAAGTCCGTTAGGGTGGCCGTGAGCATTGCCAGCTGCGCTCGAGACGGTCTCATCGCCGCTATCCGTCAGCCGGCCGTTTCAGAAAGTATCACTTACAAAACGACCAGGCGCTTGGCATGGGGCCAGTCAAACGGCTTCTCCTTGTTCCAGAAGCTCTCGTCGACGCGGAGTTCCTTAACGGGGACGTGCTTCCACGCATTGAGACGTTCACTGTCACCGATCGGCGTCTGGCCCTTGTCACCTCCGTGATCCTTGGGGTAGTGCACGCGCGTGGTGCGGCGGTGCAACGGGTCCTTGATGAAGATGGCGAGACCGAGGGCCAGGAAGCCGAGGGCCGTCAGCCACGACATCATCGGGGTGTTACCCGACTTGCCCTGGCTGTTGGTGTGATTGGAGGCGGTTGTCTGCGAGGTGTTGCCAGTCCGCTTGATCGAGGACGAGCGCGCGGGCACAGAGACAGGACTGCCCTGCTGCGCCTGGCGAGACTGGTGGGACGCCGACTCGTGCGGCCGGAAGAAGGGCTGTTGGTTCACATGCGCCTGTTCCGCACGCAGGACCTGCTCCTTCGACTGTTGCTGGGACTGCTGCTGCGATTGAGCTTGGGATGGCTGGGACGGCAGCGGCTTCTGCAGCTGTTGCTGAGTCGGCTGGTTCTGCTGTGTCTGCTTTACCGGGCGCACAGTCGGCTGTGGTACTTTCTGCGCCTGGCCAGCCCGGTTCTGCGCCGACGACGACTGCGCCGGCTGTCCGCTCTGCAAGGCTTGTGTGCCCAGGGCTTGCTGCTGCTGCGAGTACTGTGCTGGCTGCTGGCTGTTGCGGTTCGAGGTCGTGTACGTTGTCGTCGTTACACCTGCGGCCGCCACAGGCTGGGCTTGCGCAGCTTGCTGCAACTCACGCTGTTGCTGCTGCATCCTGGCTTGATGCTGCTGATACTGCTGCTGGGACTGCTGAAGATGGGCCTGCGAGATCTGCTCGGGCTGCTGATGCTGCGGTTGCTGCTGCTGCTGATATTGCGCCTGCTGCTGGTATTGCTGCTGCTGGTTCTGCTGCACCTGCTGTGGGTGCTGCCGCTGCTGCTGCGACTGCGGCTGGTTCTGGGACATGGCTGGTTCCTTTCCGTCTGGCGGCGGGAGGCGGCTCGTGCGTCGGGGTTGCGGGTCGGGTTTGCTGCTGGCTCGTCGGCGTGGATGAACAGACGTGCAGTTGAAGAGCAGAAGAGAGAGTGATGGGGCTCGCAGTAGCCTCGAGGATGGAGCTCAGTGAGCGGAGCGAGCGTCGTCAGGCTGATGACGGAAAAGTGGGTGGGATCGGCACTACGTCATCTTCCGTGCGCTCAAGAAGGGGTGTGGCCCTATCTCGGCAATCACCTGCTGGGCACTCTGGACGCCGCCCTCATCGACTATTGACTATTGTGTCAGCGCGATGCATGATCGGGAGCCAGCATTGCTCCGATGGGTGTAGAGGGTAGGCATCAAGTCGTCAGTAATGCACGGGGTCCTTGACAGCGCTTGTCGTCTAACGAAAGTCTCTTCTCCACGCAGTATGAGAACAACCTGCTTCCTGCCAGCGTTGTTGCTCTGGCGTCACCTCACTTTCTTTACATAAAGGACAACTATGGATACAGTGGTATTCGGTTTCGGACCAACGCTGGTGAAAGCAATCTGCTTCCCGAGCTCCAGGCGGCCCCGATGAACTCAGCAGATCAGGCTGACGTGTCCATGATCACGGAGCCGCAATCCGCTAGGTGCAGCTTGGCAAGTGTATCGACTACAGGGTCGGATGCAAGTACGTCGTCATCGAAGAATTTGCAGTCCACGAGCGGCTTTCGGGGCCGGAGAAATCGGCCTAGCCCGATCATCTTGAGGCCTTTCTCTCGGTCGGCGACTCGTGTGGGTCGACGGTACAGGGGGCCGAGCAGAACCTTGAGGTTGAGTCGAGGATAGGGGTCGCGATTCCTCTCTACGCTATCGGAACTGCACCAAAACCACTCCATACACTCCCGAAGCAGAAGTTGCAGCATTGGAAGAGGGGGAATGCGAAGCGGAGTGCTCGGAGCACCACGTTCGCCATCATGACTGAGTGGCAGGATGGACTTAAGGTGTGCGTCAGCCAGTCCATACGCAATTTCGATCAGGACGTCGACGAAACTGCGCCAATGCTCAACACTCCTGTGGACTGGCCAGGGATCAGCGAGCTCCTGCAGGCGCAGAAACCCGTTCCTGACGTTAGCATGCAACCTCGAGGTCGACCGAGATATGTAACGTCTCAGTGCATCAACGTGAACGCTTATTCACGAGTGCGATAAACTCACAACTGGATGACCTTGTCAAGGACAGCAAACGTGAAGATACGCGCATTGATCTCGCCACGACCCGTGCCGTGCTTGAGGGACTCAAAGACGCGCGAAGAGCGGAATGCCGCCTTCGCCAGTAACACATCGGTGACGTCGGCCGTCCGAAAGCGAGGCTCATTGCGCCACGCGTAGGAGTAGTCTGTGCGTGGGAAGGTAAGCAGCTCTCTTGGGAAGGGGATTCTCGAGGGCAACATGAAGGTTCGGAAATCGGCGAGGCGTTGAGGTTGTAGTTGCTGACAGATGCAGGGGTTGAGCGCACCGAGCGCGATCCACTCTCGCGAATCAAATAGTGGACAGACGACGTTCTTAATGGCCAGTTTGGCGAGTGTTGACGTGTACTGACGTGTGTTGACTGTGGGGTGTTGTGGTTGAGGTTAGCGTCACGCGTCACAAGCGAGGTTAGAGTTGTGTCTGGTGGCGCGGGTGGCGGTACTTAGTCTGGACAGCGGGATCAGAGTCGCGTGGCAATCCCTTTCGTCTCGCGTGTCTCGGTTGCTGGGGCTTTTTTAGGATAATCGCAGAGTTTCGACAGATTTATTAACATTCGCCCTCCGTCCGAAATGCTTCGTACCCCACTTTCTGAAGCCACTTTTTTCGGCTTGAGTGGGCCAGAAATGTAGGGAGAAGTATCTTCCAACGGAGATCGCAATTTGGACGGACAATGTGGCGAAAACGCTAGACGAGGGCAAATCTGCACGCCACTAGCGCAAGCTCTTCTGCCGTGGGCTACTCCGAACCTGCCCAACGCATAGATGGCTGAGTTAGACTTCTAATCTAACCACACGTCAGCCGTGACTAGTGCCGTGGGCTTTTACCTCGGAGCCTGCACGACACTCTTCAATCGCCGTTCCCTCCAAATTTCTGCCGCGATACCACTGACCAGGACGCGTTTGCATATAACTCAGCCTTGCGCGGCCGTCTGGATCTTTCATCTCACCTCTTCAGAATAGTGGTTGTCTTTCTCCCCTGTCCCGTCGCTTTATCTTCACCTCCTTTGCAGCGCTGGCAGTCTCTCCGCGACCGTGACTCCCAATGGGTACTACAGCGAGATACCTGCGATATCATCGAGCGCCCAGATGCCATTGGTATTGGTTGGATAAATTGGAAGAACGATCACCCGTACCTCATCTCAAATATCGAGGCCCAGTCACCCCTACGGCAACCTTCACCATCAAGGCACCAGTCTGGCGTTTATTGGAGAAGAAGAAGCTTGGCTTCACCCACACCATCATCAGAAATGGTATACCGAGTCGTCCTTTCTTCCGCGTCATTCCTTGGCCTGTGGGGCGTGATCCAGCTACTTTCTGTGTGGACGATCTCCTAACGAGAGAGCTGTGGCACGGCGATGAGCACCCTATCCCGCCTCCGCCTCCACCTTTCGACTCCCTTCGCAACGAGTACCAGCTGCAAGGGGAGTGGGACCGTCACTATGGGCGTTTTGTTGAATCACTCCTCCCATCCGGCTTGAAATTCCGAGTGGAGGTCCCCGTCAAAGGTGTGGACGACCTCCGCCTCGATTGCGCCATATATACAAACGCCATTGGCAGGCATCTCACAGCCGAAGATATCCACTCATCAATGGAGGAGAAATCGTACGCTGTCCTCAATGACAGCATGTTCGATGCCCTCGATGCGTTCCAAGCCGGAGGCGGTGAGGCTTGGGTGTATAAAAACTTGTAGAAGCGCAACACCAAGTCTCTGTCTGTGGTTTTCAAGCGCTGGCCGGCATCAATGGAGGCAGACTGGGAGAGCTGGTTAATGCCTCTTTGTCAAGGAATTCTCCATGTGGTCGACTCGGGAGCAATGGCAGCTGTTCTCGGAAACATTGGCCAGCCCCGCACCAATGGTAATCGTCATCTGGTGGCGACATGGGACGAGGACGAAAGGGCGATTCGTTACACTCGTTCTGAAGGCACACGGTTGGATGGATCCCCTCTTTCTCCGAGCCCTTCAACACCACTGGTAACGAAACTTCTGGCGTTCGCTTTAGCCGACGATTCACTCGGAGTCTCAAGACGAACGTCTCCAATCACTGAAGCCCTCGAGCCTCCGGTGAGTCAATTTGTCCACTCGAAGTCACGCTAACGTTGACAGGAAGGCGAACAACCTCAACCCGAAGCCCTCGGCCCCATTCCTGATCCTCTTTATGAAGAGGATGCTGGAGCCGCTGCGGAAGACAGTGGAGAGTCCCGTGACGAAGCCGATAACGGCACGGACGACAGCGGCACTGAAAGTGGCTCAGTTGACAGCGATGACGGGAAAGAAGGAATGAGCAGTAACCACGAGGGCATCACCGCTGAGCTGCCTCCATCGAGTCTAAAACTCAATTCGTCCTCAGGGGAAACCTTCGGGCCGTCACCTCTACCCTCCGATCTGCCTGATTCACTCGGACCTTCATCTCCGGCACCGACGGGACTAGTGGATCGCAGGCGTACCAGAGCCTATGCTGTGGCTGAAGAAGCAGGTGCAGGGGCCAGAGCTGCAGCCAATCTAGATGCTCCGCTGGCATTCTCTGATCCGGACACTCCCACCAGCGGCGACACACCCGCTACTCATCCGGTCACGCCTACTGGCATCCCCACAAACAGGCATTACCTTCCTGCTTCAGAGGAAGCAGCGTATTCCTCGGCTCCTTCGGTCTCCCCGACCCCGGTCGCAGCTCCACGAGCTGCGTCTGCCACTGAGGCCTCCAGTCCCGCCCCGGAAACATCCCCCACCCCTGCCGCTCACGGTCCAACGGACGCACTACGCAGTCGTCTGGTGGGCCGTTCTCGACCTGATATGTTGCCTCCGCGCCCGAAGCGCTGGCGCAATGAGTGAAGTGAGCGGAGATGGTGGCAAGAAGAGGGGAGGTGTACTGTACCAATGTGATGCGCGGTGATATGACACACTTCTATCGAAGGAAGTGGTCATATATCAGAGCTTATGTACTCGCGACAGCTGGCCTGGAGCGTGTGGCGAAATTGTAGTTTAACATATGATGATCAGTGTCCTGCATACTTGTCAACGCGTAGTAACGCCATCAAAAGGCAGTAGCCGACAGGCACATACCATTTAGTACGCGGAGGTGTGCGCTCCTGCCTCCCCGGATAGTTGTCCTCTAGTGAGTGTTGACGAATTCATTGGGCTCAAGACATACAGTACGTGATCGGCAGGGAGCAGTTCCGATTTTGCCGCATAGGAGACGCATGATCTCCCAAACCTGAGCCGGCGAATCAAGTCGTGTTGCAGCGTTGTGTCGTCGTTGGGGCTGACGGTCGCAGATGGCGTGTTGTGGGATTGGTGAACGATGCGGCCTGTCGTGCGGACGTCCAGGGAACTCGGCCAGCTCCGACAGACAAGCTTCACTTCACCGCCACGAGATCCTCTCCAGGTAATCTTCGAGAAACGAACATATACATCCGCTAGGTAGCTATATAAACCTCCCTCTATTAGTCGTAGCCCCCTATTGAATGTATACTCCAAGTCTCTTATCTTCAGGATCCCTTCTCGATAGCTATTCGTCGCCACTCTCGGTCTCGAGCCCAGCCGCCCGAACGACACGGCCTCGGTTGACTCTCCCAGCTCTGAGATTTATACTCTTGTCAGGACCGTCGTGTACTGCATGTTCGTGCATACAGCTCTTAGGCCATCAGTTACTGAGACACTTCTGACACAGTACGTATCCATACACGTACATGCGTGTCCCCCTTGGGTAGAAAATCCGCTGAGGCGTCCGTTTGCTCCGAGGGAATGTCGGTTAGGTGCAACTTTGCGAGGGGCACACAAAGCTGGTCAGGTAAGGTATCGTCGAAAATACTCGTCTCATCAATCGCTGGAAGCCGAGCCTTGACCCTCCGACCGCGAACGAACTTGATTCCTTTCTCCCGGTCGACCATGGGTCTGGGGCTGCGGTATAACGGCCCTAGAAGTGTCCTCAGCCTGAAGCCGGGGAAGGGGTCCGTGTTCTCCTAAAAACTATCGCCATCCGTCCAGAACCACTCCATGCATTCGCGAAGCAGCAGGTGCAGGGTGGGTAAGGGCGGGAGGCGCGTTGTAGAGACTTTGAGAGGATCGCATTGGCGGCAAGCTAACAGCCGCTGCAGCTCGGTGGAAGCGAGGTCGTATGCTAGTGCGATGAGCTTGTCTACAATCGTCCTCCATTCCTCAACTCTGATGTGGAAAGGCCAGGGGTCCGTTCGCTTCTGCATGCGCGCGTATGTGTTCCTGATGTGAGTTCAAATGCTTTCCGGTGCATTTTCGGGGGTGAGGTGGACTCACACCATGTTGTCGTGGTCATCTTATCCCAGCTGAGTGAGGTAGGCCGGTGACTGGTGGGCAAGCAGAAGTTACGAAGCACATGGACGTGAGACATGGAGGATCTGAGCAAGGCGAGAGTCGCGATCGGCTCTATCGGTATCAGTGAGGAGGTGAGTCCGAGTCAGTGCAAGGCGGTAACATGCTGGCCACGAGAGGGGGGTAAAAGGGGGAGGATGAGAATCAGTGTATACTCACAACTGTATGACCTTATCGAGGACAGCAAACGCAGAGATTCGCCCCTCAATGAGGTGGACGTCAGCGCCAAGCTGCACATCCTGAAACACACGCGAAGAGCGTTGAGCGGCCCTCGCGAGGAGCACATCCGTAACGTCCGCATTACGATAGCGGGGTTTCTTGTACTGGGCATAAGAATAATCGGAACGGGGAAAGGTGAGCAAGTCATCCGGGAAAGGAAGTTCCGGCGCGGAGGAGGACATGCTGAGGTGCCGGTCGCTGCGTTTGTGTATGCACCGAGAAGCGGACAGAGGGAAGCGAGAATAGAGTGATGGTTAGGAAGAACCTTTGGAGCGGGAGGCAAGGGCACGATCGGGCACGAAGCGACGAGCCTCTGCGGGTGGTTTAGCCGCGGCACCTGCGCCCAACTGCGAGTTGGGCCTATGCGTAGAAGTAGTCAGAGCCCGGGAAGGTAAGCATCTCGCTTGGGCTGCTCGACCTTGTCGTGTGGGATTTGAAGTATGTCGATATGCGAGCTGTTGAGTGTTGGAGAGGGGTTGTTTGGTGCCGGTAGCCGGCCGGAGTTGATGTCTGCACAGCATGCACAGCTCATCAATCGAGCATTTGGCATACCCGCGGCTGATCAAGCGACTCTGAGGGCGCAAAACGCACGCAGCTGCGCCGCAAACTAGCTGTGACGTCTGTTGTTTATGCTACGGTCACTGGCGGGACGCTAGAACACCTCGCACTTAACATGCCGCGTCAGCTCTCCAACGACCAACCTGCCTTTCGCTCTTCATCACCTCTCTTCTTACCTCTACAACATCTTCCCTCTTCTCCCAATTCCTCACCTCCGTTACTCCCTCAACCGTCACTGCCCTACACAATCATCATGCAAGTCACCGGCTCCGTCCCTTAGGGAGGGAGCGCTCTCATCGGAGCGCTGCCAAGTCCCTCTGAACTCGTGTCTTCGCCCAGAATCCTTCCTCAAAGCTATCAGAGTCGCCCCTTCTTCATTGTCGCGCCTTGGACGCCTGATACCGACCTCGTGAACAACTACATCGAGGAGTTTCTGGAGACAAAGCCATGGGGCGACGATGGGCATCCAATGCCAGGACACCCCAAGCCGACCGGGCCTATCAAGACAGTCAACCAGTTGATCGCCCAATGGCACGCTCACTATGAGAAGTTCGTCCACTCCCTTCTTCCTCCCGGGAAGAAGTTTATGCCCAACGTTCTTGTCGAGGGCGAGCCCACTGTCCTGGAATGCGCCATCACCGACACCCCTTCCGAAGCGCCTCCAAAATTGGCGAGATACACGCTTCGTTGGCGGCAAACACGGATGCCGCGCTCAACAATGAGATGTTCGAAGCACTCCACGAGTTCTACGCCGGCGGGGAGAAGCATTGTGTTCACGGACCCAGAGCGCGCATCTACGGCCCAGCCTCTCTCCGTCTGGATTCGGCGCTGGCCAGCGGCTATGTTCGGCAGGAGGTGCTACAGTGGATCACGCCATTAAGGGAACGTAGGATTCACGTTGTCTTGTCGACTCGGCCGTCGTCTCCGCTGTCGTCTCCGCTGTCGTGGGTCACGCATACCAGACCCGCACGAACGGTAACCGTCACATCTCGATAGGGTACAACGAGGCCGTACAAGTGATCCGCTACTCCCATTCGGAAGGTCGACGCCGGGACGGCACCCCTGTCCCTGCCCCTGGCCCCACATCGCCCCTTGTGACTAAGCTCTTGGCTCATGCCTTCATCAATCCTATGAAGAACCGCTCGCCCGATGATGGCATGTCATTGCATGTGAAGAATCGCTCGCCCGATGATGGCATGTCATTGCATGTGAAGAATCGCTCGCCCGATGATGGCATGTCATTGCATGTGCTGAACATGGATGCCTGGAACGAGAGCGCGTCCGAGAAGGACCAGTAAACCATACCAAGAGCCGACGTTTCGAAGACACGTTTTGTAAGACATTATCAGTAGTATGTTGTGCATGTAAGCTGTACCATAGTTACGAAGGGCTCGACAACTCATGGCATGCGAACGATCGTCGCCTGACTGGCGCAAGCGGCACGCAACACCGCCTCTTCGTGTGTACCAGGATGCACAGCAATGTGCCTCAGGTGCCCGTGTGCCACGAGACCGAGGAGAGGGTGAGCCAGTCCCAAATCGGACAGGAGCAGCCCGCCAGGCAAGCACGGCTCAGCGAGTCTAGCGAATGTAAGAGAGCAAACATTGGGAAATAGCGCCTGTCCCTTCTGCTTAGGGGGCTTGGCTCCCTGCCAGTCCACGACGCAGATGGCGCTGAAACACTTGAGATCGGGGTATTCCTCCACAATCAGCTCGGTGCAGTAAGCGAGAAGGGCGAGTTTCCTCCTCCTCGAAGCGGTGTTGGGCCGCTCCGTACCAGATCCATGGCCCCCTTTGGCCTCGTCCTCGCCCTCGCACTTTCCTTCCGGTTGCTTGGGCTGTGCGGCATTGCTCCTCAGCGCAGTGGCCTGTACGCCGGACAGAGGGACAAGATCCCAGCCCACTTTGTCCCGGGGACGCAGCAAGATCCCGGACATCAAGAGTGGAAAGCTGGTGCGGGTTATGCGCAAGGCGGCGTAGAGGTGCGGAGCGGCGAGAGCATAGCAGGCGGAGCTGCAGCGGAGGAATGTCGCTAATGTTTCCTTGGGCAGATAAGCGCACACGAGGGAAACGAGTTCAGGGGGAAGACGCATGGTGAGGTGGACTCACACCATGTTGTCGTGGTCATCTTATCCCAGCTGAGTGAGGTAGGCCGGTGACTGGTGGGCAAGCAGAAGTTACGAAGCACATGGACGTGAGACATGGAGGATCTGAGCAAGGCGAGAGTCGCGATCGGCTCTATCGGTATCAGTGAGGAGGTGAGTCCGAGTCAGTGCAAGGCGGTAACATGCTGGCCACGAGATCGCTGTTCTTGAGACGAGTGGTGGTGAGTGCGAAGCAGAGATGTCTGACCCGCAGAGCCGAGCAGAAGCGCACGCCTTTCCCGATCGCCACAGAACTGCCCGGCTCTTTATTGGCCGAGACTGACCTCCACCTCCCTCCACCTCGGAAGCCCGGGTGCCCCACGCCGTCACCGGCAGAGGGCGGTATCAGATGGGGAATGGGGACACCGCGTCTCACGTCTCCGTCCAGAGCTCTCACAGCGCTACAGCGCTACAGGTTTACATTCAAAGCCAACCCCTCAGTCTCAGCCATCCGATCCGCCCACCATGTCCTTCCTCGCTCCCCGCGCCTTCCGCTCGTGAGTTGCTCTCTGTGCAACAACAAACTGACATCTAGTGTCCTCCGTGCTCCCACCCTCAGGATGTGTACGTCACCGACAACTACGAAGCTGACACCCCAGCCTACTCCTCCGCCCCCATCGCTAAGGGTGCCAAGCTCCCCTCCGTCCCCGTCCGCATCAAGGACATGGGCACCGAGATCGACCTCTCGACCCAGCCAGGCAAGAACATCATCGTCACTGTCCCGGGCGCGTGAGTACTGCTGTTTGCGCGATAGCGCACGCCGTCCAGTGCTTGCGGACAGGCACCGTTCCCACCGCTGTTGGTCGGGATGAGAATGTGTCCTGACGTCGAGGGACGCAGAACGGTGCACACTGTGCTGCACAAGGGCTCGCTGGCTCGCTATCGCTCGCCGTGCTGCTCGGGGAAGCTCGCTGACGCTCGCTTACAGGTTCACCCCCACCTGCCACTCGCAGGTCCCCGGGTACATCGCGCTCGCGGACAAGTTCAAGCAGAAGGGCGTCGACGGCATCTACGTCGTGAGCGTGAACGACCAGTTTGTCATGAACGCGTGGAAGAAGGATCTCGGCGGTGAGGGTGTGGAGTTTAGTGAGTGCGCAGCCGCGCCGAGTCCCGAAGGGACGAGGCGGGGCGTCCCTATCCCGGCATGCCTCGCGCTTGCCTCCATCTCATGCTTTTAGGAGCACTGCCAAGGCTCTTGGACAGAAGAGAAGCAGAGGCACGGCACGAGAGCTAATACGGCGATGTTCAGCTAACCCACAGCCTCCGACTCGCAGGCCAAGCTCGCCGACGCGCTCGGCCTCGGCTGGGACGTGCCCCCTCTCGGCGGCACGCGCTTCCAGCGCGCCGTCATTGTCGTCCAGGACGGCAAGGTCGTGGACATCAAGGTTGAGCCCGAGTCGGGCAAGTGTGAGTACCCTCCCTCCGCGGCGACCACGCCAGCGGCCGCGCGGGCGTGGCTGTGAGCCGTGGGTCGAGCTCCTCGTCATCCGGTGTGATGAACGCTGGCGACGAAATGGCCTCCACAGCTGTGAGAATGTGAAGTATGACTGACAAAACAGCCACCGTCACCCAGGCCGAGGAGCTACTCAAGGAGCTCTAAGCGCGAAGCGATCTGCTTGGGTAATCTGATCTAGAAGAAGATGGAGCCAAGGTTTGCACCGGCTCGAGAAGTAGTCAAATGACAATGCAAAGATGTTGGACGACTTCAGACTTCATGCTAAGCTACAACTAACCTATCACTACGAACTCCTTCCCGGTGGCCGGGAGTGGTGGTTTTGGGCAGGCTCGACTCCAGCCTCTGCGTCAGGCTTCGTTTCGTTTCTATCCCATCCCCGTCGTGGCCAGTACTACAACCCTACTACCACGTCTCAGGCAGCCCGACCCGATCTCCGCCTCGGCCTGCGGCCTGCGGCCTGCGGCCTCGGCAGGCTAGTTCTCAACAGCACTAACCATAAGCGGCATCTGGGGACCCGCCTTATCCTCGCCGACAACCACGCAGCGCTGGATAACGAGCCACGTCTTCTTGAGCTGCGGCTGGCTCGGCGGAATCTCAAACCTAAAACTGCGAATGAGCACGAAGAGCACAATCTTCATCTCGATCACAGTGAGGCGGTGGCCGATACAGTTCCGCGGCCCGGCGAGGAAGGTCATGAGGTTGCCCCACACGCCCGGGGTCTGCTGTGCGGGAATGCCGTCGCGCGCAAAGCGGTCGGGGTTGAAGGAACGCGCGTCGGGGCCCCAGATCTTGGTCGACGTGTTGATGTACGCGATCGGGGTGGAGACTTCGGCGCCCTTGGGGACGTGGAGTTCGTTGATTTTCTGTTGTGTCAGTGACCATGTTCATCATCCGGTTGCAATTCGCAATGTCGGCGCAATGTCGGCGCAGTGGCTGGCGCCACTGCGGTTGCGCCAACTCACCTCGCCATTCGTCAGCGTGATCGGCTTGGAGAGCGGGATCACCGCATTCGCCGTCGCCACGCGCGAGGACATGGGCACGGGGCTGTCGAGCCGGAGCGACTCGTGCACCACCGCGTCGAGGTAGGGGAGGGCGTTGAGTTCGTCCCAGCTCGGCTCGCGCGCGTCGACCTCGAGCAGCTCCCTGCGCAGCTTCTCCTGCACATCCTGGTTGCACGCGAGGTGGTAGAGCGTCCACATGAGGCCCGTGCCTGTCGTCTCGTGGCCGGCAAACAGAATCGTCGAGCACTGGTCGGCGACCTCGGCGTCGGACAGACGCTGGTCGTCGCGCAGGTCGGGCGCCATGTTCGCCTTGATGAGCAGGGAGAGACAGTCCTTGCCGAGATCCTGCGAGTTCTTCTCGATGACGCCGTTGTTGGACGCGAGCAGCTGCGCCTTCTTCTCCGCCACGATGGCCATGCCAATCTCCTGGCTCTTGGCCCTTACAGCGTGCGAGATGCGCTGCCGCTCGGTCGGGATCCAGCCGGCAACGCGCCCCAGGGCAAACTGCACGATGCTCATGAGCGTTATGTTGAACACCGTGGCCAGGGTCTGGTTGTACGCCTCGCGGAGCTCGTTGGGCTCATCACCCAATGCTTGGCAGTCGTACCCGAATCCGACGAGGGAGATGATATCGAGCGTCGCCTGCGAGACGAACGAGAGCACGTCCAGCTTGCGCTTGCCCGGGACGTGGTCGACGCCCTTGCCGCCGTCGGGCTCCTCGAGCGTACGGAACATCTTGCGCTGGAGCTCGTACGCCTTCTCGAAAATCGTCGGCGCCATGGGCACGAGCTGCGGCCACCCGAATGCCGGGTTCAGGACTCGGCGCTGGCGCCGGTGCAGCTTGCCTTCCGCCGCGACGAGGCCGAGACCCAGCGCGTCCTCGAGGATCTTGCGGCCGCCTTCGGGCTTGATGAACAGATCCGGGTGCGTCCACATGTACTGCGACGCCTTGAGGTCATCGGTGACGCACGCGTAGTGCTGCCCCAGCACGCGCGGGATCTTGACCGTGCCCTCGGTCCCGTCGAGCCAGCGCTGGTGCGCATCCTTCGGCGTCAGGTTCATCACCTCGATGCCATTGCCGATGAGCCAGTGCGCGCGCTTCGGGCCGGGCAGCTTGCTGAATGGCCCGTGGTACTTGGTGACATAGATGCGGGCTGCGAACCAGGCGAGGAAAGCCGCGAGGGAGAACAGCCACGGATGCGCCTGGATAAGGGTCAGCAGGTGCCGGCCCGCCTCGAGCGCGGAGCCCTGCGCGCCGATCGCCGTCATGGTGTCGTTTGCGTTGGGCGGTATGGTGAGGGAGTGTGCGGGAGGTGAGGGGGAAGGTTGACGTGAGAGAAGACACGAGCCGGCGCCCGTTCTTATGTTCGGAGAGATGTGGCCATGTAGCCGGTGGCCTTCGGCGAGCTGGACTAGGCCGGGTGGTGGAAATGAGTGGACGAGGTCATATGACAGCGAGGGCGTGAGGCGTGGGTCCGGCTTGGGATTGTCTTGGTATCAGACTAATTCTGATTCTGGGACGTCTAGTTCGCCGCGTTAAGAGGGGTGGATCGTCGCCGCAGGGCCGCGGGGGGCACGAGGCGGCCTCGCACACTGCACGCGTTGTGGGAAGCCCAACTACGACTAAGCATTGCTTAGCATTGTAGCGTCTGCTTGGTAGCGGGATTCGATATTCGGGCAAGAGTCGTCGGCAGTCGGAGTATGGCAGGTGTGGACTGAATGGTATCCGGGCATGGTCATAGGCCAGAGATGCGGCCAGGCGCTGTCAAGATGCCGTCTTAGCTGCTATCGGAGATTGTGCCCAGCTCCTTGGGCGGTCTTCAGCTCAGCGTGCCCCGTCAGCCAGCTGACGTCAGGCACAAAGCCAGAGGATGGGATGGGTGCCTTCGGCCTGCTCCGGGTAGCGCCAGGGGGGGGTGTCAGGGCCGGAAGAGCCGGGTGGTTGTTGACAGGGGAGATGTATTTTATTTTCGCGATGGGATGGACTTTGTTGTTGTTGTTGCATCGTCGATCCCCTCGCCGAACATGGGATGCATGGGCTGTGGACGATCGCCGAGACCGACGCCGACATTGTCCACAAACGTGACAATGCGAACACATGCTCATCCTCGAATCTCTCAACCACCACCTTCCTTTGAAAAGGCGCACGGTCCAGTCAACCATTGTCACGTCTCATGGTCCCGCCCCCGCGCAACGCACAGACCTCGCGTCCAATCCGACCTAGACAGAAGAGGAAACTGGCATTCTTCTCTCTTTCTGCGATGTTGCCACCACCTACAGCGTGACACCCCCCGGCCCGCAGCCCCGCGGACCCCAGACACACACTGACAGCGCGCGCCCAACGCTTTTCGCGTCTTCCTCATCGTTTTGCATCGCTACTCACTCATTTTCTACTCCCTTGCCACAGTCTTTGTCTTTCTGCTCACCATGGACACGGTCGACACGGCCGCCTGGGCCGTCCTGCCCGTGCTCGACCTCGGCCCCTCCCGCAAGCGTGCACGCTTCCTCTCCCGCCTCTCCTTCTCATCTCTGTCTTCCCTCTTCACCACCCCTTCGCCACCCGACCCCTCCACCCTCGACGCGGTCAAGGACATTGCGTTCGACCGCGACGAGGTCGATAAGGACGCCCTCACCGACGCTCTCCGTTCTGTCGCTGCCTTCACGACGCACCTCCGCGATGCGGTCCGCGCCGCCGAGGACGGCACTGCAAAGAACGTCCTCTCGCCGACAGACGTTGCGCAGCGCGGCGCCGCCCTCCTCGCGGCGTATGTGCACTCCGCCATGGCGACATCGCGCTACATCGCGGCCCAAGGTGGTAAACCGAAAGTACGTTAGGCTGCATTTGTCGATGCATCAGCTGACCGCAGACACTCATCAACATGAACGGCAAGCGTGCTCGCGAGGACGACTCTGACATGGACGAGGGCGACCGGGCGCTCTCACAGGCACTCTTGTCCAGCCTCGAGGGCATGTTCCAGCTGTACCACACGCTGCGCCGGGTCGACCTGATTGACACCGTCGCCGAGGACGCACTGAACACGACCGAGTCCGCTCTTCTCGCCCTGCCGTTCTCAGACGAGCCCGGGCTCTCACCGATCATGACGCACGCGGCTGCGCTTACGGAAGCGCTGCGCTCGTCGCCCGGGCGCCGTGCGTCTCTGACCCCCGCCCCTCTCCCAGACCCCGAGGTCGTCGAGTTTGCCCACTCCGCGCTGCACCGGGTTATCTCTGGGCTGCGTGACATCCGCACACTGTCTGTTCCTGAGCAGGGCGCTAGCAAGAAGGCGCAGCAGGAGCGCGAGCGTGCGGCGGAGACTCGCCCTCTGAGACTGGCGCTCGAGGCGAGGCTCGCCAGCGCTGCGTTGGCCCGTAGCATGGACAACAGCGCGGCCGTCCGCCGCGACGACACGGAGAGCTGGGATGTGCGCGCCGAGCGGCAGCTGAAGGAGTGCCTCGAGGCGGCGGGTGAGGCGGCCTCAGCGCAGGCCAAGAGCAAGCGGGCGAATGTACTTCTCGACAAGCTCGACGCGGACGAGTGGCTGCCCGCCGAGTGGTCTTGGGCCGGGGAGTCTGACGCCGACTCAGTCGCCTCGAAGCCGGACGCCGAGGATGCCGATGCCGACGCCGAGAACGCCGAGGAGGAGGAAGAGTCCGAGTCAGAGCCGGAACAAGACGACGCCGCGTCTCCCCTGGCCGCCCTCCTGAACCTGCACACGCGGTACGCCGAGCACCGCACGGGACTCTGGGACGTGCTCCCCATCGGCCGCCCCTCGCAGGCCGCTTTCGTGCACGCCCGCCTCGGCGAGCCCTTCGATACGCTCGGCGCCAAGCTCCTCCGCGACCTCTCCCCGGCCCGCCTCGTCGAGCTCGGCGCAGACCACGCCGACGTCGAGCGCTGGGTGACCCGTAAAGCAAAGGGACCGCGTAAGAGCGGTGCCAGTACGAGTCGTGGATCGAGGGCTGGCAGCCGCGCGAGCAGCCGCGCCCCCTCTCGAGCAGGCACGCCGGCGACAGAGGCGCCAGAGACGCCACTCGAGGCAGTCAAGCGCAAAATGACGGAGGAGCCGCCAGCCAAGCGGCAGAGGAAGGGAAGCAAGATCCCCCCGACGCCGACGCGGGCGCGTGCGAACAGCACGGCGAGCAAGGCGAGCAAGGCCTCTGTCCCGCCCTCGCCTGAAGTCATCAAGCGCTCGCGTGCTAGCAGCAAGGCGTCCCTGCCCCCCTCTCCAGTCGTGGGCAAGTCGCCCCTGAAACGTCCCCGGGCCGCCTCTCGCGCGAAACCGGCTGTCGAGAACGGCCTCCCCACCCCCGCGGAATCAGTCAGCACGCCTGCCAATTAGAATTGTAGTTGTGTAGTTGTGGGAATATAACGGTCTATAATGCATAGTTATCTGTGATTTGTATGGCGTCTATGAGCGGGCAACCGAGCGGGCCCACCGTCCCACGTCTGTGTCGAGGGTGGCTACGCGGGCGGCGATGGTCCTAGCGGCAGAGACGGGGGGAGGGGCGAGGAGCGAGGCGCGGAACAGCAGCCCGGCCGCGCCGTCGTCCATTTCACCGATCCTCGTTGCCAGAGCGGCAACGACCTGACCCGCCGCGGCGTACGCGGCGTCCTCCTTGGCCAGCTTGTAGCCGATCCTGACAAGCGAGGGCAGGTCGTCGGGAGCAGCCTTCCCCGCAATCCTAGCCACAAACTGCGCGTTGGCCCCAACCCGGCCCAGAATGCGGAGCAGCGCACTCCTGACCTCGTCCGCCTCGGGCCGGAGAGAGGCAGCGTCATACTCATCCTGCAACCAGGCCCGGAGACTCCTCAATCCCCGCCGCCTACCATCCGGCACACTGGCAATCTGCTCAAGCACGCCGAGCGCACTCCGCCTGAATCCGGCATCGCTACTCGCATGAATGAGCGTGGCGAGGAGAGAGGGGACATGGCGGCGCTTCAGGATGCGGATGTCGGCCGCGCTCCTTGTTCCGTCCCTCAGAAGACGGAGGAGCCAGGAGCGTTCCCGTCGCGCGTTCTCCGAGGAGGAGTAGAGCGACGAGTAGAGCAATGGCACGTCGGCTACGTCCAGCGTGGGGCGCTGCAGGAGGAAGCGGCTGCTGAGGGGGTACAGGAAGCTGCTGGGAGATGCGAGGGAGCGGAGCGCGTGCGCCACGAACAACGCGGTGAGGGAGGGGAGGCGGGGTTGCTTCCCCTCCTCCTCCTTATCCTCGGCACCGGAGGGGCCAGAGGCAGCCGGGGTGCACGGGGTGCACGCGTGCCGGACAAGCTGCAGCGTGTGGAGCAACTGCAACTGCTCATGGAACGCGACCTGCGATACGCGCTTCTCGGCGACAGAAAGCACAAAGCCGGCCAGAGACCGCATATCCCCGTCTCTGCTCGCGAGGGCGCACACGGCAAGACCGAGGACGTTGGAGCGCAGGAGCTCGACCCAGTCGAGTCCACTCAGCGGTTCCTGCAGAGCAGCGAGGAGGAGCGAGAGCACGAACACGGGGTCGTAGTCGTCCTTCTCACCCTCCGCCTCCACCACAGAGGGAGAGGTGGAAGAAGCGTACCGGTCCACAGGCTCCAACACGCGCCGACGCAGGGGGAACCGCGCCGCCGTGCCGAACACCTTCCCGCTGTCCAGAGACAACACGGCGTCAAGCGCGCGCGTGCTGATTCCGCCGGCCGCGTGCCAGTGCTTCAGTATGCTTGCTGCGGACAGTCTTCGCTGTCCCTCAAACGCCGCAAACATGCTCAGCAGCAGGCGGTCCTTGGCCGATTGTGTGCCGGCGTATAGTGGGAGGAGGGGCTCGACGAAATTCGGCTGCGCAGAGACGTACAGCGACGCATTGAACAGGGCGTGCAGCAGGCGGATCTGCGATAAACTGGACAGGCGAGACGAGGTCAGCGTTGAGAGACACTGGCGCACGAAACCGGCCTTGAGCATCGCCCTGCTGGCCACGATCGCGCCGAGCTCGCATGCCTCGTCGATCGCCAGGCGCGTGCTGACCGCCAGGAGGAGCGGTTCGGCGTCATTCTGTTCCGGCTCCACACGCAAAGCCCCGGCATTCCGTACCGCGTCCGCGAGAGACGAGAGCGTGACGAGTTCCTCGCCTGCGAGCTCTGCACTCGAGGACAGGCGGCGCGTGGCCCACTGCAGGCCCTTGGCAATCAGCGCGGAAAGGGCGTAGGAGTGATTCGGGTTGCTGATCGCGGCCGCGAGGCGGGCAAACGCAAGCGAGAATTGGATCTCGCCGAGGGTGATTTCGGCGGATTTCAGCAGCACAGCGCGCGCAGAGGCGTGCACTGCATCGCTGGCTGGGGTCGAGAGAGCGGCCAGGGCGAGCGAGGCGGTGCCCTCTGGCGCAGTCTCGAGCTCAGCGAGAGCGGGGAGGAGACGCGCATCGTCGAGCTTGTCTGTCGACGCGAGAGCCTCAGCCGCCGCGGGAGACAGTGCGACGACCTGCTGGAGCAGGGAGAGCGCATCGTCGCCTCCCTTCAGAAGCGTGGACACCACGTCCGCGCCGAGCTCGACGGAGGGAGGCGCAAGCGACCTCGCTGCGTCCGAGAGCAGCGCTGAGATCGGGGCGTACGCGCCGAGTTTGAGCAGGCGGGGGATGAGCGGGTACACGGCGCTAGGGGGAGCCGCGCGGACCAGCTCAGAAAGTGCCTCGACTTCGGCAACGTTGCCCTTCTTCACGACCTTGTGGAGGTGCTCGGCCGTCTGCGCAGGCGTGAGGAAGCGGATCCATGGCGCGAGCACGACCAGGTCTGACTTGAGCCCGTCGACGTATGTCTCGGCGATAGCCTTGTCAAACTTGCTCGTCGACGAGAGCGCAGACACCAGTTCGACAGGCGTAGGCGACAGAGCGCGGACAGCCGGCGCGTTGAAGATGGCAGACAGCAGACGCTGACCTGGGGTTCGCAGCGTGGCGGCAAGCAGGGGAAGGACGCTGTGCTTCGGCAGGCAGTGCACAAGGAACTGGGCGTGGAGGGCGTTCTCCTCGGCATTCGCCCTGTTGATGGAGAACACGAGGGAACGGTCAAACGCCCCCACCTCAGCGCCGGTGAGTACGCGGCGCGTAAAGCTGCGCTCGGCGTACTCCTTCTCGTCGACAAGCTTCGGCGTCTCAGGGTCAAGAGCAGGACGCTTCTCGCCGTTGATCACGCCGAGATCGGCTGTGATCTGGGACAGCACCTCGGAGAGGCCGTGACGCGGCTGGCCCCTGCCCTTTGCCTCGTCG